TGGCCTGCTGGCTGTAGATATGGAAGAAGTGGTTGATCCCAAGACCGGTGAGAAGACGCTACGCGGCCGCCCTTTCGTGGTGCCCGGAGGTCGCTTCAACGAGCTGTACGGATGGGACAGCTACATGGAGTCTCTCGGGTTGCTGGTCAACGACAGGGTTGATCTGGCCAAGGCCATGGTGCAAAACTTTTGTTTCTGCATCAAACACTACGGCAAGATCCTCAACGCTACTCGTTCCTACTACCTTTGCCGATCGCAGCCCCCCTTCCTAACGGATATGACTCTGCGCGTCTACGACAAGATCAAGCATGAACCGGGTGCGCTTGAATTCCTTCGCCAATCTCTGTTGGCCGCCATCAAGGAATACTATAGCGTCTGGACAGCTGAGCCTCGCCTTGACCCTGTGACTGGTCTCTCCAGGTACCGCCCTGAAGGCCTTGGCGTCCCTCCCGAGACCGAGGCTGGCCACTTCATCCATATTCTTGAGCCCTATGCCAAGAAGCACAACATGAGCTTTGACGAGTTTGTATACGCTTACAACCACGGCGAGATCAAGGAGCCCACGCTCGACGACTACTTCATGCACGACAGAGCTGTTCGTGAGTCCGGCCACGATACCACATACCGCTTCGAAGGTATCTGCGCTGATCTGGCCACCATCGATCTCAATTCGCTCCTGTTCAAGTATGAGACCGACATTGCGCGTACAATTCGCAACGTCTTCCACGACAAGTTTGAGGTGCCGGATGACTGGCTCGCTACCAACAACCCCGCTGCTAGCAAGCTTGAGACATCGGCAATGTGGGATCGTCGTGCCAAGCGCAGAAAGCTGGCCATTGACAAGTACCTGTGGAACGAAGAGGCGGGCATGTACTTCGACTACAACACGGCCACGCGCAAGCAGTGCAACTATGAAAGTGCCACCACTTTCTGGGCCCTGTGGGCGGGTGTCAGCAACCCCAAGCAGGCAGCTGCCATGGTGACCAAGGCCTTGCCCAAGTTGGAGGCTTTTGGTGGTCTGCTTTCTGGAACAAAGGAGTCTCGTGGTGAGATTGGTCTAGAGCGCCCTAACCGTCAATGGGATTACCCTTACGGCTGGGCGCCACAGCAAATTCTTGCTTGGACAGGTCTCTACCGGTACGGCTTTAACGAGGAAGCTGAGCGCCTGGCCTACAAATGGCTGTTTATGATTACCAAGGCGTTTGTGGACTTCAATGGCGTCGTGGTAGAAAAATATGATGTGACGAGGCCCATTGACCCACATAGAGTTGATGCCGAGTACGGCAACCAAGGGTTGGATTTCAAGGGAGTTGCCAAAGAAGGGTAAGTTTGTTTACTGCTATGTCTTCGAGAGAAAGACAATCACTGACATGATGAACGCAGTTTCGGATGGGTCAACGCCAGTTATGTCTACGGCCTGCAGATCGTTAACGCGCATATGCGCCGTGCGCTCGGTACTCTGACTCCCTACGAAACCTTTATGAAGGCCGTCGAGGAGAATCGGAACAAGGCGCTCTCTGAGCTCGTTTGATCTGGTTTCGGCTACCCTATTTTCAACGGCACGGTTATCTTTCCATCGAAGCGTCTATTAGCCTGCAGCCTTTTGGCTTTCGCAATTTCCATTATTCGGCGTTTAGGTTTCGTATTGACTGCTGGCGCGGCTTTTTCCATCATGTTACATAGTCAGATCGGTTCTTGACAAGGGGGAGCGACGAACAGGATGTAGATTAGAGAAGTCACTATCGAGAAAGAAAAGGTACCATGATGGTATATGCATACTACTGGGTGTTGCTGAGGGAGAAGACTGAAAAGCACGCGAGCTGTGTTGCTCATGTTTTGCCGTAAGGGCTGCAAACATTCCAAGAGACGGACCTCGACCTGAACGGTCAGTTAGTAGTAGTAGTATAGATAGGCAAATCACTACCTGATGAAAGAACTGACCTAACGTGAATTGGCTCGTCGTAACCGGACGGATGTCAGTGAGCCTGTCAAGAAATGTTTACAGCCAGGCTCCCGCAAGACAAACCAACGAAGATCGCGCGTGCGCTAACCATCAAAATCATGGCATTGCCGAAGCCATCAAGACAACTTCTTGTTTCGCGTATCTTACTAAGTCACCCGATCTCGCCTGTCCTTACATAGGTACATATATCTTAGCTCCAACTTGAACTACTTGTACAAACGTATGGGCACTGCTTTATAACCATGTCAAGACACCCATTTCATCTCTCCCAGGACACTCCTTCGACACACTTCACCTCCTGTCTTGACAGGTACCCCTCTTCGCCACTTGAACCCCACGCTCTTCCTTTTTTTTTTTTTTTTTTTTTTTTTTTTTTTTTTTTTTTTTTTTTTTTTTTTTTTTATTGCTCCCGACGAATGCCGTATAGTAGAGTTTGATGACGATAAGATGTGGTTGTCGAGATCAGAGATGAGTGAAACTTGGGTACGTCAACAGGATAGGATGGATGACATTTGCGAGTTCACATCAATGACCGCGTTGACTGTCGAGACTCTGGGGAAGAAAAAGATTGGGGATATTATGATACAGGGTCCTGGGATATAGGAGTAAGGGAAAATGAAATGGCTCGAGGAATTTTGATATCCCTCTTTGTTTTATTTGTTTTGTTTTCTTTCCTCATGAGGCGAGGCGTGCGGATAGGCAACGGTGCCCCTTATCGTTTGACATTGATGCTTTGTGGTCCAAGGTTTTGGGAACTGTTCTTGTTGCTTAAAATTCAGCTAGCAAAGACGAAATCGTATGAACTAGTAGTGTACTGTACAGTGCAGTCATATTGCGAGTATGTCTGAGGAGAGAACAAAGGGAACTCGATTCAGATAAATGGGTGGACGCTCAGTTTGGTTGGGATTCGTTGCAAGCCATATCGGACAGTTGTGTGGAAGTCGTGGTCCAGCTTGATAGATCTATTTAATCCCATTTTATCCCTGGCGGTATTTATTTCCCTCTCTCCCGGGTGCTCTTTCTTTCTGTGGGCATCCAGAAAGAGATATACTCCATTCGTCGCCTGTTCTTGACGTCTACACAGACAGTCCCGCCTGTGATGAGCCACGTGACGGCATGAAGGTGAAAGACCACCAAAATCCTTGGAGAACATGATAGACGGTACCTGTGAGATAGTCTGTAGTGTTGCAGCACTCCTGTTCAGTGCGAGAACACCTTCTCCTCTCTGGCAACAGGAAAGCGCTCCGGCACTGGCGGTCATCATACACAATCGCATCCAGGCCTTCCGTGTCAAGAGGCGCAACACGGACTTGTTGGAAGGTCTAAACCTCGGGCTTATCAGGTTCCAGTAAAGGTCCTGCCAGTGGAAAGATGGGGTCCCATTCCGATAAGTTGAAATGTTCGGTTCATGAATCAAGTGCGAAAGAATGAGCGATAACTCCGATGACGGTTGCACCTGCCTCCGACAGCCGTAGGCAAATCATGATTTAGGAAGAGACACTTGTTGTCAGAAATTGGTTATTCGATCTTCCAACATCTTAACTTCGGTAGACATCCCAACCTTTCAAAGGCGCTGAATCACCGAGTGGCATAGGCGATTTCCCCGAGTTCTTCGCTTCACTCACAACGGCACCACCTCTTGGATACCCTCATTCTGCTCTAGCAGCCCACGACAGACACTCGTCCAGCTTGCGACGCCCCTTCAGCAGACAGGTTCTTGATTATCCTTCCCAATGACAGTGTGCTGCAGAAAATCGCCACACGTGAAAACCAGGTGCGTAAAGCCAAAGCACTCATGATTCCGCCACATAAAATGTGTCGATCTGGTGCCTGCTGCATGTACATGTAGGGCAGAGCCACTTCTACGAACTTTCTGATGCTCTGGAAAACCCCCAATCCTAACCATGAAGCAGTTACGCCATGCTGACTACTCGTACTGAATTTGGATAGGTGAGGTATGAGGCGAGTAAACCTGCCCTAGCCGCGACTTCAACCTCTGGACCAACGAGCCATAGAGTAATGAGTTTGAGGACGCGTATCTAAATTACTTGGAGGGGACAAGCATGGCAGAGAGAGCCTGATTGACGGGCCGATGCTGGTATTGCTTTGGTTCCATACCGGTAACCTGGAAGCTGGGCTGTACACTCAAGAGACCATTGCATGAGCAGCATGCATACATGAGGGCTCCAGGGCATGGAAACGAAAAGAAGAGGGCACCGACAGGACTCAGAAACAAGTTTAAAAGAGAACAATCAGACCATGTCATCAATTTCAGCCACAGCAATCAAACCAACTACCATACAATCATATCAACAACCCTGATCACGGCACAGTCCTCTGGGGGTTACGCAACTTAGGAACTCACAGCGGAGACAAACCTTGGGATCGGCACAAGCGCAAAACACACACCGTCGGCAACGTTGCCAAGTTCAGTGACAAAGGCAGCATTGGCGTCAGGACTTCAGTCCACCAAGAAGATAGTAACAGCTATTCTCTCTTGACCGAAACTTATCAACTCGAGTATCAGCATCCACGAATCCACCCCCTCCTCGTTCTAGGGTCATGGACTGTCACTTGGACCTTCAATCCTCAGCCGCCTGCCACTCGCGGCCCCCCGCTGTATGATATCTCGACCTCTCAGTTAGATGTGCTGAACCTGTGCACACTGTCCATAAGAAAACTGGCTCGAGGACCTTTATCGACACTTTCGTTAATTTCGTTCAAGTCCATGTATTGAACCGCAACTACCATTCATCGAACCATCCACTGTATACGACTCGAGATCCAACACGCTCTACTCGCTCATCAGCATTCCCTTCAGGCGCAGAACTCCATCTTTTCTATTCTATTCCAAGAATACTCGACATCGCTGGATAGTGAGACCGCAGCATCCCCTCTCGAGCTAACCGGCAAAGAGCGTCCCTCAACGATTCAGCCAACAGAGCAACTGAACATCCTTATTAGAGTCACAAACTATACTCGCATTCTTTCAACACTGGTCCAAGAGCCATTCACTTCTTCGTTGGGCATAATCAACATGTCTGACCACAGCAACCTTCACTCAGCCCTGCTGACCCCTTCGGCTATGCTGGCCTCCCAACCCGGGCTACTACCCGCGGCCGAGGTATACCCCGCGACCCAGATTTTCTCATCAACCTCCCCCTTCCTTCCAGTTTACGTCCAGAAACCAGCAATTCTCCCATGTGACCGACCGGAGCCTATCCCCATTGACCAATACCGATTCGACACCCTCTCACTCTACAACCCCAACGATCGCCGGTCACCCGCCGAGCAATGGCGAATGCTACCCCGTCCCATTGACATCAAGCGTGGCATGACCTATGAGCTAACCTTCGGGAACGCCATCATGCTATATTCATGGATCAAGGGGGTTTCCAAGCCGGCGAGTAGAACAAACATGTATCACGACGCTCGGCGAAAGGAGGAGGAACTAAAGAACGGATCCATTACGTCCTTGATTGCGTCAAAGTTCAACAAGAGCTTGGAGAAGGAGACTGCGAGGCTCCGTCCTATGATCCTTGCTGAAATGCAAATGAAGAACTGTTGCTTCTCGTGCCTGGTGCATAATAGGGGAAAGCCCTGCCATCACCCATACCCCCAGCGTCCGACGGAAGCGGTGAATTGGCAGGGTGGATTCCAAATTGAACACGGAGAGAGACTCAACCATTTCCAGAGAGGACAAAGCAGCATGGCAAGATCAGGAGCACAACAACCCACTCCACAAGCCACACCCGCCATAAGAACAGTCGGGAGCATGAATGCCGTTGAAGACCGGCTGATCACAAATTGGAATCGAACCGAAGGTGATTTGCTTGCCCGGATCTCCTCCGTTGCATTTCATAGCATCATCGCCAGCGGGGGTCAAGAAACTCGAGATCTAGAGCAAGTATTGTCTTGTATCGACGACTTCGTCATGAGAGCAAAGCACCGGTTCGATGGGATCCGGTCTCTTTCGTCGGCCTTTTGCACTGCCGTGCTTACCTCGAGCGGCAACACAAGAACCCCAGCCCCAAGCCCATGCTTGAACTCACTTGGAAACATCAAAAACTTCACATGGGCCCTCATAGAACGCCTAATGATCGGCCTTCTCAGAATTCTGGTCCCCTTGTTCACCATCCACCCAGACATGGGCACAACAGAAGCGTTGCTAATGCTTCGCATCGAGGGGTGTAAGCGGGGTTGGATCCCCTTCCTCACGGAGGTGTTCAGGGTTGCTTTTGGTGGGAAGGATGGGGCTGAGTGCAGGTATCTTTGTACTCGTGCTCAGAACCGAGGGTTGTGGGAGTTTTGGAGGATGGTGCTGACGGGGAATCGGTGGGCAATTGATGCGATTGCGGATCCGAGAACTGTCTCCAACGGGCTCAGTACCTCTAGCCTCAAGGTTTATTTGATGCCTATGGGGTGGGATGGAAAGGGGTGGGAAGGATTGCGGTCTCCGCTCACCAGCGGGAAGCGTGCGTGGTTCCGGATAGATGGCGTCTATCGGATGATCTGTGAAATGCACATGCAAATCAAGACGCTCACGTTGGAAAGCCGGCGAAGAGAAAGTCAAAGGAGCCAGCAGTCGGGTGGCTCTTTTAGCAACCACAGCAACAGCAACAGCCGCCCTCCTCCTCCTCCTTGGCCCAACTCATCTCAAATGGGACCCATGGCGATCGCTGTCAACTACGGCCAACAACCACAGCAAAATGGAACTGGCTATGGGGGTATGTACGCTTCGCCTCCGGGCCTTCTGTCGAACGGGCACAACTCTCATCTCACTCCGGCCAATGGTTACGGCCACGCAAGTGGAAGTGGAAGTCAGAAAAGACGGCGAGAGGAAGTTCAAAAACTTGTTGCATCAGCACCCGCCGCCAAACGGGCGAAAATCTTCCATACTCCGGCCACCTCCCATACTCCGGCCACCTCCCATACTTCGGCCACCTCCCCTACTCCGGCCACCTTCCATAATCCGGCCACCTCCCATACTCCGGCCACCTTCCATACCTTCCATCCTTCGGCCACCTTCCATAATCCGGCCCATGGTTACGTTCATGCAAGTGGAAGTGGAAGTCAGAAAAGACGTCGAGAGGAAGGCGGACAAGAAGCATGTGCATCAGCACCCGCCGCCAAACGGATGAAACCCTTCCCCAATCGAGGCTAATAGCGGCCCATGGAAAAAGTCGGAAAGGGCATCTACTCTTGGTGGAAGAATTGATGTCAGTGACTGGCGCTTTCGTGTTTGTCACGGAATGGTCTCCAACTATGTCCTGGCTCCTAGTAGAGGACAAGGACGTAAACTGACTAAAGCTAACAATTTCAGGGACGGTTTCTCACCATCATTTCAACTTTGATCCGAATAGCAACTATCTTTGAATACCGAGGGGAAGTCAGAACAACGACGGCATGGGGCCGACAGGGCGCTGCTGCGACAACGAAGCGGAGGGTTTTCACCTGGCTACGGCACGGGTTTTCCCACCGACTACCAGTAAGAAGAGAAGCGACACCGCATACCCACCGGATAGGCTATGCAAATAGCCTAGCTAGCGTTCATAAGACCAATATTAATAACTCTTCTTGAGCATTTGGAAGCGTTTAGTTTGAAATCCTACATGCCATACTTTGTTTTCGCCCCTTACTTCATTTATAACATATGACGTATTATGATCCATCAAAAAAAGAAAAAAGGTAAAACTACTGTCCCGACTGTGTCCCGGTCAGTTGTTCACTCCTCGCTTACGCTCATCCCCCGCCACCATCATTTGTTTACATTCAGTCTATTACCCCTGAACAACGTCTTGGCGTAAGATCAACAAAAGTGAAAGGGACCATGAACACGGGCGAAATGGGACGGGACAGGACGAAACGAAGGAGTGGGAATGGTCCGAGCGGTCATCTGGTTGAGTCGAGTGCGTCACGGGTCGTGACTGAGTTATTTCACTGCTTGCTACTCATTGCATGCATGCAGTATCCAACAAAGTAACTTGCTGGATTTCATGCGACCAGGACAGGTTTAGACTAGGCAACGAAGAACGTATGTACTGTGAGTATGCGCATGATCGATGTGTAAACAAGTTGTTGCTCCCGCAAAGACTCGGGGCATAGCTCTTCAACTTCCAGGGAAACCAGGCATAATCAGATATACATATGCCCGATTATGTGGATTTTATGCCTTCAAAAAGAGTGGGGGAGACGTGTTGCTATCCTAAAGCACTGTAAATTGGATTCCTCAAAAGCTCTGCCTTTTCCCACCTATTTCTTCAAGGGAGCTGGAGGGTAGGGACATTCAGAATCACCATCTTGCATAGAAATCTTAGTAGGCATAAATATTGCAGTGTGCTTGCAGACCCTGCGGAAGTTGAAAAGCTTTGCCCCGAGTCTTTGCGGTACTTACTTACTTACTTACTTACTTGACTCGGTACTTGGACTTTGTGAACTTCATGGACAACTGAAAGTGAAAGTGTGTGTTGCAACAGCTGAGACGACTGAACTGAGTGACGACTGACGAAGCTTGGTACGTAAGGTAGCGTAGCTGCTATCGGACCTGATCAGGTAGTAGAGTATGGAAACTACCTGACTCTGCTTGATGATCCGTCTGATTCAAGTCCTCGCTTGCAAGTGCCTAGGTACACTGACCCTTACGGTATCCCTATCTAGGCACCTAGTCAGTCATGGTCACGTCCGAATACTCCTTCCGCTGCAGTGTCCAAGGACCGACGAAGTGATTAGAATTATTCCAATCATCGTGACATGCCTTGCCGTCTGCGGATGATCAGGTATCTAGACAGTGATTTGGAAGGAGCCAAGTACCATTATTCTGATTGATGGACTCCTGTGAGTGAGCAGCACTCTTTAATATAGCTAATCTCATCGGTCTATTACCCCTTTAAACAGATTCAGGAAGGAACACGTCGCTTTTTCCACCTTCAGATTAAGGATCACTGAGTGTCTTTGGGCCTTGATCGTTCGGTGACAGTCTTCCGTTGTCCGAGTCCGTCATCGTTGGCACGTTCAGATGGAGAAGCATCAAGGTGAGCTCCGTTCCCCAAATCCAAGTTCATCTGTTCAGAGTTTCTCGACGTGCGTAGGGAGGTGATGTCGCTCGACTTCACGTTTCGCGTCTACGAGGGACTTTGTCCTGTTGTCCAGAATCATCTCAAAACGTATTTTGTACGCAAAGCCAAATACCGATCACTAAACCAACTACGTTAAGCTTGACAGTAAAGTTTGTCTCGACAGCATCGGCAAACACAAGGACAAGATAGCCATCATCTTCCTTAGATAGAGTACTAATGCGTTGAAAAAAAACCTTCCGTCCAGATTATCCATCCTTCATTGCCTCAATCAAGCTACACAAATCCAAAAGTTTGCAGGCTATGCTATTGACCATTACGTAGGTACTTGTATTCTTAGTTGGGAGGATAGAACCAACAGAACACCGCTAAAAAAGGAAAAAGATAAGAAAAAGAAGATATCCGCAAATTCTATCCACTACATCTACTTCCGTATCCCTCTTTTGTCTTCGAATCGCATTATTGACCTCCATTGACCACTTGACATACTGAATGAACCGGAGGAGCTTTCCGCAACCTCAGGCTCTGTCTGATCCCAGCTAAGTGGCCGAAACCCAACCGTGAACAACTGAAAAACCCGTCAAGTAGGACGACACTACCACCATGTATGTTGTCCCTTACCCACATCCCAGCTTACCTACCAAGTAAACAGCATCAACGCCGGATTCAACAACACCGGCAGCGCAAAGTGCGTAACCGCCATGCTCGCCAGCGGATAAACACTATACAGCTTCTGGATCTTCCACGGATGCGGGAAGAAGAACCATCCCGCGACAATCAGGCCCGTCATCAGGAAACAGTACAAGAAAGTGAACTTGAACCGCTTCAGGATGCGAATGATTTCCTGCCCGAAATGGACTTCTTCGATTTCTTTGGCGGTGGCGCCCCACACCATGTCGATCTCGAAGAAGTGACACAAGATGGCTTGCGAGATGTGGATGGAGAGGCCGCCGAGGAAAATGGTGAACATGGGGATCCATTTCAGGTTGTCGATGACTGTTGGTGTCGGTTAGTCGCTGTGTTAAAAAATGAAGGAAGGGCAAGGAGATAAAAAGGAAAGGGGGGAGGGGAAGGGAATAGAAAAACTTACAGCCGGTAAAGAGGCCCTGCTTATTCGTGCGATACCGAAGGATGGCGAGCGCACAGTTGCCAAGAGCGGTGAACACCACGATGATGGCGCAGTAAATGGCAAATGAATCGAGGTAGTACTTATCGTAGAATCCTTCGTACCAACCGGTCAGGAAGTAGTTGATCAGCGACAAGCCCCACGCCGCTCCGATGGCGTAGTACGTCCCGATGTACGCGCAGATAGTCAACTTCTTGGGCAGAGCAATACCGGAGCCGAGGAACTTGCGGAACAGCGGAGTGAACGGACCACGGACGACCCAGAAACGGAGGGGATGGAACAACAGCTCGTTACACCCATAGGCGTACTTCTCCCAGCGGGCGAGCTCGTCGTAAACAGTCAAGCTGACGCCTTCCTTGAAGCCTTCGCCGGTGTAGGAGGCGTACCGAAGAGAGTAGCCAGCGCACTGGAGACGCAAAGCCATATCAAAGTCCTCGGACACGTGTGACTCGGACCAGTATTTCTCGTAGCCATCCTCCTCGTAGCTGGCGGCGTCTTGGAGGGCTTGCCAGCGGAGCATGGCGTTGTGGCCGACAAAGGGGCAGGCGTCACCGCAGGCGACAGCGTAGGTAATGGCTGTGTAGATCAGATTGGTGAACCAGGTGACACTGCAATGAAAGATGGTCAGCCATTAATTCGTGACGGAACGGAACGAAGAAAGGTGCAGAATTTGACTTGCCCTTTCTCAAAGAATGAATCGGAAACGTTCATGACCCCAGAGGCGAACTGAAGGATAGCCACTTCAGGGCTCTGCTCCATCTCACTAACAGCATCCAACAGACAGTCAGACGGAACACGAGTATCCGAGTCAATCAACAGAATGTAGTCGCCAACGCGAATGTTGCCTTCAGCCCAAGTTCGGCCTTCGTCCTCGCGAAGAACCTCGTTCAAGCACTGTTGATAGGCGGCTGTTTCGTAATCGTTTGTCCAGTTACCGATGCGATTGATCTTGGTCAGCTTTTCCTCAACACGGTTGCTAGTGTGGAGGGCATAGTTCATGTTGCTAGCCTTCTTGAACTTGCCACGACGGAGAAACACTGTTTCGCCAGCCTCAAGATTCGGCTTGGGGTTGTGTGGCGGGCGTGCCACCCAGCCGATGTTGTGTTCGTCGTAAAAGTCACGGCGTGCTCGGGCTTCTTCCTCGCTGACGAGCTGCATCCCGTCGTCATTGACAAAGATGTTGGCGGTACCGCCTTGCATCTCGTAGGTGCTGATGGCTTGTTTGACGGAGACTACCGTGGGCTTGATGACAGCCGCGAGGCCTTCTTTGTATACGGGCATCTGGAAGGTGACATGGGGCAGCGTGTGTTGGTGACGGTCAAGCCTTTGGGGCGGCTTCCCGCTGTAGTATTTGCTGTTATTCTCAACAGAGCTGATGGGGCCAAAGATCTGGAACAGATTGCCAGCGAGGGTTTGAAAGAAGAACTGTGATAGCAGCTGTTAGCATCTCTCGTGTTTGATGGCTGCATGGATAGAAGGGCGGAAAGGTGTGTATCGACTACGTACCAAGCTCACGAAGAACTGAACAGGCGAGACTGCCAACAAGGCGAACCGGATATAGCTTTTGTCCACTGACGCTTCGTACGCAAGCGCCCTCCATCCGAGACCGAGACAAGCAACACACAGCGCCATGGTCAGGGCCACGATGCAAGCGCTTTCCAATCTGACCGGGCGGTGCTCCTTCGCCTGCTCCAACGAATTTCCGTCGACTTCTTCAACCTGTGTTGTTGCATTTCCTTTCTCATCAGCATCATCATCATCTGCGTCGTTGTTAGTGCCCCAAATGGACTCAATGAGCTTCTTCTCGAGGGTTTCGGCCCAGGAGAGAATCTTCTCGGGCTCGTCGGCCCACACTACCAGGATTTTGGCGTCCTCGATGAAGGCAGCAAACTGATGGAGTTGGCCCTTGGGTAGATCCGACATGGTGCGCAGAATCTGAACGCGCAACCCGTCGGGCAACGGAACAAAGTTGATATCACTCCTCCTGCCAATGCCGTTCAGGATTGTCCGAACGACGTGTGTGTTGATTGTCATGGCACATCGGACATTCATCTGTGTGATCATGGCGTAGAGTGAATCGGGTATAGCCGCCATTTGCGGTGGGCAGCAGGTGAAGTTGCCCCGGGACTTCTTCAACACGACGCCTTCGTATGGATCAAAGCCCGTGCTGTACTGTTTTCGGCACATTTGCTCGAAAAGCGAGTTGACCATCATGTCGCTTCTGATCTCGGTCATCGCATCGAGATCGCCGTTTCGGGCATCTCCAACCGGGAAAATAGTAGAGTGACGGAATGAATAGGTCGAACCGGCAGCAGAAGCTGTCAACTGCCCAATTTGTTTTCGCGGGCCCTGGTGAGCCGCACCTGGTACTGTGAGTGTATTTCCAGGCATTGGAGACGGGGTAATCGAACGAGGTGTAACAGCACTGCCATCGTATGTTGCAGAACTTGATGGTAACCCTGTTGATTTCTGCCCAGAGAGTTTCTCGCGTTGCTGCTCGGGGAACTTGTTGTCTTCGCCACTCTTACGAGTCGCCCGTCCATCGTCCCGCTCGGCCGCCGTCGAGGAGGGCGTGAAGTATGATCGGAAGGCCTTCATTGTCGTCTCTGATTCATCCGTTTAATAGCTGAAAGGAAACGATTGAGTCTGGCGACCTTGCCGAAAGGCCAACGCAGATACCGAACTATGCTCAGTCAAGGGGGAAGAGGATTGTTCTGATCTGTGTGAGGTAAACACTGCAGTGTTTAATGGTGAAAAAAGGGGATATGTATGTCGCTAGTAAACATTCGCAATAAGCTTAATCGTGAAAGTGGCAGATCCCAAGACGCACGACGAACGACCAGAGATATTCCTCTTCGTAACTGATAGGAATATGTGATGGATATTGAAATCCCTGACAATCTGCACCGTCGCTTCATATGCCGCCGCCTTTGTTCTACCAAGCAGCTGAGCTGGTGATGCGTGGCACCGCACTCCTCGATCTCGACCGCCACAGTATTCCTCAACCGTCACTTTCACCACATTTGTGCGTTTTCCCCCTGCCACTGAGTGATAAGCGGTTTAGCCAGGCCGCGTCCTACACAAGCAGACCTCACGTTAGGATGCAGCTGAGGTCGCAAAGAGTGACACGCAGGATGTCCAAACTTCTGATACCTAGAGTTCATGGTATGCAATGTCACCCTTTACGACGTATTCAGCCGTGTCTTCTTACAGCATTCGTCCATATATCAAAACGGGCGGGTGAACGGCATGATAACGGTGACAAGATAGCGAGACGACTTACTGAGACGTCTACCATCGCTCTAACATACAAGCCCGATTATTAGGCCTCAATGTATACCCGTACTACTCGACGTCCGAGCCAACCGAGGTCACAATGAACTGTATCAGGAAATAGAACGTAATGTGATCCACGCTTCGCATCCCGTATGTCTTGGAGATCGCCTAGGCTTGTGCCATCTCTGCATTCTGATTCGACGGTTCGGCATTCTGCAAGTGAACAATTGCTCAATGAGCGGAAAGAAAGTTGTTGAGTCCAGGGGTAAGCAGTCGATAGTAGATTAGCCTGAGTATCATGTGTGGTGTAGCATGGCCTGCATAACAACACCTCGTCTGTTGTGTAACATATAGAACCTGTTCGGCCTAGCATTGATGGATGTGGCTTAAAGACGGCTGGCCATCTAATTGTATGCAATGAAGTCGGAGTAACTCGCACAGCAGTAGCGGGCGCCTGGGCTCTGTACGCTACATTAGTCAATGCTATGTTGCCGCCAACCATAACGATGAATCCTTCAAGACGACATATCACAGCTGATGAAGTGGGCGGTGAAGTCCTAACATGTCGTTCTATGAAAGATGTAAAAGGCCGTTATCCCCAGCCTCGGACTGGCCGGCGTAGATCATCCATTTAAGGTTTAGATCCTAGAACCCCCGTAACTCGAGGCCAGCCAGCCGCCGTGGGTTTCACCTTCCAAACGTGGTTGCGGTTGCACGGCCCGTTCCCACCGTGAAACCACGGCCATGGGGGTTGTTGTAATGTTCTTGATTGCCCCTCAATGAATACGAGCTTGGCAATTGAACACCTTTGAGGTGCCTTGGACTCCCAAGACGCCCTCAAATCCTCTTTCACGAGGGCTGATTTGCCTCCATGTAGATCATCGGGAAGAGAAATTGGCTCTTGGTGAGATGAGATATCCGACAGAGAAGCGGCGCACGCCACGAAGCAAGCCTTCGGAAGCCGTAAAGAATAAGGTGAGCTGTAAAGTCTCGACTGGCTGATGTTGTCTGAAGAGGGGCCTTTTTTTTTGCTAAGAATCAATAGCGAAGGCTCGAATGACACCGTGGCACGCAGCAAGGGTCTTCAGCTCGCTGCGGTCGAGCGAATCTGGGTATTGACCATCCAGCTGGCGCCAATATTCACTATTCTCCACGAAAAGCGTAGCGCCATGTAGGTGCAATGCATACCAGGCAGTGTCACTTTTGGGGTTGAAAGTAACGGTGGGGGGAACCGGGGCGCCCCATAAGGTTATACCGTTTCTGCTGACATCAGACGTTAGCCAGCCATTCTATCTCCAGCAACATTGAAGATTATCGTTCCAAACCTTTTTCGCTGATTTTTCATGATAAGCTGGCCGTATCAGGCCGCGCCTGCGGCTGACCGTGAATGTAGAGTGATGCAGGCGCAAGATTGACTGACGCCTTTGGCCACGCAGCGCTTTCTCGTGAAGACCCCCACGGGCGGCAAGCAAAGGGGGGGCATAAACATTGGTGATAGGTAGAGCTTTTGGGCATGTTCGCTTGTAGAATCATACCAACTCCTGGCAATGGCATTTTCATGTCGAAGATCGGGGGTTCCCGTAAGCAGCCGTCAGTCCTCAATCTTCATTCAAGGGATCCTGATGCGAGGAAATTGACAGTGTCAAACAGCCCCTGTCGTTGCTTGGGTAAGGGGTCTAGAATTGAGAGGCGGTCCAGCCACCTGGGCGGGTAAGCCTGACTGCCTTGTCTAGATTAAATGCATCCCGACCAATCCAACGCGTCAAGGTATCGGAAGGAGATGTGCGGGTGGGTGTGGTTCGGAACTGGATTCGTGACAAGGAAACGATAGGTCGTAGCGGGCGTGATGGGGCTGTTTGTGGTCTCAGGGAGCTCGTTTCTATTTTTGAGACCGGTCTCGCGGGACGGAAGGACGAAATCGAAGCTGTCTTAAAGACCAAGGGTCGCTCGACGAATCTGTGGTACTGACGAAAATCTCCTTCAATCCCCAAATTGAGTCTCAGCGCCACGCGCATGGCCCCGAAAGGTTTGCCGCTGGCCAGATACGTGGTCGAACACAGCACAGCATCTCGCCAACATGAGGCGCTTTGGGTGCCGGCGTTAGCTCGCTCTTGACCTTGCGCCGTGTTCGTACATCAGATACGGCGATACGGGGCCACAGTGGCACAGATAGTGTGCCGAGTCGGCACTTGTATGTTGGACGACATAGGTATCGCCAAGACGATAGGCAGCTTTGATATGCCGACGCCGTAGTCAAGGCTGTTCTCCCTCCGGCTTCTGGATTGATTGACGGATCGGCGTTGAGCCTCAGCACTAGTCGGTTCCGAACATCAAGGGGCAGTGTTATGCTGGCGGCACCGAATGTCTTGGTACAGGACTCAACGTTGGCTCGCCGACGCGAGCATATTACGGCGCCGATTGTGTTGAGCTCAAGTGTCCATTGCTTAAAGGAAAAGGCGTTAAGAAATGCGCGTCATGATCGAGCTTGAGCGAAGTTCTCACAAAGGAAGTATGCCATCGCAAAGGCACACCGAGCAAACCACGAAAAGCTGGAGGAGGTTGAATTGATTACCTAGTTGCTTCTCAAATTCCGTGTGCGGTGTAATGTTCTTGCGAAAAGAGAGGATCACCGACCGATTGCTAACCGAATGGAAGTTGGTGCAAGCCGAGGGGGAAAAAATGCAAAAGGTCACATGTTCCCGTCATTGCCTTCAACGCGGTGAAGAATGGGAAGGCACAGCTAAACAGAGACACGAGACAGAAGCTCTGGATGCCCCACCTTCCAGAAGCGTGGTGGATGAAGTTATGAACTGATCTCTAACATTATCCCCTGCAAGACCGCCCGGTTTAGTGCCCTGGTTAGAGGTTTCAGTGGTAACAGTGTGGAGCCATCGTGCTGTCAATGCACTCCCACTGGCAGCCTGGAACACGCCTTGATTGGACAGCGGCTTACAAGATCGCGGAGCACGAGGAAAGCGGTCTTGTTCCATTCCTTCCATGAATCGTCATCCTCCATCACGACGTCGGTCCAAGCTGGCGTCGAAGAAAAACAACATCTCTTCCTCCGTCTCTTCTTTGTGTTATTTGCCATGGTTGACTTGGCGTCTTCAATGTTTTAATAATCCCCAGTTCTATCATTGCTTTTCCTTTATCCATCTAGTTTTGTCTTTGTGATACAGTGAACCCGGCGTTCTTGGTCATCTGGTTCACCCCCGCTACCACGGATAAACCATCAAAACACCGACGACACTCGATCCTTTGATCCCCCGAGTCAACAACCGCATCCCCGGTATTCGAAAAAAAAAATGGCCGTCTTTGTAGATCTCGAAGACGAAGATGTCGACCCTGGCCAGGTTCAGCCTTCCCATCATGGCCTCAACCTGCCGGCTAGGAATGGTGCTGGAACGGGCATCGTCACCGACATCGGCCGGACCAAAATGGAGGGCGTGGGCAGCGTGAACACTGAGAAACATCGCGAGGAGGCTCACGAGCCCGCTGTCAGGGAGAATCCAAACCAGAACTCCATGACACTGGCTTTGGGATGCTATCCGTAGGCGACCACCACCACCACCACCTTCTACCCCGTTTTCTTTCGTTTTCTAGTTGACATGTCTTCGGATTCTCCCCTCTCCCGCTTTCTCTTCACGCGAACGGGAGGGGTGAATTACTGACTCGAGTCTTCCCATAACCAGTATCGTCATGTCTTTGGCTGCCTCCATTGACTTGAACACGCTCGATAACCTGTCGCGAACCTGCCGGCAAATAAGGGGGAACCTCCTGCAGTACCGCAAGATGCTCCTTGTTTCTACCTTGCATTGCTCCAATGAACACCTTCCTATCGATCCCGATGCGGTGCTGCGATATCGCGCTCGTACCGTCAACTGGTTTTACATGCAAGAGCTGGGACGATCCAATAAGCCTTGCAAGGTCGGGCAATGCGCTCGCGATCTGGTTGGAGGGTGTCGCCGTTGCGGTACTGTCGTTTGTCGGGTAAGTACATGATACTACTACCATGGGTGATTTGGAGCTACCTAGAGAGTTGACCGGTCCGAATTTGATGTTAGAATTGTGCCATTAAACCTCCGGCCCCGATTGTGCTCCGCGACCGCCACCGCCGGCTGTGCGTAACATGCGCAAAGACGCCCATAGGGAATCTCACAAAGCCACCTCTCGGCCGTGGGTTTTCCGTTGAATCGGATGATGTGCAAAGAGCCATCTGCAGATGTGACACAGATGGAGTCTGGCTTTGCCAGCCATGTGGGAAAACAATACGCAACGATGATTACGACTACAAGAGGTATGTTGACCTGCCAAGTCCACCTACGTACTATGCTCACATTTGGTTCATTCTGACACGTCACCTATCATCAGCATCTGGAGATGGCGAAACCAATACACCGATGTCCTCGGGGGTCTCGGCACAGGCATCGGCGAAGGCGATCGTGGCGTTATTTGCGGACGCGGGAGTGACTGCTGTGCTGCCCGGAAGCGGGAACAGGAGATCGACTGTGATGCCGAAGATGCTCAAGAAGCCGACGGTTCCTATGTGTACACTCCGTCTCCCTCCACCACCACTGTCTCGAATGATTCCAACATCTTCATGGCTCTGTGGGGCACCGATACTGCCAGCACCACAAGTAGTAACGGAAGTGTGAATGGTAGCAACGCCTCCTCGTCATCGCAGACGGGTGGTCTTGGTTCTACCTTGGCCGGGCCCAGCCTCGAGCGCAGGACCCCTAGTCCTATGCTGAAGCCTGGCTATGACAGGCATGAAATCGAGGGAATCGGTGGTGTGGTCAAGAAGAAGCTGGTCCGCATGGTCAAGGTCGGGGCTTGCGTCCCTGAGTGGCCTGACGAGCGGGATCGAGGCGATATCCTTGGACGGGAGATGCAGGCCAAAGTAAGGAGTTGGTGTGGCTGGTGTTGGAGAGTGATTCCCGGAAAGCTGGACTATGAATTCGCCAGACAGGAAACGAGGAGTAAGGCGCTTGAGGAAAAATAGGAAGAGAGGGTAATAAGGGCATAGGCGTCATGATAATTTGGACGGCAGTCGTAATCGTCGCTCGCTGAGGTTTTGTTTTGGTTTACTCTAAAAGGAGGAGTGTGATGGTTTTTGGGAGTAAATTAGAGGAAGGGACATTGAGATTGTAACTTACGGGGTGCCATGGATTTTGGATAGCGTTACTAGCTTCTAGCCACCCAAAAGTACAATATTCCGTGTGCTTCTGAGCGGAGGGATAAGGAGCCCAACCAAACCTTACCATTAGTATAAAAATGCAGAGGCAGAGCGGAAATCCAGATTTTTGTTATGGTTAATAGCTTGCTTTGACCCTTCGTCTTCCTTACTTCTCTCTTCACTTTTCTTTTCACTTCTCTCTTCACTTCTCTCTTCACTTCTCTCTTCACTTCTCTCTTCACTTCTCTCTTCACTTCTCTCTTCACTTCTCCCTATGAGAAGAGATAGGCGGCTTACGAATTCGGAACTGGTCGTGAGTAGTTGCTGTCAACTGACAAGAAGCACAGTCATGATTGTAGTGAACGCCGCGCGAGTGGTATTTGAACAAAGACATGAGAATGACATGAACGTATGTACAGAGGTGTTGTTGTTGTTGTTGTTGTTGTTGTTGCCGGCTCAAGTCTGAGGCACAACAAACACTTCACCAACCAACCAACCCCCCATTTCGGCTGCCGACCAACCGACCCATTCTCCGTTTCCCATCCCCCCACCCAGCCTCTACCTAGCTACCCATTCCTGATCGTACAAAGGCGTGCAAATAGTCGTGACCAAACTGCGTCTCTGTCTCCCCTTTTTTATGCGCTGTGCTGTGACTAGTAATACAAAGTGTGGGTATGGCAACAATCTCCTTCCTGGCTTTCCGTCTCTTCTTCTTCTTTTTCTTCTTCCTCCTCCTCCTCATGTTATCACTGGCGGGCTTGAATAAGGAAGATCGAAGAAATTGGCAGGCCGGTCGGACGGTCGGTGATGAGGCTGAGGTGGTTGTTGGTTGCTGGTGGTTATATCTACCGCAGCCCCTTTGTGCGCGTATCTCGGAGACAACCAACTCACTCACTCGACCCGTCGCGCATAACGATGGGCTGAGCTGAGCTGAGCTAGGAAATTTGCCCTGCCGCTTTTAGCGCTGTCACATACCGGCAAGATGAACAGGCTTTTCCCTCCAACCCGCTCGACAGCTAGACCAGAACAACAGGTTACCAAGAAATAGTATAAATGCCGCGCGCAGGGAAGCAAAGCAACCGAAAGCCGGACCGGACCAGACCAGAAGACCCAGCCGCTCCCTATTTCTCCTTTCTCCCTCATCCGCAGCCTCCTCCGCCCTGGGAAAGCTTCTTCCTCTTCCTCTTCCTCCCCCCCCTTCGTCTTCTTCAACGTTTTCCCCAACCCCAGTCCATCCGCATCTATATCTCGCCACGATGCAACATCTCCTTTCTCCTCCTGGCATCCAGCTTGGCAGCCGCTCTCCGGGGACCCCAGTTCTCGGCGGTCCTGGCGCGCGCGAGCTTGTGCTGCTCCTGGTGCTCGCGAGGCGCCTGGGTGCACATCATGATAAACACCTTTGTGCAGTTGTACTTGTTGCTAAGGTAGGTGACGCTGTACTTCTTGGGGTCCTTGGCGCGCAGCTCGCGGATCTCCTCGACCTGCTCGGGCGTGACGTTGTACGACTTTGTGGGGTTGTAGAGCACGGGCGGTAGGTCTCCGTGCTGGTCGGCGGCGGCATCGGTGGAGGACTCTGGCGTGGTGATGGGGGCTTGAGGGGGCTTGAAGAGCTTGTAGATGTTTGCGCGGCGGCGCGGGTCGGAGCGCGGGAGGAACTTGAAGGGCGTGTGGTAGACCGAGGCCTCGGACGAGGGAGGGTTGAAGATGATGCGGTCGCCTTCGACGGGCACGTTGAGGAAGGACTCGTGCGGAGGAATGTTGAGCATGCGTTTTGTCCGGTTCGCGGTCGACTGGTAGCGGACGGAAATGCCGGCGACGGCGGTCTTTTGGGTGGAGGAGGAGGAGGAGGAGAGCGCGACGCGGCGGCAGCAGGTGGCCGCGGGCCGGAACAGGGAAAGAGAAGCCTCCATTTTGTTGGTTGTCTCTGTTGCTTTGTTTACACGCTGACCGTCGTGCTGTGGCTTCAGCGAAGAAGTTGTACAGACGGGGACGACGGGATTGGTCGGAGAGCCGAGGTGGGTGGGATCGTCGAAAGAGGGGACGAGGTTTCGGGTTGCAGGCGATTTGCGGAAAAAAAAAAAAAAATAGAGACGACAGCTTAACAAAGTTCAGCAAGAAGATTATGAGAGGTCTCTCTGTTATTTTTCAGGATCACGTTTCCGTCGCAAACTGCAAATTGGACGCCTGTTGATTCTCTGGATATCGCGAATGCGGGGGATCTGGTCGTCCAATTGTTCACCCGTCCACCTCAATCGGCCTGGTTCACGTTCAGCGTCTCTGTCTCTCAACGAGCTCCGCGTGCTTTGCCATCCCACATTGGACATGAACTTTTCCTCGGGAAACCGCTTAATCAAGGTCACGTGCTTGGTGCACGGTCCGCGTACGCCGTTCGAAAGTAAACAACGAACGCTTGGGCCACCTGTCGGGGGCTGCGGGCTATCTGCTCCACTCCTCCGCTCCAATCCCCGATTATCTGCGGACCTTGACGGCCGGACACAGTGGGTCTGTTCGGTTCATCCCATGTTGTTCTTGTTTGAGCACCAACCGGGCCCCGCCCGGTTTCCCGGATAGATTCGGCCCATTGATACATTCCTCTTTTCCCACGTGGGCCCGGCAACCTTCCACATGTCCCAGATACTACTCGTTAGTCGTTACCTGATCAGACTGTCTATCGGTGGCCGGAGACTACAGGTACCGCATAAACCGCGAGATGCGTGTGGAACAATAATCATGCTTTTTGTACACAAGACACGATCACGATGTTGTCCGGTCGGCCCATCTGGCTTTCGTCGGAGTGTATCGGGACACGTCTGAGGCGAATTGGAAACGCGTGACGATTATGCAGGGGTTTTGAGGTGAGCTAACAAAGCTCTTCACATTTTCGTCACCCCGAGTTGGCAAAGAATCTCCAAAAATATCACCAACATCCGCGTCGACGTGTGTTAGCTAAAATAGAAATACGCCTGAGTTTCCTTTGAAGAGCCACTCACATGACTCACCGTGAGAGAGAAAGTAGAAAAAGACACTGGAAACCACAAGCGAGCTCGGTTCTTTTTGGCAACCCCGCATTTGCTTCCCCAGATTCCTGGGTTGTCGTTATGGTCCAGGGTGAGGCAGCGCAATGGTCTTTGAATCCGTTTAGTTGCGCCAGGCTGTGTTGTGGTCCTGGAAACAACCACAAATCCAACGATCTGTATACCTTGAGCAACCGATGCTGGAATTGTCGGGTCCGAATCTCGAATTCTGGATGCCGGAAGCTTAAAAGGTCCCGGGATGATGGATACATGGAATGGCATGGCATGGCGCCGGTAGTGTGCACAAGCGACACTGATGTGAAGTTGGAAAAGGCTCGTTGTCGGACGCCGTGTGACGTAGAGACTGGCATTCCCCACCTGATTTTGTCTCAATTTCAGGGTCGAAATGCCAGGCACATCCAACACCCCACGGCATCAGGTGCCCTTCTTGTGATCGACAAGTGGGCTGAGAGCAAGACGACCTATACCCGGAACTTGGTCCGACAGAAATCTTCTTTTGTGAGTAGGGCGAGGCCCTATTGCCGAGTTGTGAATTGGATGGGAGGGGCCTGAATGGGGTCAGTTTCATGACCTGGTGATGGAAATGGATAGAAGTGTTGTTGATACCGTCGACCCGACTGCGACCGACTGCAACCATGTGTCTGGACAAGTCAGTCCGTCTCAGTAGAGTATCAGGTCGCGGCCAAAAAAGGGAAATAATTTTGATTGGGTTGGTCTTATTATGTGACACGGTGGTCGGCCCAATCAAGCATTATCTCCCGGTTCCTTCGACATCCAGGCACGACTCCGTATCACCAGACTCGTATCACCTCCCGCATCCGGCCGACACTCTCTTGTCCAAAAATCCCCTCCCTTGGTCCAACGCTTCTCAGGGCTGAGTTTGAGGTCTGCTGCGTGACCAAAAGAGGGTCAACCATGCTGTCGGCTTGTTCCTTGCCCTTTGTAAAAATCTTCGTTGCGGAGTGTCCGGACCTTGGCGGCTAGTGAGCATTGAAGCTTGACCGGGAAATGTCCAAAAGGTTGAAAACAAGGCCTTCGGCGTGTCATCAAGTGTGATTCAGACCAACCTACCTACCTAGAGGTAGACAGTACATACTTGATATCGTGATGGTGATGCCTCTAAGGACTACTACATATTTCATGTTTTGCCAATGGTGATCTTTCAACCGAAACACCGCTTTACGCTCATTGCATGGCTCTCAGGCAGCCACGGCAGTCCAGCTTACGGTATCTTACACTACAATGATACTAGCTCTGTAGAATTCCTAGAGTGGGAGAGTGGGTCGGTCGGACCGTCGTCATCGGGCCTTCGCTTGTTCTTGATTTGTTCAGTTAACACAGCTCGTTTAGAGACATGTTGGGCTCGACAAACAGGTCGGCGACGGACACGGGAGAAATCGTTTTATGTCGTGCGTTCCCGCCCGTTCAAATCCTTTTCCACTGTCTGCCACTTGATTTGCATTTGTCCGACTTCTTGAACTCCGGTACAACACATCCCAATCTGCAAACGCCTTCAGCAACCCTCGACGTGTAGAGAGCTGAAAAGGCCAACAGCTCTAACAAACACTAACTCCCAAAGCGGAATCTGCGGCTTGCTCAGGATCGCATTTGCGCCCGAGACTGCAGCGGGCAGATCCAGGGGACACCCAGCACCTTGTCGGCAACGGCCCCATCACAGCGCGCCAAGGGTGACCTGGAGCATCCACTATCCAGGTCCAGAGAGAAGAGACCGATTTTGACTTCTGCATCGGGACATCACATCACACGCTGCCAGTGGTGACTGCGACTGACTGCCCGGACGGACACACACCAACACGAACATCACTGCACCCTTCCGTCGCTCCCTCCTCCTCATCCCGCGATCCTTAGTTCTCTCCCACCATACCCGGACGTGCGCAAATTTTCCTTCCTTAGTTACCTCTCATAACGCCAAAAGCCGACCTGGGCAAACTTGTTTTTTTCTTCTTTCCCCCTCCTCTTCTGGTCTCTTAACATCTCGTCATCGCCAGGGACACAATCTACATAATCAACCAACAAGTGTACAAGTTGGTCATTGGACAACTACCAGCACTTGGTAAGGGCGCACCTTTCCTCACCCTTCCCTGTCCACGTCACAGTCCCAATCTCAATCGCAGTCATCATGTGGAATGGGAGTGACGGATTGCCGTAATCATTCATCCCACTTGAGCTTAGCGATGCGTAATGGGCATGCGACAGCCTCGCGAATTGCTCTTGTCCATCCTGGGCCAGGACGGAAGAGCTTGTCCCTGTTCGCTGTTGTCACGACAACACAATATCCATTTTCACTCCCCACTGTCGCCGCCAGCCGAAATTGGGGAATTTCAAAACCAAGCTCCATCTTAGATCACCATGTCTGCTCCGCGCTCTGATTTCTGGTGTTCCCAAAATAGCTTGCGCTGACCAGATCCCCGTGTTGAATCTAGACTCTCCACTTGTCCCGACCTTGAGAAGCTTTAGCTGCTTGGAACTTGCTCTTCTTTGTCCTCCAACTTCGTCCCAAACACTAAATAAACGCCATTCGCGTCCAGTACTTCACATCTGCATTTCCCCCCCAGAATCCGAGATAACCGAGCACGAAAATCAGTACTATCGCAGCACCAAATTCATCAATCATTATGAGTCTCGCCAGCACATCGCTGCCCCAGGGCGGCCAGAGTATCCCAAGGTTAGCGGGCCCGTTTGAGTCCGATTCAGGCTCTGGAAACGCAACCCCACGAGCGGTAGCCGGAGATGAGGGAGGAGCGTCGGAGGAGAAGAAGGCCAAGAAGCGCAGCCTTTTTAGCTTTGGAAAGAAGAAGGAAGACGCATCGTCCGCTTCAAAATCGCTTGAACCGTCCACCACTAGCCAAGAAAAGGCTACCTCTTGGGTTAAGAGGTCAACCGGTGCCTCGCCTGTTCAGTCCGACGTCTACATCACACCACAATCGCCCGGCCGTGGCTTTACCTCATCGCCACGCCTTTCATCGCCAGCTGGTAGCCAAATCTTCGAGCGCGACGTACAAGAAAGCACTTCTATGGTCCCAAATTCTCCTGCCATCCCGTCTCACATCCAGACCGAGAACTACATCCCGCCCGTGCTTGACGCCTCCTCGCAGGCCATTACCGACAAGCGCCTTGACCCCGATACCGTTGAGATTATCACTCATACCTCGCATCAGCCCGCCGCCGTGACGGTGACCGGAGCTGCCCCTACTACTGTCCCTCTCTCCCTTGAGTCAAGCTGGGCAGACGAACTGGCCGCCTTCGCTGCTGCGCGGGGGGCAATAACTGGAAACGAGACAGCTTCCAATTACGGTAGCTTTGATAACACGGATGTCCGCCGCCTGAGCTTCATCTCGTTTGCCGATGTCGTGCAGGCCGAGCAGCTACAGGTTGCAGGCTCGCGCGATAGCATGCACTTTGCTGGTTTGACCAGCCTCACCCCCACTGGTGTCAACCGCTCACCGAGCCCAGTTCGCTCTCCAGTCTCCTCTTCTGGTGGCCACAACACAAGCCCCCAACGAGCAAGTCTGGATCGGTGAAGGGACTGGATTTTGGCGCTATTCCGGGATCTCCAGGAAGGAAACCCCTTGGAAGCCCAACAAGTCTTTTGCACCCTAGCCCGGTTGTCAATGGCGAGATTGCTATCGAGACAATGTCACAAGCGCTGCGGAGGACAGGGAGCGGCGATTTGAGTGGTGGTGTGAGGAGCTTTCCTGTAAGCCCGGTTTAAGCAGCTTTCCTGTAAGCCCGGTTTAAGCTAGGAGGAACAGTACCGGCGGAAGTCAACGAGCTGGAACGACACAAGACGGTTGCGACGCTTGGTCAACTTGTGCTTCTTCGTTGAGGACGTGCGAAAACATGGTTTAGGAAGAACCGAGGTGGAGCAGGAATTCATACTTTTCGATATTGCGACATTTGGTCTGGTGCTGCTGGAGGGTGACAGGAAGGATATCCAATCCACCTTGAACAAGGAATGGACGATTAGTTGTCGTTGCTGTTTCTCAACCACGGGGATGCTGACGTGTGGTTAACGGCTGTTGTTGTTACCTCCACTTCTTTGCTGGATCTTTAGGGGGGAGGGCTGGATGGCAAGACAAAGGTTGCCGGGTGCTGGTTCGGTGTGGTTTTCTCTTTCTTTTCTATATTCCCCCTACTTGTTATCCTGTTATCTTGCTATCTCTTTTTCACCATCTTCACTTCTTGTCACCCGTTTGCGACCTATTTCCCATTTAACTTTTTTCTCTTCTCTTCTTTCCTTCTTTTCAGAAAACATCTTGATGTTATACCGAATACCACCAAGCACACGTCATGGAATGACTGCAATCGACAGAGAGAAAGTTCGAGCTAGGAACCACCACAACAAAAAGAGAAACAGCGACTTGATTTGTTGATCTTTCAATGACTTTTACGAGATAAGTGAATTCAGAATGGGGTGTCAATATGAAAAATGGTTTAAACAGTCAGTTGGGGCTAGGTGATCATCCGCTAAGCATGGTTCCAAGGCTGAAAGTAATCTACAGGGAGATTATATACGGATCCAGCAACTTGGTCAGCCAGGATCATGCAGACCGCGGAGGAAATTAAGCTTTGATGATCAGGCACCCAATGATTTGGGTGTTGTAGTGTTTCAGAACTCGGTTGACATCAATCTTTCCGACTATTCATTATGCGGTGATTGTGAAGGGTTCGACTCGGCAGTCACCACGTCTCGATACAAATGCCCCACTCCATGAAGACCGACTTTGGACGGATTTGACTAAAGCAACGCTTGTTGGTACATGTCGGAATTTATGGTCCATTCATACTCATCCTCATCCTCGTGCACACCGGCCAATGTCTAGGCATACAACCTCGTGAATCCCTCCTGCGGCGGCTGCAACCAATTCCTCTCATCGTATTCTCTCCCCTCCTCACCCTCAATAACATGAAAGGTATAGATAATCCTCCCCTTCTGGCTCAAGTTCCTCTCACTCCTATGCAAAATATTGCCATGAATGAGCACCAAATCGCCGGCCTTGACCTCCCCGGGAACGTAGGCCTCCTCCTCCCTGCCCTTGACCTCCTCCGGCTTCTTATCCTCACCATACTGTTCTCCAGGCGGGAATCTCGGCCCATCATTATCCACCATCTCCGTGCCCTCCTTCGCACCATCCTTTCTAACCAACCTCTTCTCGATCGGCGCCCACAAATGCGACCCCGGCAAAAAGCTCAAGCACCCATTCTCCAGCGTCGCGTCCTCCAGCGCGTACCAGAACCCCACCGCCGAAGGAGGATTGGTATACAAAAACGTGCTGTCCTGATGCGGAGGCACCGCCCCGCCGATCTCGGGCTGTTTGCAAATGACCATGCTCTGCAGACACCGCGGGTCTTTGAAGCCCAGGTCCCGCGCCACGGCCGCCGGGCGCGCCTTTAGGTCTTCTACCCACCCCCGCTCATCGTCCGGGCTGGTGGCTAGCAGACTCGCAAAGGCAGGGTTGAGTCCGTGCAGGTAGTGTCCGATCTTGTTGATGGCCTTGTCTTTGGGCTTGATCAGGTTTCCGGAGGCGTCGTCGAAGGCGTCTTCTTCGAAGAAGAAGCGGATCTTGTCCCCTGAGGAAAGAAAGTAGTCGTCGCCGACGTGGTCGTGGCCGGAGGAGCCGCCGGTGCGGAAGCGGGTGAGGGGGTGTGTGGTGAGGTCGAAGTCGGAGAGGAGCTTCTGGGTTTCAGAGAGGAGGCGGGAGACGGTGGTGGGGGGTAGGGCGCGGGGGATGATTAGGTAGCCGTTTTGGTGGAAGAAGGAGAGTTGGGCGGGGGTGAGGCCGTCGGAGGTTGGAGGTTCGGAGGCCATTGTGGTGGTGACTGGCGGGTTTCGATGGAAGAAAAGGATGGGTTGGTTGCTTAGTTCTCACATGAAATGGAAAGTTGAGTAAGACTTCTCGCTTCGTCTAGAAAGGATGTGATGGTACAAGTAGTCGAGATAATGGAAGTATGGTGAGGTGAAGCGAGGTTAAGTCGGGATGAACCCCACCTTGATATAGGTGGTCCCCCCGATAAGAGCTGTTGAGGACCCTCCACCGCTAACAGTACCCCTTTGCAAGAACCGCGTCTAAGTCGGAAGAGGAAGCTCAAGAGGATCGCCTAGCCCGCTGTTACGACACCAAAGCCAGCCCAAGACAATAGTTCGATGCTTGAATTCTCGGCAAGATAGACCGAAGGTTCAAACTTTATTTCCACGTTTTTTTTTTCCGCGTCGTGATGATCTGGTGGATCGATGTCACTCAGCGAGTTGATGTAACGTGGGATGTTAGTGTTAGGAAGGTATCGGCAAGCGCCGAGCTCCACTGAGCTGTGAGTGGACGTATTACTGATGAAGCCATGATGAAGATAGCTTCCATGTCTCTGTAGAAAATGAAAATCTCAGGGTGTAATTCGATTCAATTTGGGGAAAGCATCTTCTCTGGCCTGGAATAAAGTGCTGTCGAGACAAGTTGACAGACAGAGAGACCTCTCCAAAGACCGGACCGCTTACGGGTTAGGGTTCGCCTACTGCTTCTCCCACACGTGCTCACGCTCTCTAGGCGCGATTTGGCCCTTGCATGTTGCTCCTCCGTCGCCAACTTTCCACCTTTCAACGCGTCGCCATCACCAACCGATACCATGCCTGCGCAATGGCTGAGAATGCGATAGTTCTGTCGGATGACGATCCCACATTGTCCCTCGACGAAGACTTCCGCCCTCAAAGCAGCGCTAGCGCTACTACTACCTCCTTGGGCAAACGTAAGTTGAGCGTCAGTTTCGAGGAAAAGGTCGAGTGGTCAGACGATTCGGACAATGGCGAGAAGCTCAAGGCACGGCGCACTGCCAAGAGACGTGCTACTTTAGGGAGAGTTAGAGGGAGAGGATCAAAGGGGAAAGGCAGGGGAGGAAAGAAGGCTGCTACTGCGACAGATAGGACGAGAGACGACGAGATAACCGAGCTGAACCAGCCTACTGTCAAGAAGGAAGAAGAAACCGACTACGCCGAAGCCTTCATTCCCGACTATCTGTTGGAGCGTCGCAAGAAGTTTAACAAGGACAGAGAGCTGCTGCGCAACGCCGGCTTGAAGCTACCCCCAGACTTTCACGACATCTACTTTTCCGACGACGAGAAAGGGACTAAATACAAACAACGGCCAAAGTTCGAGGAGAGCTCTGGTATCAAGCCATGTCGACCCTACAAGGATGTCGAGCTCGAGTACTCGGCCGGTACCATCCCCGCTTGTATCGCGCAATATCTCCGCGACTACCAAGTGGAAGGCGTCAAGTTTCTGCACCAAAAGTTCGTCTACCAGCGGGGTTGTATTCTCGGCGATGATATGGGTCTGGGAAAGACTGTCCAAGTGGCTGCCTTCCTTACGGCAGCCTTCGGCAAGACGGGAGACGAGCGTGATGCGAAGAGGATGAGAAAGATGCGACGAGCTGGCGACCTCTGGTACCCGAGGGTCATTATTGTCTGTCCTGGATCTCTTATCCAGAATTGGAAGAACGAACTGGACCGGTGGGGCTGGTGGCATGTCGATGTTTACCATGGGTCGAACCGGGAAGATGTGCTGCAGGCAGCCAAATCAGGGCGTATTGAGGTTATGATCACTACCTACGACACGTACAGGAACTGCCACGAAGCCGTCAACACCGTTGAATGGGATTGTGTTGTGGCTGATGAATGCCACATCTTGAAGAACACGGTGTCCGAGACGACTCGCGCCATGGATAAAATCAATGCCATGTGCCGCATTGGGTTAACCGGTACCGCGATTCAGAACAGATATGAAGAGCTTTGGACACTCCTCAACTGGACGAACCCGGGCTATTTTGGGACAAGAGCCGAATGGAATGAGTCTATAACAAAGCCTCTGACCGCAGGCCAGTCCCACGATGCAACGCTGAAGCAGCTCAGCATCGCCCGTACAACCGCAAAGAAGCTGGTGCAGAACCTCCTTCCAGATTTCTTCCTCCGGCGCATGAAGAGCCTGATTGCCCATCAACTTCCGAAGAAGAGCGACAAGGTCGTGTTCTGTCCCTTGACAGACGTCCAACGCGACGCCTACGAGAATTTTTTGGAAGGAGAACACGTTACTTTTATCCTCAATGCCTACCAACCATGCAACTGTCACTCTGGGCGAGCTGGAGGTTTTTGCTGTTACAAGACCCTGAGTGACGGTCGTACGTGGAAATCTTACGTTTTCCCATCAATCATAACTCTCCAGAAGATCGCAAATCACTTAACGTTGCTCATTCCTTCCTCTTCCGACCCAAAGGAAAAGCAACGTTCAGAGCTTAACGTGCTCCAGACCTGCGCTCCAAATACGTGGAAAGAGCTTTACAATAATCGAGAGTCCATGCTCAGCCTTGCAAACCCGGAGTTCTGCGGAAAATGGAAGATCCTGAGAAAGCTCCTACGCTTTTGGCACGAGAGTGGAGACAAAGTTCTTGTTTTCTCCCACAGTGTACGTCTGCTGCGCATCCTGCAGCATCTCTTCCATAACACCAGCTACAATGTCAGCTTTCTCGACGGTGCGCTCAGCTACGAAGAGCGGCAGCGGGTCGTTGACGAGTTCAATACGGATCCCCAACAGTTTGTTTTCCTCATCTCCACCAAAGCGGGAGGGGTTGGCTTGAACATTACATCGGCGAACAAAGTTGTCATCTTTGACCCGCACTGGAACCCATCGTACGATTTGCAGGCCCAGGATCGTGCATACCGAATCGGCCAGATCCGAGATGTGGATGTCTTCCGGTTGGTCTCCGCCGGGACCATCGAAGAGATTGTCTACGCTCGGCAGATCTATAAACAGCAGCAGGCGAACATAGGCTATAACGCCTCCAACGAACGCCGTTACTTTAAGGGTGTTCAGAGGGACAAGAACAGGAAGGGTGAACTCTTTGGACTGGAAAACTTGTTCACTTTCCACGCGGACCAAGTCGTGCTCAGAGACATTGTCAACAAGACCAACATCGCTGAGGCCAAGGCTGGTGTCAACCTCACCGATATCGACATGGAAAAGGCCGTCAAGGACGAAGACGAAGAACTGGACTTCATCAAGAAGGAAAGCGAGGACAAAGACAATGATACGGGTATAAGCTCGCTTGCAAAGCTCGTCACTGCAGAGGATCCGGACAAACTGCTTGAAGCTAGCAAGTCCAAAAAGCCAAAAAGCGATGCCATTGCTGCCATCCTCGCCTCCGCCGGCGTCGAGTACACCCATGAGAACTCCGAGGTCATCGGTACAAGCAAGGTCGAGGCGCAACTATCACGGCGGGCCGAACTGGCAGCAAACGCTGCGGGCAGTCAGCTCTTTGCAGGCGCCAACAACGCGCTGTTCGCAGACAGTACAGAATCCAGCGATGGTGGTGGTGATGATGATGATGATAATGACGACGAGGACGAAGAAGACCTAAACAGGCCGGCGCCGAAGAAGATGCTTAGGATGCATCATAAATTTAACCCGCCCGAGGATGTCAGGAGACGACAATTCTGTTCAATGGCGAGGGAGTTTGGCTTTCAAAACGCGACCAATTTTGCGCTGGTTGTGGAAAGCTGGACGCAAGAGCAGCGGCGAAATTGCTTGGATACTTTTTACAGGCGGCGCGAGGTCCAATTACTGGAACAGGAAATGGCGAAAATGGAAGCAGAGAAAGAGACGGAGGATGATGATGATGAAAATGATGAGTCAACCATGGTTAAGACCGACGATGATGATGATGATGATGATGAGACTGTTGATCTCGAAAAAGCGGTCGCAAATGAGGAGATACTAGTTCTAGGTGAGTCAAATCCAAATTCCGGAGTTGAAGTAACGAGGGGCGAGATCGCCGAGAAAAGAGCGGTCGCCGGTGCAGCGGAGAGAGGCGAGGAGGGGGACCCACTCCGCGGAACCGGAGCTCTCGGATACGGGGTTCGTTCCCTGCCGAACCCTCGCGCTGGTGCTTCAGCTTCACCGGTGCCGAAGGCTGAGGCTGAGGAATGGCGAACTGATGAGATCGCCACAACCGTTCCTGAAGCTGGCAAACCGGTTGATTCAGGTACATCATCCGTGGCCGTCAAGACGGAGGGAGTGGAGGAACCACGAACGGTTACCGTCGGCGCCGGGACGTCGTTCGACAAGACGGCGGCGGCGGCGGGGCAGAAAAAAGTCACGACAATTTTCCTGTATGATGATGAGGATGAGGATGACGAACTCTGATTTTGTTGAAGAGTTCTTACGTGGCTTGGCGTTTCTGGCATGTCTCAACATTGGCATTATACCCCTGCAGTTACAACAGTTTTGGAGTTTTGAAGACGAAGGTGTATTCACGGCGGATATACGAGACGCCATTCTAGTCCTACCCTTTCCCCCAACCGTTTGATTGAATTCCATTATTCCTTGCATGCAGTCACCAACTAGTAGGATTTGATGGCGATAATATCGTCCAGCTCAGGTTTGTTTGTTAGCTCGATCGATACCTACTCCTGCTACACTGGACGGGCTCGCTTCCGACTTGTCCCAAACCTTGCAAGGATAAGATTCATTACGGTGTAGTTTATTTTGGGCAAAGCAAATTCACAGCATGACAACGCCCCGAGGTCTCCAGCCAACAAGAAAAAGCAGTATTGGACTGTCGACGCCGGTACGACGACATGGAGCTGTCGAGTTTCAATCACATGGCTTGACCTTTGCACCTTGCTATATTGTTTTGCGGTAACGGGATTGCTACACAAAAACAACAGCATCAGTCAACAAATGCACAAGCACATGGGACAATGGCGTACCTGTGCATGTGATGCATGTAGCAGTCAGCCGTCTCGGAGTTACTTCTTTCCACCCTTTCTCATTTTTTTTTCTAAATCATATTTCCATGAAGGGGCTTCGCGCGTTGTCCTCGTTGTCGAAATCCAATCCATATCATATCATATCGGGAATATCCTCAACGACGAACACGCAAAATCCTGGCCTGGGGTTCCGGGGTATACCCCAAACTGTGGGCTGAGTGGCAGCTGACTTGGACACCGGAAAGTTGACCGAGGTCAAAAGGACGATCCAATCAAGGGGGGGAGTGCTGGCATTCCCAACCACTATTCCCAGAGATCGGAATTGGGTATCGCTATGGCTGGCTACCTATGACGCATCTTTCACATGCCAGTAGTGGGGATTTTTCCTTCCCCAGGCTCGGGCTTTGAGGCTTTGCGCCGGTCTCCGAATAGATTTCTGGGGAAGTTCAACAAATGAACAAAAGAAAATTGGGGTTCCCGAGGAAGATGGTTCGTGAGGCTAGTTGTATGCAGTATGTACACTAGTCATGTCACTATGAGATGACAGTGACAGACTGTGTCTATCCTCATGTCCAAAGTCGTGTGTGTATACATAAACTATGTATGCACATGGGCATAGGGAATGGAATGACCCTTATGCCCGTGTTGACATGGCAGAGATGTGGATATCTAACAAGTGGTACTGCGGGGGAGGGGCTCCAGCATCAGGAACATCGACGACAACAACTCAACAATGGCCCAGGAAAACAGTCACAAAACAGCTGGCACTTGGCACTGAAGATTGGCCTGGGATGTGCTGTAGTGTACCAATTGTACATGGCTCATAGGCTCGCTCGCCGACGTTGATGGACAACGTCCCGGCATTCGGTAATTCGGTTCACGGGGGCACTACGGTACGGAGCATGTATGACTGGCTGGGACATGGGTTGGTGAGCATGGAAGATGTGGGGTTGCAACGAGACATGGCTCGGCCAAAGGGGGGTTCTCTTCTTCCTCTTTTCGGATGCGGCCAAGCCAAGCCCCCCAGGACGCCCTCTGACTGGCCCAAGATCGACTTGGTATGCATCATCATCGGCTTGACGAAAAGTTTAGGGCCAAGGGTTGGGATGGGATGGCTGAGAAAATCGACCTACACTATGTACGCTGCTCCGTCCTCAGCACAGCACGCGACACGGCAACATTCGCGACAAGTCGTCAGTCTCGGGATAGGCTACCTACGTGCCTCGTCAAGGTACAACGTGTAGGTACAGCTAGTAGTCCCGAGGCGCAAAGAAGGGTTAATAAGTCAATGGACCTCCCTCGGCTTATACATAGTGTAGTCCACTGTGCTACTCATAGCCCCCCGTATATTCGCCCACAGTCTCGCGGAGCGGGCTCCACACGGATTCAAACTGATGTTCGAGTCAGACACGTCCAGAGGTCCGATCGCCAATGACATCCAGGCATCCGATTGACCGTCAAAAGCGAAGTCGAAACCCCGAAGAGTTACTCTTGAGATTGATCGGGAGCGACCGGTCTAGCGGCTATTTCCCCATCTTCCCTTCCCCAATGTTGCCATGTCCCCGACAGCCTCCATCCACCCATGATGGGCATGACCGGGGAAGAAGATGAAGCCAGTCAGGGCACCCACGCTCCGGTTCCAGTCCGTGTCTCCGCCGAACCTTGCTTGGCCATGACTGTGTTCCCGATTCATATGTTTGGAGCTCCGTCTGCTTCTTCCTCGGTTCCTTTCTTAAGAAACTTGGTCCCCCTCCCAATTCCTTTTCCTCTCTGAATTTCTTTGTTCCTACTATTCTGTATCACATCACCGACTCCGAGTTTCAAGTCAACACCGCCACCTTGAACTCCTACCCATCCACACGACATCATCCTTTTACCGTCCTTGCTTTGAGTGCTAGGTACCACTCAATATCCACGACATCAACTACACACACTACAGTTGTGTTGCCTCACGTCTTAATCCTTATTATATATACCCTTTGATCGTTTTTCATACCACACCTGCCCATCATGGCTGCCAACAACATGGTCAACCCCGCCGTGGATCCCGCTCTCGAGGACGAGCTTTTCGCCAAGGAGGTCGAGGAGGTCAAGAAGTGGTGGAGCGACTCACGCTGGAGGCAAACCAAGCGCCCTTTCACCGCTGAGCAGATCGTCTCCAAGCGTGGAAACCTCAAGATCGAGTACGCCAGCAATGCTCAGGCCAAGAAGCTTTGGAAGATCCTCGAGGACCGCTTCGCTGTTAGTAACCACATGCCATTGGAAAACTTGAGGGGGAAGCAATCTCACTGACAATCTCACTCTGCAACAGAAGCGCGATGCCTCTTACACATACGGCTGCTTGGAGCCTACCATGGTGACCCAGATGGCCAAGTATCTCGATACCGTCTACGTTTCCGGCTGGCAATCATCCTCGACCGCCTCCTCTTCTGACGAGCCCGGCCCGGATCTTGCTGACTACCCCTACGTGAGTTTTTTTTCTCAGTGAAAACAAGCCATTGAGCCCCTCCCATACTGATATCCGAATCTAGACCACCGTCCCCAACAAGGTTGGTCACCTTTTCATGGCCCAGCTCTTCCACGACCGCAAGCAGCGCCAGGAGCGTCTCTCCGTCCCCAAGGACCAGCGCGAGAAGCTCGCCAACATTGACTACCTCCGCCCTATCGTTGCCGATGCCGATACCGGTCACGGTGGTCTGACCGCCGTCATGAAGCTCACCAAACTCTTCATTGAGAAGGGTGCTGCCGGTATTCACATTGAGGACCAGGCCCCTGGTACCAAGAAGTGCGGCCACATGGCCGGCAAGGTCCTCGTCCCCATCCAGGAGCACATCAACCGTCTCGTCGCCATCCGTGCTCAGGCTGATATTATGGGCTCCGACCTCCTCTGCATTGCTCGTACCGACGCCGAGGCCGCCACCCTCATCACCACCACCATCGACCCCCGCGACCACGCTTTCATCCTCGGCTGCACCAACCCCGACCTCGAGCCCCTCGCCGACCTCATGATGAAGGCTGAGGCCGAGGGCAAGACCGGTGCCCAGCTCCAGGCTATTGAGGACGACTGGCTCGCCAAGGCCGACCTTAAGCGCTTCGACGAGGCCGTCCTTGATGTCATCGCCAAGGGCAAGTTTTCCAACGCCAAGGATCTCGCCGCCAAGTACCAGGCCGCCGTCAAGGGCAAGCAGATCTCCAACCGCGAGGCGCGCGCCATTGCTCGCCAGCTTCTCGGCCAGGAGATCTTCTTCGACTGGGAGTCCCCCCGTACCCGCGAGGGTTACTACCGCCTCAAGGGCGGCTGCGACTGCTCCATCAACCGCGCCATCTCCTACGCTCCCTACTGCGATGCCATCTGGATGGAGTCCAAGCTTCCCGACTACGCTCAGGCCGAGGAGTTCGCCAAGGGCGTCCACGCCGTCTGGCCCGAGCAGAAGCTCGCCTACAACCTTTCTCCCTCCTTCAACTGGAAGACCGCCATGGGCCGCGACGACCAGGAGACGTACATCCGCCGCCTCGCCAAGCTCGGCTACTGCTGGCAGTTCATTACCCTCGCGGGTCTGCACACCACGGCGCTCATCAGCGACCAGTTCGCCAAGGCGTACAGCAAGATCGGCATGCGCGCCTACGGCGAGCTCGTTCAGGAGCCCGAAATTGACAACGGCGTCGATGTCGTCAAGCACCAAAAGTGGTCGGGCGCCACGTACGTGGATGAGCTGCAGAAGATGGTCACCGGTGGTGTCAGCTCCACGGCGGCGATGGGCAAGGGTGTCACTGAGGATCAGTTCCACTAGATGTGTGATGCGATGCAAATAGAGTGATGGTTTCATGATTTGGGAGTTTTCACATTTCTGGGGTTTTCTTTTTTTGCTTTATGGCGGTCTATTTATTCTTTCTTTTTCTTCTGGATATCAAACAGGACATGACAGGACATGACAAACGGATCGCATATGGTTGGGGAGATACAAAACTTTCTGCGCTGTATCTTTTTGGATAGAGAGGTATGCCACATGTGATGACCTTGATGGCGTTACGCTGAGGCTTTGTTTATATTGTTGTGATTCCTGTTTGGCGAAATCCAAATCACTTTTGACCAACCTTTATGCCTCTTGATCGGCTCCTGATGTGAACTCTGTTGTCTTTCAATTTTCGGAATCTTCGGGTTTTCAATGAGAACCTTCCAAGTTTTCTGAAAGCGTCATAGAAAAGACGATCGTCAGCCACATGGAACTCAAATTTGACAAGTTCCCCAAATCCCCAGGTTTGGCACCCCGCCTTGTCTCTTCGCTTCCCCAGGTTTTACATTGGAGGAGGGAGGGACCAGGGTTGTACGAGGACCATCACCAAAGGGGAACACGTTCGACGTTCATTGTTCACTAGACCCACGAACCTCGGCTTCTTTCACTAGTCTAAGACACCAAACGATGCATATGGGCAAGCCACTCAGATGTCTATTGAATCACGTCGGCCTGAGCTGGCATCTAGCTCGGTCGACCATCATGGCTTTCTCATGAATTCATCTTGGAGTTGAACAAGCTCGACGAGTTCACTCAATCACCACGGCCAACATGGAACCCTCAAGTGCAAACACGGGCTTCATCCAGCAACAGCCCATCATCAAGAACCAGTTTCACGAAGATGTCAGTCTCCAGCGGATAGCCAAACGTACGTTCACCCCCCAAACCCCCTGATTCCGCAAACCAGACAGACCGCCACCTAACGTCCATCGCAGTCTACCTCCCCCCTTCCCTTCTCGAGAAAGTCACCCCCGAGATCTCCCGCCTAGGCGACGCCGTCCTCTCCCAGCAAATCTTCGACTGGATCACCGACGCCGAGCGCAACACCCCTTACCTCCGCGGCTCAGGGCGCGACGCCTTCGGCCGCCCCAAACAGGAACTCATCGTGACCGAAGGCTGGCGCAAGCTACAAGAGTTCGGCTTCGCCAACGGCGTCGTGGCCATCAACTATGACAGTAGCTCGCCGTCTAACGGCCCCTACTCGCGGCTGATCCAGTTCCTCCGCTGCCACCTCTGGGAAGCCTCGTGCGCCAACACCATGTGTCCGGCCGCGATGCAGGACGGTGCCGCCCGTTTGCTGCAGCGCCACCTGACCACCCCCCAACTGGCGGCGAACCTATCTGAAACCGAAAAGAGCGTCTTCCAAAACGCCTACGACCACCTCACTTCGCGCGACCCGGCCTACACCTGGACTTCAGGCCAATGGATGACGGAACGCACCGGCGGGTCGGACGTGTCCCAGACCGAAACCGTCGCTACTTATTCCCCCTTTCCCGCTGGGCGGCAGCCGGTCCCATTAGCCTGCAAAGAAGAAAACATGCCCTTGGGTCCTTGGTCCATCTCAGGCTTCAAGTGGTTCTCCTCCGCCACCGACAGCCAAATGACCATTCTCCTCGCCAAGACGCGTCCAGGCATGGGAGTCTCAGCCTTCTTTGCTCCCATGCGACGATGGAATCCCGAGCTTGTTTCGCCCACATTCACCGGCGTTACAAACGGCGGCGGCACGGAACTCAACGGGGTGACCATCTCCCGCCTCAAGAGCAAGTTTGGCACAGTTAGTTTGCCGACTGCCGAACTAGAGCTGAAGGACATGCGCGGGTGGTTAATTGGCCAAGAAGGGGAAGGCATCAAGGAGATTTCGACGATTCTGAACATCACGCGGGTACACACGACCGTTTCGTCAATGGGATATCTAGGGCGCGGCATAGGTGTCGCCAAAGCGTATGCGCTCGTCCGCGAAGCTGGCATTGGAAAGGGCCGTCGATTACCTCTTTACAAACACCCATTGCACATGCGCACGTTGGCTGACTTGACGGCTGAATATCACGGGCTGATGTTACTGACTTTTTATACTTTGTATATCTTGGGACTGGACGAACACCTTTCCTCCTCTTCCTCCCCTCCCATATCCTCTCCCCCCTCCACCCCTTAACACCCCCCACGGCCAAAGTAAGCCCCCTCCTCCGCACCCTCTCCTCCCTCCACAAGTCCTTCATCTGCCACACCACCATCCCCCTCTCCTTCAGCTGCATGGAATCTCTCGGCGGGGTAGGCTACCTCCTCAACTCCGACTCCGAACACCTCAATCTCTCCCGTCTCTTCCGGGACGCCTGCGTCGGCGCCATCTGGGAAGGCACGACGGACGTCTTGGCTTCCGATACTCTTCGGGCGCTCAAACATCCCTCCGCAGGGGTGAAAGCACTAGAGTGGTTGGTTGAGACGGGACTCGCTTCGTTAGAGAGAAAAGGAGCAAAAGAGGAAGGGGAGAGAATCAAAAAGGTTTGGGAGGGATTGAAGAAAAAGTTTCTGGACAAGGGAAAAAAGCAGCAGGAGGAGAAGTTGGTGGCGGAGGCGAGAGGGCTGACGCATAGGTTGGCGGAGGTGGTGATTGCGGTTTTGTGGGTGGTTGATGCGAGGGTGAGGCCGGGGAGGGAGGTGGAGGGTATGAAGAGGAGGTGGATGGCTAAACATGGGTTTGGGCCTCATAGTGGTGGTGATGGGGAGGAGGAGGAAGTGAAGGTGGAGGGAGATGGACTGGAGTTGGATTTGGCGATTGTTTATGGGGAGGGAGGGCCGAAGGGGGTTGTTGAGGGTGGGAGTGTACCTGGGGTTTCGAAACTTTGAGCTTGTGTGATTTATTATCGTACTTGGTCGTGAAGAAATATTTTGGGGGGTTTCAGCACATCATCAGTTGATATGCCCATCGGAAAGGCATCATCGTTGTGCTGAGCATTATCAAGATATCTCCAAATTCATTAGCTTGAAGATGATATCAAGATATCTACACCCACATGGAAACGCCTATCAAATCCCAAAAGACATCAGTCTCTAGACCAGGTGACTTTTCCGGTTCCTCACTCCAACAAGATCACCAATGAAACCAATTGTAAGCCCGAAAACACAGGTAATATAAGGCGAGCATGGCTCGCAGTTGAACTGAACAAGAAACAAATTCATATCAATCGAGCCAAAGAAAATAAGGCAAACTAGTATGTCAAGTATCAAAAGGATTGACCAACAAGCTGGAGAAGCCACCATACACGCCGCTACCTATTCAGACAAATCCCTATACAAAACCTTGTACCATCCAACCAACCGTCCGTTTCGTTTCTTTTCCTCTTGTGTTTGTTTTGTCGTGTTATGTACCGTTCGTTCGTTCCCCAGAATTCCGTCCATGTACCAATCAGTCCCGTTTCAGATCGCGTCTTGACATCCACCCCAAAGCGTCCGTCCGTTGGCTTCTTCCTCAAGCCCAGCCCATACCTCATTGTTCGATTCTCCCCCTTTCTCCACACTTCCCGTCCCTCGTCGGCACTTGCTGCCAATTCCCACATTTTCCGACTATACCATCACCTTCCTTACTTCCTCAGCACAGCATCATAAAGGCCAGAAACACCCGTCACCGCCGCACCAACCAACACGCCCTTCCACCCACTGTAGAGCGCGCCATTGATCCTGAAGACGGCATCAGGATCCAGCCAGCCACCGAACGTCACACCCTGGGCATAGACCACATACGTGATCAACGCCTTGGCAATCGAAAACGTAACGGGATCAACCGCATACTCGGGCTCCCGCTTGCTCAGCTCCCTGCTTTGTCTCCTGGTCGTCGGGCCCGAGTTGGTGGAGAAGGGATTCGAGTGCGCCACCGACAAGTTGAAGAAGTAACCAAACAGCGAAGGGAGGATCAAGCTGGTGGTAGTCCACACCAAAGCGGGGATCCAGAAGCCGGCCGTCACCAAAGCAAACATGTCGGGAACGTAGACGGGGTACTCATCCCAGCCGAGCATGCCGCCCAGAAGCTTAACGGCGGGGATGGTGAAGGCGTAGCGGTCGGGGATGACCTCCTTGCGGAGGAAGTAGAGCTCGAAGGCGGCGACGGTGACGGCGACGCTGTTGACGGTGGACAGGCTCTCGCGGACGGTCTCGGCCTTTTCGTGGATGCCCGAACGTCGGTAGAGGTCCGAGACGCGGTTGCGCACGGCGAGGGTGCCGGACTCGACAACTTGGGCCAGCTCGGCCTGGGAGGCGGGCAGGCGCAAGGTGGAGGACGAGAAAGTGTTGTTGAGCTGGGAGAGTGCGTGCCCGGGGTTTTGGACGTTTTGAACGGCAGATTGGGCGGTGGAGACAATGGCGTCTTGAGTCACTTGAGCGGCGGCGTGAAGGACTTCTGAGGGCGCCGGAGCTTGCTTGGAATCGGGCTCGGGGGATGGGGATGTGGTGGATGGGATGGAGTCGGACCTGGGAGCAATGTTTGTTAGTTGTTTTCTGTTGTGCCTTTTTCTCCCAGAAACTGGAGACTTACTCTTCAATGGTGGCAGCAGGAATCTCGACCTCGACCTTGTTGGTGGCCCTCCGCCTGGGAGCTCGGTTGGGGGTCACATCGCTTTCGCGCTTGATGGGCGACTGGCGAGCGCGGCTGTTGAAGTAGGAAGTGAAGCGCGAGTCGGAGGAGAAACGGTTTGCGTTCTGGGAGAGGAAGTTGTCGAGCTGTTGTTCGATATCACTCTTCTTCAGACCATCAAGGCTGGGTGTTTTGTTAGTACGGCTCCGATGAAAGGCATTGTTCAGCGAGTGGGGAATCCCAAACGGGATGAATGTCAACAAAGGAGCCAGGTACGCGAGGCGGGATGCGGCACGCAGGCGCGGGGGAGCTTCCGGCCCTTGTCTGTTCCTGGGGAGGTACACAGCAGGTCCGGCAAGGCAGGGCGTCATCGAATGTCTTTTGGTGCTGACGCCATCACCAAGACATTGTCTGCTCGCTTGAGACTAGACTAGACTGAACATGCGCTCGATGGAACAGCATAGGAAGGAGAGCTCGCGGAGTGGTGAGCGCGCGCGCGCGAGCCGCAAAGCGAATACCAGAAAGTAAACAAAAACAAGAGCATTGTCATGACCGATGATCGCCAGAACACGAGCTATGGCAGGAACAGACAAGCAACAAAAGAAGTGTATTTACCTAGTTATACCGATTTCCCTCGCCAATTCAACCAAGTCCGACTTGCGCTGCCTCGCGAGCCAGCTGTTGGTGGTGCCCGACATGTTTGCTGTCTGTGGGGAGATTCCGGGTCGCAGTGTGATAGCTGATCAATGGAGTGTGTGTTTGCTATCAGAATAGTCACCCTGATTGATTCGATTGCGCGTATATGTATTGATAATGATAACACGCTTGTCGTATAGAATATGCGATAGCGGATATGTCTGCGCACAATGGTGGTGTTGTGTTGGAAGTGAGGCAGTGGACGGTGAATCTGTGGGTGGGTGGTGAGCAGAGCTGGCAGTGGAGGTCCCCGTCGGTTGTAGTGACGTGTGTTGGATGGATCCCCTGTAAACTGAGCTAGCCGACCTGAGCTGAGAGAAAGCACGGACGTTATCTGCCACTAGGTATTGTACCTTTTTGCGTAGGTAAATTTAGTACTACGCCGGCTCAACACAAATAAAGAAAAATGAAACATTGAACAATGTGTTTCTGGTAATCATCTGCCTCGACACTCATTTTGTACGTGATACTACAACTCATCACTCTCTGCTCAACTTCCATCATACATAGCTAAGGTATGTACACTACTCACCAACGAGATGCCAAGATAACAAGTGGGCCAACTGGTGGGCGGGAAAGAGTGGAGAGCGGGGAACTCCAACTTTCTGTTGGGCCACTGCTGGGGATCCTGGGCTTTTGCTCCATGCATAACCCTCCACACACAACCCTGAATGACTGTGTTTATTGTTCGACGTGGAAAAAAGACATCATCTTGCACCATATAAACACTTTGTTAACACTACAAAGAAACCTTATCACTCCTTAGACTATAACGTCTTCCCTTATTTCTTATCCATCTGCTCGACATGTAATATCCTTTTACATAAATAACAGTTCACCAAGTTTACAGGCTTGGACAGAGAAAAAGTAAACAAGCTCGGCCAAAGCATCCTACACCTCTGCAGGCATTTAAAAGGTTAGCGTACTACAGCCAAGACGCTAAACCTAGACAATAAACTAGGATTCTTATTATAGTAAATGCCTTATATTCTGTACAGTCTAATAATCAATAGAATCACCATTAGCCTCAATAACCTTTCTCAGCCTTTCTGGTATTGAATGAGCTAACCTTAAAAGAAACTCTTCCGGCACGTCATCCCAAGCCTATATTATAGCCTCCCTAAACTTCTTTAGTATTAATGATTGAATATCGCATCTTAATTCTACGAATAACTTAATCCACGGCCAAACGTTCTCGATTAGTACTAAATCCGGAGAATAAGTAGGGAACCTTTTCTCACTTAAAAAATTAATTCCTATTCCTTTAATAACTCTCTAAGTAATTTTAGCCTTGTAAAAAGGAGCATTATCTTACTAGAAGACAATACCGGCTTCTAAGTACTCCCGGGCAAAGGCAACAACTATTAAGAGAATGAAAAAAATATACTTTTGAATAGTAATACCTCCAAACTCTTTCTCCCAAAGGAAACAAGGCCCTTTCTTTCCTCCAGCAAAGGATCCCCAAAGTATCTATCCGTAAGGCTTTCTCTTAGTTAAAGAAAAGTCGTTAAAATCGTCGTCGCTATCCAAAGTAACCCATTATTTCCACATCGGATCATTAATTACCCAAATCTCATTAGAAATAAGAATACCTTCCCAATCTCGCAACAACGGCCGCCGTCGCCTCATTTCTTAACATTAATCAATTCTTTCTTTTTTATTAGTATTAGTCTTCCTTATTCTTCTTCTTTTTATTTTTCTCTTAAAACTAAATGAATGAAGTACCTTTTTTAATATTTTATTTCTAGTAGAAAATAAAGGGGGGAGGATAAGAGGGAGGTTACTCTAAGAAATAAAATAGCGACTCCAATCTAATTTCAACTACTCTTTTAGAGTATTCTTTTAAGGAGTTTGGAGAAGGCCTTTTCTTAGTTTTCTCTTCTAAAATGTAAGGGGTCCAATGTAGGCTTTTTAGATTTGACGGAAAGTGAAGCCGGTTTTTACAGAAATTTCGAAGTAGGATAAATTAGTATAAGTTCGGAGGGAGCGAATAGAAACCCGGTCATCCCTCGTTAATTGGGCGTTTCTCTTCTTGGGGGTAGAAGGAGGTTCCAACTCTATTGTTATTGTGGTTTCTGTTATTGTAAAGAAAGAAGGGAATGAAGGATGTGGTTGCTCATGCTCAAAGCCGGCCACCAGAAGTCCTTCATTTTAATAAGGAAGTATTTTGCCACAGAAACTGGTGGAAAAAGTACTTCTACTCTACCATTGGTTACCCGGATAAGCCGGTCGCCACCATTGGTCGCCACCCCTGCAAATTCATTGCGCTAACCTTTTAAATGCCTGCAGAGGTGTACTTGTCATGCTTGGGGCATCTCAGAGGTATCCTTTTGCCTTGGGACTCGTAAAAGAATCCCGAAACCTCAAACCGATGGCCCTGCTCACCTACAGGCGAACACCACCGAATGACTTTGAACTCGTCCAACTGCGGTAAACACTCGTCGCACCAACGGTGCCCAGGAAAACTTGAAAGCTTCGAGGTCACCGGCTGGAATCGCTTCAAGATCCTCCCACACAGCTTGTTTGAGCAGCAAACCACTGCCTCGTCACCGTAAAGACGGTTGCCCAAGCCCGGACTAGGCCAAAAATCCCTGAACTGCATCTTCATGCCATCACCCATGAACATCGTCGCGCTGCTCCTCAGCGAGAGCCGGCGGCAAAGGTGGTTGCACTCGTGATAAGCAAAAAAGAACATGAACCCTTCAGCGCCGAGATTGGTCTGTGACAGTGAGAACCGGTACGGGTCGAGCGTGTGGACAGCCGGGTCCGTCATGGTCTTGCCCACGCCCTGTAGGTCGCAAACCAGGAACCGGCCGCGCGAGCGCTCAAACGAAAAGTGTGAAAACGCCTGAGCAGCCTGGTTGGAAGGGTCATGGGCGAGATTGGCCTCTTTGTTGGCGTATCCCGCGTTGCCGTTGTACTTGACAAACTTGCCGGCGAGGAAAGGCTCGATGGAGATGCACTTGCCTTTACTCCCACGCCTGCCATTGCACTTGAAGCAGGACGTGACGACAAAGTCGATATTGTGTTCGGGACAGTCAGCCAAGAGGGAGTTGAATTCGAGTGCAAAGGCCTTACAAAGGGCTTGCGAGCGCATGTCCTCAACAAGATGGGCGAGGCTGCGGTTGTGTGAACCGTCGTCCTCGTTATCACCATCAGTCTTGAACTCCTTCACCACGTAACGGCTTCTCGAATACTCGGTGCGGGCAAATGAGGTCAACCGCAAGGCTCCTTTAGCAAATGGAGTCTTCCGCTTGCAAAGATTAAGCCCAAAGACGCTGACTGTCATGTTCGTATCGGATTCCATCATGTGGTCGAGCATGCTAGTGCCGAGGGCGAAGCCGTCGTTCAAGCCAGCAGTGATAGTGGCATCGATCGAAAAGCCCTCTACAACGAGACACTCTTCAAACCACTCCAGGTTACCCCAATGCGGGCTGCTTTTTTCCAGCCTAACGTCAGGCTGACGTAGAAGCTCTTCATTCTCCTGAATGGATCCAAGTCCAGAGTAGTTCACTCTCTGACTACTAGTTCCGCCCGGCGCCCTTTTGATGCTTCCGAACGCAGTCAAAGATCTTACAGTACTACTCATCACCGAAGTAGTGACAGCCTCGACGACGAGACGCTGTAGTGCGGCGAATGTGAGACCTAACTCAGCCTCCCGGAACACCATGCCGCCATTCGGCGTGCCATCGCTGTTCTTGATACCACAAGCTTGGCTATAGTATCTGTTTTTCTCGCTTAGCATACAGTCGCTCCCGGCCCTGGCGTACTCTTCCCAAAATGTCAACGCCATGCGATCTGTGTAGTTTGTGATGCGAAGAAGAACGTAGTTGATCCTTGCATCAAGCATACGCTGGAGTATCGGCCGATAGGTCAATCCATGAGGCTCGCTGCCCGGGTTGGGATAGCTGTCATACTCGTCGGCGAAGTCATGGAGTGTACGGCCGTGAGGCGGGGCATCGGCGATGTGAAGGACGACTCGTGTGTGTTGTTTCCAGGTTGCGCCAAGCGCCTGCTGAAGCCCTCCAAGAACATCTTCAGGATCATCACGTCCGCCGGTAGCAGCTAGCTTGTCGAGAAAGGATCGCACTTGATCGGTAGACTTTGTAAAGTCCAGGAATTGAATACTTGGGTTGTCAGAGTGGTCTTTGTAACCCACCACCGCAACCCTAACTTTGGCTTGTTTGAGAAGTACGCGATTGATATCGTCTAGAATGCTCCTGACTTGAGACTTTGCACTCTCAATGTATGGACGCATAGATATTGTGGTGTCGATGAGGAACAACAAATCGATGGAACATACGGACTTGAACAGCCCTGCCGTGGATCTGCGTGGGGCGTCAACAGTTGCTGTGCGCTCCTCCTCCGCGAGTTGTTTGAGTCTGCGTTCCTGTTCTCCGTCTGTCAAAGCTGTCCTGCCGGCCTCGCGTTGGAGGACATCGTTTTGAGTGCGCAACCGTTCGTTATCTTCCATGAGGTCTCGCAACTGCTGGAGAAGCCTTGTGTGGGTACAACTCGAGGTGCCGACGGAGGAAACAGAGGTCGTTCTACTGGCAACCTCATGCCTGTCACCATGAGACCCCTTCCACTCTTGTGAAGGATTCAAGCAGATTGTGGAACCAGTCACTTCTTGCGAGCCGAGAATTTCCGAGGCCGAAGATCTCAGTGTTGTAACTGACTCTGCTGGAGTATGAATCCCAGGAACACCGGGACTGGACGTGCTGGACACGGAAGCAGTCTTGAGGCTTGCTTCGCGTGCGCTGGGAGTTCCCGAGCTCAAGGATTCCAGGGTTATGGTTGACTTGGTTGGTGTGCGGATTTCCGGAACACCAAAACTGGACGTGCTGGATTGGGAAGGAGCCCTGGAACGATGCTCAAGTCTCGACCGCAGCACTGCTTCGGCCCCCAAAGTACCACGCTGACGTCCGTTGCGATACAAGGTGCTGGGCGGCGTCGGCGCAGTGGACACACTGGACACATTTGACACTTTGGACGTAGTGGGTGGCGGTCCCATCTTGCCTTTCTTGCTTGGCGGTGCCATCTCCGAGGTCCGTGACGGATGGCTTGAGAGATGAAGTGGAATGTTAGAAGTAACACCTATTGTCTGCCTAATCCGGGTGTGCGTGGGGCAATCCGCACAAAGACCATTCACTTACACCAAGGCCAAGGAGCAATCACTCGGGGCCAACAGCGGTGGAAGCCGAGACGGCCCGTCGAGTTGACGGCTGCTGGAACTTGGTTGAGACAAAGGGTCGAGAGGTAGAGGACGAGGTTGCTCCTAGTGTTCCGGGCAAAAATCGAAGCCAAAACATAATAATAGCCCACAGGATCGTGAGATAGCCAAGTAATGTTGCCAAGATGGGCTCCTAGAAGAGATGTAGTTGAGTGGTGTACTTGTGGTGTGCTGGTGTATCCAGTCCCACTTGAACCATGATTATCCAGGGTGAGGGTTTATCAACGAAGTATCAAACTGAGAAGTCAGCGGCCAGGAGGGGAAATGGAGGCATGCGGTTCAAACCGAGCCTTTCGATGCAGCTCAAGGCCTAAATGTGCATTTTGCTGCATTTACTTCGTCTCAGGGAAATACCGCAGAAACTCGCAAAGTTCGCTATCGTCAATCTCCTCTTTGGGCGCCGGGCAGCACGGAACGCGGCGCTCTCTAAGCCAGAATATGCAAACGTATATGTCTACCCAGTTGATAAAAGCTCGAAGACATTGCCTATCACTCTAACTTGGGTACTTTAGTTTCAATGTACAGGTTCGGATTGATGCCGAAGCACATAAGAAAGTAAAAGAAGGAAAACTGCTAACCTGGGAGAAGTGGTAAATCAGCTGCGGTCATGACGGATTGCAGAACGCACAAAAAGTATCATCGACGTATCATGGCAAAGAATGTTTGGTTATAACATCTACCTTGCAGCCGAACTGGGCGCTCACAGGCGAGTTTGTTAGAAGGGCTGGAGGGTGGTTGACTCGAAGAAAGGAAGAAAAATAAAACAAATACCTAGGTAGAAGGGCACCTATATTCTGCCAACAACCAGGGACACCATGGCACCTTCCAACCTCTTTGCGGAATATACCCTTATTCAGGGAAGGGACGATGGAAAAGGACGGCGTCAGGCACTTGCCCTAAAACATCCCATCCACGAACCTTTCCTTCCCACTTCTCACACAACACGACTAGGGATCGGCATTCCTGAGAACGCACCTTCAGACAATAGGTAGCACTTCATCTCGTAATTTCGCCATTCCTTGGAGGTTGCGAGGCATCTTCCAACCCAACTCTTCAACAAGGACACATCCCGCAACTGAGCCTCCTCCTATAGGCTATGTGTATTACTTCCCGCGTAATTACCTCCGTGGCAAGTTGGTAGGTCGGGTGGCGCAGCCGTGCCGATTCTTCCTCGATCCCCATTTCCTCAACCCCCCGGCTCTCGTGGAAGCTATGCGTGCGATGCCGGTACCAGCTGTCAGTCCACGTCTCAGCTTCCTCTTTTTTTTTCTTCTTCTTCTTCTTCTTCTTCTTTTGACGACTATGCAGTTTCCGCAGTCCAAGTTTTGAATTAACTTGCTGGTGGATGGGATGTTCCCTTGGCTCCCATTTTCTTCCTCCTTTTATTCGACTTTTTGTACCTCGAACGATCCAAAATGTGAGAGATAGTTCGAATATCAATATCGTGTTGTTCGCTGTCTACCTAGGTTCTCACAGATTATTACTCCATCGTCACCGTCCTTTCTCTTTATCGCACCTTACATTTTCCTCCAGCATTACCCATACTCTAACATAGCCTCTCATTTCCCATAAACCTCTCCTTCCCTCTCCTCACAAACCTCACCGGCACATGCCTCCCCCCGGTCAATTTGAGCGTCACCACCGATCGCGCCTGCTGAACCGTCTCCTTCGCCTTCTCCTGCGCCTTTGCATACACGTGCCTCCTCTGCTCCGGTACCATCATCTGCACCTCTTCATCACTCGCATCCACCGCCAGCTCAACCGAGTACTTTTGAAACAGCACCGCAATGGCAGCGACCATCTCCACCATGGCAATCCTCCTTCCCAGACAGGAACGCGCGCCATCAGAGAAGGGAATGAACGACCCCCTCACGGGCCGAAAAAGCGTGGGCGAGGTGTCGGTGCCTTGGTATCCGCCGTAATTCTCTTCTTGCTGTTTCGCCTCCCCTTTTTCGTCGTCGGTTGATGGTTGCCCCTGAGACATGGAAGGCAAGTACCACCTATCGGGATGCCACTCGTCCAGATCATCCGCGTCTCCTTCCTTGGTTGTCTTGTCATGAAGAGCAGGCCAATAGCGCCTACTCCTTTGTACAGCCGATATAACAGGCATGATAGGCATCATAGCGGGCATCTGATGCCTTTGTCCTCCGTCTTGTACCCATTGGTCGGTATCCGCTACTCGCTTGGGCGTCACCACCACGGGCGGAATCAGGCGCAGGGTCTCGTTGATCACAGCCCCGATGTAGCTGGCAAGCAAGGCGTTGATGCTCTTCTCGTAGTCCCATGTCTCCGGGTCGGAGTCGCGCCCAAAGATAGCGTCGATATCTCGCTGCACCCGCCGCTGCACTTCGGGGTGCACAGCCAGCTCGACGATGGTAAAGTGGATGACATTGGCGGTTGTTTCGTGTCCAGCAAGGGTCATGATGAAAGCGTTACCCATGATCTCGCTGTCTTCCAGCTTCATCGTCGCGCCGTCGTTCTTCTCCGAGGAAGACGGGTCATACTTACTCCTGACCAGCTGACCCATGATATTCATCCCCTCCCTCTCCTGCACTCCCGCCCGAATATCCTGCACCTTCTCCGTCAGGAAGGCGTTCATGTACTTGGAATAGTTCACCTTTGCTTCCCACGCCTCATGCAACTTTGCTCCCCACGATCCCCACCGTTCGGGAATCCGCTTGAGGACCGCCGAAGGAATCAGCAACAAGATCACGATCCTCTCCAAAACCGTCGCCAACGAATCCGCAAACGTCATCGAATACCCGCTGGGCGGCTGCAAACTCCCGTACTTGGCCAGCTTCGGATCCATGTCCACAGGCATGGACTCGTGCGGCCAAAGCAGCTTCAACCCAAAGCCGACGTACCCGATAATGTTTAGCGCCCAGCGCATGGTATCGTGCTCCAGAGTCGTAATAATGCCCGTCATTTCCTCCACATCATTTTCTCCGCCCCGCCGCCCCTCTTCTTGCGAACCAGAAAAAGAAGACGAAAACCACCCGCCTACCATCCCCCTTGTCTGCCTCACCGCCTCCCGAAACGTATGTCCCGCATTCCGCTCATTGAAGCTCGCGCTCGTCACCTTCCTATGCATCCTCCACACCTGTCCCTCCGTCGTCACCACATTACTCCCAAAGATCTCCAAAATCCCATACTGCCTTGTATCCTTGGGGAACGCCTCCCGTCTGCTCATCACCTGGGATATGACGGCCGCATCCGAGGTGTAGCACGCCAGCCCGTTCCAGCTGGCCACGACAAACGTGTCGCTTCCCAGACGAGTGAAATGCGAGCGCGGAGAAGGGTGGTATTCCCAGTCGGGCGTCATGACGAAGACATAAGAGGCGTAGAGCCGCTCAGGGAGCAGACGAGTAAGGATGGGGAGGAGGAAGTGCCGGGTTGTGAGCCAGAGGGGGGAGAGGGGGTAGATTGCTGCATCATAATTAGTCAAATTACCATGGTCCTTGGAGTATATAGTTTTTTTTCGAGATCATGAGTATGTATGGAAGGAAAAGAACTTACGCGTAACAAGAACGGGATACCCTGTTTTCCGAGCTTTGGCAATATTGCTCCTAAAGCCAGCATAGATCTTGTAGGTCGCCCAAGCCAAAAAGACCCCCAAGAGGGTGACGAGGGGGGTGAGTTTCATGGCTCAGTTCAGTTGCTTTACCACCAGGAAACAAGACACACAATGAGAGGGAGAAAATGTAGCGTTGGTTTTGAGAGAGAGAGAGAGAGAGAAAGAGGGACTGTTGAGAGCCAGTATCAAACAGGTTCGAGGAGGAGGAGGAGGGGGGAAAAAGAAGTGGTTTTATTGAGAAAAATAATAATAATGAATATCCTTCATCATTGAATTGAGAATTTTTTCAGAGAAGGCGCCTATCAATGTCATAACAAGCCTAGTTCTAGTAGTAGCTGGGTACTGTAGGCCCAAGCGGGGAGGGAGTCGAGGATCCCCGTTCGGGTCCCGGAACACTAGCGCATGAAAATGGATAAGGAAGGGCAGCTCCTCGATGTGATCGGCACTTTTGGAAAGGCTACTATATACTATGCGTGGTTTTGTTTCCTTTTGTTTGGGTTCTACTAGTGTTCAATTCTTAGATTCAGCTTGCTTTGGTCTACGCTACAGATCAGGCTAACGGGCATATGTCCAAGTTTGGGGGGGGGGGGTCCACCCCGAGGCTACATGTATGGGACAGATATGTATGTATTTTTTCCATTTCTATAATGCCCATGTCTACTCTAGGTTCGTCATCCCTTCTGACCTCTTAGGGACAAGGTTAAAACATCAACAAATAATATGGAAGAAGCAAAGTGAAAAGTGTTGATAAGGGGAATGAATATAACACGGTAGTAGTAGCGGCAAGTGGTCGGTCGGTCGGTCTATCTCTATCAACCCCGTTCGGCAGATAACAACAACCTGCGGCTCTTTTTGGTCGTGGGTCTTGTACATCCTACACTGTGAGTCTGAACTATTTATGTAAGTAGTATGAGGAGGACCCTGTCCGTCGCAAAGTTCAGTGAACTAGGTAGTGTAGCGTCTTCGGCAATCGAAACCAATGGTGTCTTGAATCTTGAAGACGGAGAACATGGGAAAGAAACAAAAACTTGGCTGAGTGCTTGAAACGCGGATCACTGTCGGAAACTCGGAACCCCTCTCGCCCCCTGCCAAGCAATCAACACGGCATGTGAAATCCCTCTTTTTTCTTCGAAAGAGGCTTGCAGCTCTCCCGAACGGAAGGAAACGAACCGCGCCACTTCCGACTTTTTGCAACGCCTGCCCAGGTCGGGACCGTTGCTAGTCAATCTCGCAAGAGGTTGGTTGGAATTGTAACTTACGCTCAGTCGTTGCTTGCGGGTATGTTACATTACTAGTTAGTAGTGTAACAGGGTCCAAATTTACACCGTGAACGCCAGACAGTGTCACGTTCAGCTGTCAGACTGTAAAATGCCCCATAGCCCTTCAGGCCAATCAGAAGCTTCGAGATAACGACACCTCAACTTCTAGCACTCGACAACACCAAGAACACTCGACAGTTTCACACTACGGACGAGCCAAAAGACACGCTTCAACTACCGATACCTACTAGGGACCATTCATGGTACTGAAACAAGCAAAAACTTTTGTCTCATCCGGAGCGCCCGCCCAAAACTAAAGTCGACATGCTTCGTTGTTTCGTTTCATTTTCACCTCAACCCCCCCCCCCCCCCCCCCCGGCCAACCGCGCATCATCAAGATGTGTAGAAGCTGAGATGGCTCTGATGGGTTTGGATCTCTCTCGTGAAGGAGTACGGCTTGGCGGGGGAGGGTCCGATGAGCTCAGACGACGTCTGGTCTACGACATCAGTTGACACATGTCCGTGTCATGCTTGCTGCACAGACTCAAGACATTACATACGCGTGTGGGCACTGGGGCGCCGTGCGCGCACCTGGCATGTCTGGCCAGCGTTAATGCTGAGCAGCTTAGCCAAGAGAGTCGGATGGCAAACTTGTTCCTATGTGTACTGGCTGTTGGTACATTGGATGGCAGCTGTACGGAGGCCTGAATTATGGTGAAAAGCTGCATTGGAGGTTTGGTTTGGCCTCGAAGTGTTGCCCCCCGACTTTGGTACGAGTTGGCATTAGATGTCGTTTAGTTCTTTAATTGGCTGTTTCTCCATGGGCGAGTGTCCTCGCACCTCGGCTGACTCCTCATCAAGCTGGCTCACGCTCCCAAGCCCGGCGTTGGCCGTTGGGTGAAGTTAAAGCTTCCATCCGGACTGAACACAGTGCTGTCCTTTCTTCCCAGCAAGATCAGCGTATGTATTCTGCAGTTGAGTCCACAGTCGGCGCCCTTCCTCTTCTTTGGGTTCTCATCCGGTCTGGTCTCAACAGCGGCATTGGGAGTCATGCAACTCCCGTTACTGTCTTGGTCGTCTGGTCTGATGATTATGGCGGGAAGCAAAAGCATCGTTGTCAGGTCGGTGGAATATGGCGCAGAAGGTGGCGGGTCGTGTCAAGGTAGGTACATATGCTCAGAAGAGAAAGTTGCATGTCTGGCTACCTGGTCATAATACCTGTCGTCAGTGTCTGCTGAAAACTTGAAGCAAGCAAGCAACACGGCTAGTTATCTGGCCTGGCTTGAGGGAGCCTGTCATCTGTGCAGTGAATATTCCTTAGGTACTTACCTGACAGCTGCCTGGGCAACGAGTGTCTTCGGGCCTGCCCACCCGGTTCCACCCACCTTCGAGGTCGCGACGGGAAGGTTACGACATAGTGATCAAATCCCTATGAAGCGGATAGCCCTCGCTTGGAGGGGTAGGTAAGTTGAGCACAAAGCGATTGTTTTCCCAACTGTGTGTGTGCCGTGTTGAAAGAAAAGAGGGACACCCAGCCATCGGAGAGCTCTCCGTCTGGTCCGATGTCTGATTTCATGTGGAGTAACTCCCAAGGTCAAGTCAGGATAGGATACATCCGGTCTGATGTCTCTTTCTCCCGAACGCCATGTACATCCCATTCTTTATTTCGTCTCGGTTGCTGCAGCTGGAGAGTACGTCCGAACGTGCCGTAGAAGCATGGTGCAACATCCTTGGACCTGCCTAGGTTGTGGGCATGTGGGCTTGCGGCGACCGGCGAGGGGGGTCTGTCTGCAAGGGTAGTAAATTACAGGGTGCTTGAGTCGCGATTAAGCGCTCGTGTCCAAAAGGGGAAAGTGACGAGGATACACTTGCTTAGGTATGAACAGCCAGGTCTGCTCGTAACTTTCAGACAGGGAAAAAGGAAGACGCAATGCTTGACTGGTGATCGACTCTTTTACATGTAGACACTGGTCGATTGATTTTTATCGAACGGGCTGGAGGGAGAGGCAGCTTACGCATATTACAGTGAGTAGAAGTTGTATTATTGGGCCAGCTAGGCGAGCCAAGCAACAATAGAAACAAGTCTGTTGACGGTTGAACGGAGGGAGAAGTAGATTGTTCGCAGTCTGGAAAAAAACAGAGAACAAGAAGCATGATTATTAACGGCCTGCAAAGGTACCTCCTAGGTGTAGTGCAATGGTTCAGGTTGGAGGAAAGCGAGACCGTTGACCGCGGGGCCAATGGGTAGCACCTGCCGCTGCTGTGGGAACACCAGGAAGGCGCTACCACTGCTTCAGTATCACCAAAGACAAAGTGTCTGCCTTCAATTATCGAAGCTTCTGGTTCACAATTGCCGACTGTAGTGATGAGATGCAGAGGTACATGGGCATTATCGCGGTTTCCCGAGTCGTGATATTGGAAATCGTGATCATTTTCGGAGGAGCGGTGATGGAAACAGTCACATGGAGGAGTGCAATTGCTTCGATTTTGACTAGGTCCTATCATTTCCTTCCCATTCTAGTTAAAATATTCCTATTTGCTTTCGCTCTTGAGCATCATCCCTTGGAAGTATGAATCCTTCCTCTATTAATGGTAAGAGAGAAACTATCATCACGGCAGCTATACAAAGTCGCGCACGAAGACCAAATTGAATGCCAACATCATCTTCGTGATGTACTGTACGCCATAATTCACGGAAAATCAAGCCAAAATACAAAAGTACAAAGAAGAAGAAAGTATATCGTGAAAAAGTCATTACCTATCTTGTGAAGAATGCAACGGATGCAACGGAAAAGTAAAAAAAAGCAAAATTCGCTTCCTCATAACCGGCATCAACTGATGATGTCTCTAGCTCCTTGTTTTCCCTTTTGCCTTTTTCCTTTGACCCTTTGGTATGCCTGTATCCCTTCCTCCTCCATGCGAGTGAGCCTTTATTTTATTCCCCCCCAAAAGATGAAAAATCGGTCCTGTCCACACCCAAGCTGAAGGCTGTGAATGTGGAATACTTTTTTTTTTGGGATTGTTTTCTGTTTTCTTGTTCCTTCTTCCTCCTCCTCCCCTTTCACTGCGCTTCGTGTGCTTGCGCTCATTTTTCATCGTTCCAATCGATTAAGCAATTTTACCAGACTCTTTCGTTATCTGCGCTTCATTGTTGTGTGAACGTTGCGAATATTTCTCTTTCTTCTTAACCTGAATGAACATGGGTATCCAGGATTTTTCCATTTCTTTCCGTTGATGACCATTGAACCATCCATCCCTTCTGTGAAAACTGCCACCAAACCGCTTCGTCTCTGTCAAAGACTTTTTTCTGTGGAAAGAAAACCACTGCAGCAATTTCCAGATATTGTTCGTAGCCGGGTAATGTGAATGCCGTTTACAGCATTCGCGAAAAGCTGTGGTAAAATAGATAAAGAGCAATACCGGAAAAAAAATGGAACATGATACCAGCTGAAAGAAATGCCGGTTGCTGAGAAATGCTTATTGTGATAAAAAGGCCTGAGCATAAAGGAAAAACTATGCATTGAAAACATTAAAACGCCTTTCTATGCTCTTGCACATGCTCTTTTTCACTCTGAAAATGCTGTTGCTGTTACTGTTGTTGTTGTTGCTGTGGTGGTCGCTGGATGGGTTTGAGACGCTTACGCCTTAGTAACGATTGGGATAACTGCCCGACGAGTAGTCCGCATATCCAGATCCCTGCATGGACTCAGACGTACCACTTCCACCTTCGTACTTGGGACGTGTATTGTCCTGGAAATTGGTGAGAATGGAAGCGGCATGCGAAGCGGTGATGGAAGGACCGCCGGCGTACTGGTTGTTTGCTTCCGAGAAAGTGCGACGGGGCTCGTACGAAGAAGGCTGGGTAGGGCGGTAAGCAGCAATGGTCTCTCTCCTCTGCGAAATTGGCTGGTAGAAGGAGTTGTCATTTTGGAGCATGGGGTTCAAGCTAGATCCAGAGGTGGACATGCTGCTGCTGCCACCGGTACCCAAGCCGCCGGGAGCGCTGTAGCTGGCGGTAAGACCAGTATAGCTTGGGTTGACATAACCGCGACTGGAACCGATAGGGGCAAGAGTGGTACCGCTGTAGGTGGCGGATGTGTTGTTTTGGAGCCCGCTGTTGACCGAATTGCCAGACTGGTAGTAGCTGGAGGGGCCCTGACGGTAGCTGGGAGCCCAGTCAGTTCTGTTAAAGTTGGGAGAGGAGACACTGGTCTGGCGCTCAGCATACGATCTGTCGTTATAGTCGTTGTAGCCGCTACCGGACGAGTAAGAATATGAGGGACCCTGGGAGTAATGAGCCGGCCAGTTGGATCTGCTGGGGCTGGGAGAAGGGAGGTTGTTGTGAGCTCCGGCGTACTGCCTGTCGTCGTAGCCGTAAGCAGCACGCTGCTGATGCGGGTAGTGATAGCTCGAGTCATCCGAGTCGGTGCCCGGGGTGGCCTGCTTGCGGCGCTTCTCAGGGGTGGTCACGTTTCCCGTGTTGGCCTTCTTCTTGTTGGCCTTCTCCTTGCGCTCCTTCTCGAGGGTCTCATCAGTACCATCATACTCGGGAAGAATCTCGACGTCGGGGAGGCCATGTGAGGGGTGGCCGGAGTTGAGGGCCTCCTCAAGGGGGGCTTTGAAATGCTCCTCAATGATGTCGATGATTTGGACCGAAGAGTACACACGATCGCAGAGTCTGAGCAGGGCAGGCGCGACCCTAGAGGTGGGGAGGAAATCGAGTTCATCGAGTTCGTCTTCATAGTCGTCGCGCGACCGCTTCTTGTCTCTCTGAAGACGTGCCTTCTCACGCGCCTTGCTGGCCTCTTCCTGACGCTGTTGCTCGCGCTTACGGGGGACAAGCTTCCATCCGTTCAGAGTTCCTCCCTTCAGGTTCGGATTCTCCCAATGGCTGATATCGGACCAAATCTGGGCACGGACGATTGTGCCGATGATGAGATTGCACTGGTCAAGAGAGTATTCGGCCAAGTTACGGTAACGAGCGCGCTGGTAGTGCTTGCGACACAGGTTACACCAGACACGATCAGGCATTTGTCTCGTTGCCTTTTTGTTGCGCCCAAAGAACTGAGAAACGGCCTTGCGGGGTGGTGCGTTGGTGTTGCATTTGCTTGTGTGGTAGCAACGGGTGCCACCACGGCGAAGGTCCGCCTCCAGGGCGATACGATCTGTGCGGTCTTCCTCGGTTCGGGGGTCCAAGTACCTGGCCGCTCTGGTCACCCAATCAAGATTTAAATCCTGCTCGTCTTCATCGATGCTGGTATTGTCGACCATGGGAGAAGACTGCTCAGCCGTGGGCGTATTGCTGGATGAGGTCTCCATGCGAACGTTGCGTCGTCCACCGCGATTATGAGGGGGGTGGGCAGTTGTTGCTGAGACCACACCGAGCCCTCCTGGGGTGACTGTGGCTTAATGCGAGACGGAGCCATGCCGAGGGAGCTTAGGTCAAGCCCAAGCGAATATCCAGATGAACGGCTACATGAAGTACGCAAGATGGTTAGCAACCATCTCGGCCATGGTTAGAATGTGTGGTGTGGAAGGGATATACCCGAACGTCTGTTAAGATCAGACCGAGATCAGAAAGATGCAGGGCGCAGATACTGGTCTGCAAGCACGAAGCCAATGTGCAGCGGGGTGGTGCTTGATGTAGAAGCGACTAACTGTCGCGGGATGGGAAGAGCCCCAAATTGCGCCGATGTTGTTGTTGTTGTTGTTGAGATCGCCAAAGTAGGTCGAGTTGAGTTGGGTTGAAGGAGGAGGGATGAGGAAAACTCGATGGGGGGAAAAGGCAATTTATGGGGCAGAGTGCGCACTCGCACCTTTGGTCTGGCAGGTTCACAGCTCTGAGCTCGAGGTCAGAGGACTCACGGTTTTCCTATTGTAGAGGGCGACTTGGGATGGAAGTGAATGGTATCAATACGTGACCCCTTATTGAGCAAACAGCTGTGGGAGTCCAGGTTTCCACTCTGAGCAATTCACGGCCCAACTGCCCGGCTGCCTGGTCAACCGACAATAGCATACCCAGGCCAAGAATGATGGATTCTTGCCGGCCGGCTTCATTGTGGGAACAACGGCGTATTTGAAGTGTATTGTGGTAATAACCGACCGGTGAAGGGGGAACGTGCTCGAGGTCGCTTATGAAAAACAACATCGACAGAACAAACCATCGTTTGCCAGTCACTCACTCGAGGTTTGGCATTGGCTCGCTCGAATCATCTGGACTTCCGTCCCATATCCTCTTCCGCCCACGTCGACAGAGGCATGCAAGCAGCTTTCGCATCATGCTGCAGCTCATGGGCCACGGTCGCAGAGGGGAGAAGCCAACATGTGTCGAGACGCAAACAGGAGCAAAACCACTGAGACAAAGCAATCAGCAAGACGAGATGAACCTTCACCACGTACGTTCGATTGTTAACCTCGAAGGGTTGAGGGGCCATGGTGTAATGTGTCCCCTCGTACGTCATCCCCGGGTGGTCAACTTGCGCGCCGGTAGTAAACTGGGCTCTCTCAAAGTGGCGGGGCACATTGAATCCAGCAGGAGGCCGGAAAGTGAAGTCCGAAGTGGAAGGACTAGTCTGGAGTCAGCAGCTGATTTCTGGCAAAGTCAAGATGGCAAGCAACTTGCTGGTAAGCGTGTTGGGCGCCCGATGCGCCCGTTGTGCGAATTTCGGGATTCCCATGGTAGTCGGATTGCCCCGACTGGGGCGTAGTCGTTGAATTCACGACGTTGCGGATGCTCATGTTGAAGTTCTGCCGGTTGTCCATCTTGTATCACTCTAATACTTGGACCATGGAGGTAGGTAGATGGACGCCGTCGACGCTGCCGTTGCGAGTCGTTATCGGGATCAATAGTTGACTGAGAATGATGCAGTAGCATGTATGCGTACGGGCTAGCGATACCAGATTATGGTCTTGATATCTGTATCAACAAGTTTGATAAAGGGCTTTGAAAAGAGATGGTCTTTTTCGGGAAGAGGGGCCCAGTTTCCCTTGCCTTGGAGGCAAAATGAAGGTTGGGATGGAGATAAGGATGAACGAGAATAGAGGAGAGATGAGACGGAGCGCTCATCTAAGGAATTGAGGAAATCAAGATGATGTGCTAGCACTTGTCCAAGAGGGCATGCGTAAGGCCATTATCTTCCCTTTAAACGGACGGGAACTCAAAGCAAGGCGGAGACGCAAAGAGAGAGCAGAAAATGCAGAGAAGACTGGCAGTTGGATCAGAAAAGGCACACTCAATCACCCTCAGGCACGCCAAGGGCCGAAAGTATGCGTACATTCGCTCTACGACGGCCGTAATTGTGTATCTGTTACAATGCCGTCGTAAGGAGGGAGAGTTTAGGGTAGATTACCCAGCATTCGACGATGAGAAAAGGGTATCGCCGTGAACACTGTGTGTAAAATACGCACGTCTCTGCCCAGAATTCGGGGGTCTGAAGATCAATATTATGATGCTTGCATGTACCAGACACCCCCCCCACTCCGGACATGACGCAAGACCCATTCATGTCCGACTACTTTCTCGAGAAGTAGAAGACGCCCGCAGTAAGACGAATGTCCTTTGGTTTCGATGTGCCCAGTTGATGAGCAATGGTACCTAAGCCCTGCTATCCTTGCGACGACGAAGAGCTTTCAAGTTTTGATAACATTTCGGGGACCGTTATACCGGATGCTTCATCCCGTCTGCTGAAGAATGAGCACCACAATCGGAGTTAGAATGCCTGCATGACGAGATGTGCGTGCTGTCCCTTCGCTGTTGATGGAATGGCCCCAACTTAACTGCCCAAGATGCGCACTTGAGTAGGTACCGGAATAAGCTCACGAAACGGCAACCGGGCGCACCGCAAAAGTCCACAAGGTCAATAGTTAAACCGCCAGACCAGTAAGATGAACACTCGAGAACCACTCCACAAGGTCTCGACAAAAAGGAAAAAAAAAAAAAAAAGAGAATGAGAGAAAATCTAGCCGAGGTACCTTCGCCAGTAATACCATTCAATCCGTCATTATCAAACCTACAAGAAGGTGAATCGCCCGGCTCAACCTCGAGTGGTGTCGTCGAGGCGAAACTCGATGTTCGAAACGGGCAGACTTATACCAAGCACCAGACCAATCAGCATTCAGATAGCAGAAAATAAGTGGGCCTACGCTCAGGGTCTTCAACGTCAGTTCTGCGCATTAACAGATACGTACCTGATTATGCACACAGATCTGTTAGGGACTCGTTTCTCGATCACCCAGGCTCGAAACCCGTTGAACAGGCGAAAACTTGCGCCTGAAGTGTTTGTCGCATTCGATAATTTGGATAACTGCTCGAAACCATCGCTTTTGAGTAGTACGGAGCGTATATCTTTGCGTTGTCTTTGTCGTCATGGTCGTGAAAGTCAACCGACTTGGGGGTATGGAATGAAACCTTGACGGACGTCTTACCCATGTTGTGTCACGTCAAACATTTCTTTTTCTTTGATCTCCAGCAACACCAGGAGCATGAAACGTAGAATTGGGGACTACTGGAAAACTGGACTTGATTGAATTTCAAAGGCTTTGTTCCGAAATCCGAACCATATGCCGGCACCCGAACCTCCACTGAATTCGTGCTTCAGATCCAATCCTTACTGCCTCAAATGTTTCCCTCTGAACGAGGTGGCGACCATGCAAATTGTTATATATCAGATCGTAAACAGTTAAAAAAAGAGACTGCGAAAGAATAGACCACAACACAGGATAGGCGGTGTCGGTAATGCCCATGTCCGTTCAGTTGCCCAGCATCCTCGGCCACAAAGTCTGCGACTAGGAATATTTGGACGGCAATGCGCTTCAACGAGTAGCATGTGATGCTCCACTACTCAAGGCCGAGCCGGCTTTCAATGGCTTCTGCGATGGTGTCGACGGATGCCATAGCCCCTGTATTCACACAACATTAGTTATTTGCACACGCCGTGAATCGTCAATGCGCGGAGATGGAATGACGCCCAGCTTCTCGTTGTTCCGTCAATAGAAATGCGTTGTAGCTTACCATCTATAGACCAGCAAGTTAGCACAATGACAAGTCAACATGGTGGATTTCAACCAGCCACGCAAAGATCAAGAGGGAAAAGAATCAGAGCTTTGCTTACCTCCTGTATCACCACATGCAAGAGTCCTGGTGAACCTATGTTAGCAATGCATTCGATAATATATAGCTTTGGAGGGCATCTTTGTGATCCAGCGTACTTTGCAATCGGCTGTGGTGGTTCCAAATGGTCAGCGTCAGATTTTTTTAGTCAACAGAACGAGGTCAACCATACCATGACAACCTGGAACCAACCGTTAGCCACAGCAACACCCGCGGTGTCGCCCTCACTTGGCTCAGGATCCCTGACTCCCCATTCTTCTTGCAGCACTCGAATCTGCTTCGCGGTGATGGGATGCCTCCACATGGCCTAGCAGCATGTGAGTGTTAGTTTTCCGATGGTGACATTCCCCAGTCTGAACTGGGTCGGTATCAAGAACGTAAGATACGCACAGAGTTCATTGCCGGTGCGACCATAATGACCTTCTTCTTGTTGTCGATACTCGAATCTGTGTCCCATGCTCTTATCACGGACGTCAGAAGATTATCGCTCATTCCGTTGACGATTTTGGCAAGCGTGTTGGCGCTGAGGGCTATTTGGAACATTAGGTAGCTAGGTCAGCACAGGAGGAACTCAATACGTTGGAGATTGGAACCGTAGAGGAATGAAGAACTCACGCGCAACAACAAGGATATCTGCCCATCTTCGTAGCTCAATATGGAGGATACTCGCTCCACGCTGCCATGGCTCGGGGCCCCATTCATCGGCATCATCGTAGATAGCCTCCACATGGGGGTAGTCCAACAGAGAGGAGTAGACGGGCTGTTCTTTACTTTGGCCGCCGAGAAAGTGTTTGGCGAAGTGTGTGAGAATAATGCGAATACGAATCTTGTCGCCGTGCCTGGCCAAAGCCTTGACAATTTCAGGGACTATGGGGCGAGGACATGGTCAGTCATTTACTCAAGTTGTGCCATACAGATATGACGACTTGCTCTTGATGGTGGCTACGGAGCCGGAAGCACTGGATACTTTGCTGTTAGCGGTCGTACGGTTTGGGTAGAGCTTCAGAGGTAACGGTGTTACATACGCCAGGAGGATATTTTTGACCTCCGGCTGCGCAAGTTCAGCAGCGAGGGTGGCTGATGAAGCGAGCTCTGCCGCCAAGAACTGGCGATCATGAACGTTATCAATTGCTTGAAGCATCTTGGCAATTGATGAGACCCTTGGTTGTTTGATGTTCTGAATGTGTGTTTACTGGGCTGTCAAGACGGAGTGTTCTGTCCACTTAATATTAGAACAGGTGACCTACAACCACGACAGCGGCGCATGAAGGGCCGAGGTGAAATACTGTGGTGCTGATTTATAATCCTCAATCACTTGCTGACTTGCCCAAGGCAATGGCAAGATACAGTAAACGAGAGCTGCTGCATAGGATTACGACACTCACCAGAAACCACCAAAACCAGATGTTGTGGACGGATTAATGGGGCCAACTCTCAAGCTTGATGAACCGTGAAAACAGGCTGGAACGCGCTAGCCAAAATGTTTGAAAACCGCCCACCGGCTTGAGATTGAGAGATGCTTTTGGCGCTTGGGAGAAAATTTGAAGTGACCAGGCTGAACAAGGCTGGAGAAGGGAGGAAATGAGTTGAGTTGAGGGGTCCTAGGGGTAAGGTAGTGTAGAGGTATCGAAGAAGGGAAGCAAGAGCGGGAGGACAAGAGTGCCTGCCAAAAGGTCCTACGTCATGACCCTAACCCTGGCTTCCTGTCCAACTCGACAGACTGACCTTGGAGCAGAGAGAGCTTCCAGAACCAGACTCAGTTTTGGCAAAGGGTCAACGGATCAGCTAAATTCTGATAGTCACTCAGAGATTTCCTGAACAGCTTCAAAAAAGAGAGCATAATGAAAGTTCTCGCCGTCGATCACGATTGCGGTCTGCTGTTGGTCTGCCGTTTGCTCCCCCCGCCCCACATTTCCAGTAAGTCCAGGGTTGAAAAGTGCTGAAAACAGCCAATGAACAGCGGCATCCATTCACCTTATAGCACAATTAGCCAATCAGACGCGTCTTTGGGGGTGGACTGATCTCCATCGCGTCACAGCTTCTAAACTTCTGTGAAGCTCTCTGTAACTCTTGCGTTGGATCTTCCTTCCAACTTCCATTTCACCAAATCGAGATTCCCAATCTCAGGATCGAGACATTGTCACACACACCAACCATCAATTATCCCAAACACACACAAACCACTCATCCCAATGTCAACGCCTACCCCCGCCGCAAGCGGCACCGCGACCCCGATCGTCGAGCTCAACGCCGAGGAAGCTGCGCTATCCCTCAAGGTCTCCCTCGCCGATCTGTCCGCCCACGCCGCCGCCCAGTACGCGCAAAAGAACTACGATGAGGCCGCTGAGCTGTACGCCCAAGCCGCCGAGATGCAGGCCGAGATGAACGGCGAGATGAACCCCGACAACGCCGAGATCCTCTTCCTCTACGGCCGCGCCCTGTTCAAGGTCGGCCAGAGCAAGAGCGACGTTCTTGGTGGCCGCGCGCCCGAGCCCAAACCCGACAAGAAGGCGGCCAAGTCCAAGAAGCAAAAGAAGGCCGCCACAGAAGAGAAAGAAGAGGGTTCATCATCCTTGATCAAGGACGCGGTAGAGCAGGCGACTAAGGGCGCGCAAGCTTCCATCGCCGAGGCGGCCAAGGAGGTTGCCCACAAGGATGAGCCCAATCCGGAGAAGAAGCCCCTCTTCCACTTTGAGGGCGACGAGAACTTTGACGACTCGGATAAGGAGGAGGAGGACGACGACGACGAAGATGCCGAGGAGGGCGAGGAAGAAGACGAAGACGACGATGATCTCGCCGTGGCGTTCCAGGTCCTCGACCTTGCGCGTGTTCTCTTTGAGAAGAAGCTCGCGACACTAGAAGCCGAGCAAAAGACCCAAGAAGAAGGCAAGGGCAAGGAGAAGGAAAGCGACGAGGCTGCCACCACTACTGAGGCGTCGCCTCTGATCAAGCACATCAAGGAGCGCTTAGGCGATCTGCATGACCTCTTGGCCGAGATCTCGCTCGAGAACGAGAGGTAAGCATTTTGTCTCCCTCCTTGTCACCTCAAAACATACCCAGGTACTAACCAACAATCCCTTTTCCCCCCTCCTCCCACAGATACCCAGCAGCCATAACCGATTCCCGCGCCTCCCTCAAATACAAACAACAGCTGTACACCCAAGACTCTGAAATCATTGCCGAAGCACACTTCAAGCTCTCCCTCGCTCTCGAATTCGCCTCCGTCACCAAGTCTTCCGACGACGACTCCGCCGTCCCCTCAGAAAAAGCCGGCGCGGGTGGTGCAGGCGTGGTAGACCAAGCCCTCCGCGACGAAGCCGCCGCCGAGCTCGAAGCCGCCATCGCCTCCACCAAGCTCAAGCTGCAGAACAAAGAAGTAGAACTGGCCAGCACGCACAACCCCGAGGACAACGACGCGACGCGCCGGCAGATTGCCGACGTGAAGGAGGTGATTTTGGATATGGAGCAGAGGCTGGTGGATCTGAGGAAGCCACCTATTGATATCAATGAGGCGTTGGGAATCGCGGCGCCTGTCTCTGGAACTAAGGGCGAGAGTTCGTTGAAGGTTGCTGAGGAGGTCAAGGAGAAGGCGAATGATTTGACGGGGTTAGTGAAGAAGAAGAGAAAGGCTGAGAGCGAGGCTGTGCCGGTCGAGGAGGGTGCTCCAGAGACCAAGAAGGTGAAGGAGGAGTGAGTGAGTGAGTGAGTGAGCAAGTTTTATCAGAGGGTGTTGTTCTAGGTACGAGTAATTGTATGGCCATGGAATTGCATGGACTTTGGGAAAATTGGGCAAATGGAGTTCATGTAGGAGTTCAGTCAGTCAGTCAGGATCAGGCTTGTAATGTTCTATTTTTTTTTTTTTATATCTTTTTCCCTTTTCAACGCGCGCTTCTTAAGCATCAGATAATCGTACTAATCCTCATCTCGCTCTCCCCCTGCCGGTGAATAACAGGCGAATAGCTATGGCACTCGAACGCTCTGCCTATTGTTCTGGGGTCGACAATGTCGAAATCGAACACCTTTCACCAAATTAAACCAAGTGTCAGAAGAGACCAGTTCTTGTGGCGCGCTTTCTAGATGCAAGATATCACCGACAACTATTATCCATCCGGACAAGTGTAACGCAGTACACGAAGTACATCCGCCACAGGGTACATCATATCGTTAGACAATAAACCTGGGAATTGAACAGCAAAACATCCTCAATATGGCACATGGCAATGAATGTCCAGCTTGAAAAAGAAAGAAAGAAAGAAGCGGAAAGGGAGGATGAGAATGAACTTTTCGAAAGAATTTACTTTTGCCGTACCTAGGTATGCATTCTGTTTGATACTATCTTCTCTAGCTACCCAGCTAAGGAAACAGACACAAATCCCTTATCTAATGTACCTAGTTTGTGCCGACTAATGAGTGTGTTGTAGGTAGGTAGAGGTAGATAGGTGGATATTTCTAGCATGGATGAAGGTATAGTGTATTCCAGAAGTTGATTTAAAGATACCTTTTAAACACAAACGTGGCCTAGCCAGAGGGCTGAATATAAATTAACCCACCTTCAAGACTGAGGATACTCGTGTGGGCTCGACACGCCAGTCACACCCGGGTCTGGAGGGCCTTTCTAGCCCAGACGAGTAGCTCCATCAACGTCACAGAAGCCCCCAAAAAGCACATGATTAACGAACGTGGGTTATTTTTTTTGTATTAGTTTCTTAGACTGTACGGTGATAATATGAGAAAAGGCAACTAAACATTCTTATAGTATTGTACAACTGGAATTTCATAAAGAAAAGAAAAAAGCCTGTAAATTGGAAAGACTACAAAAAAACCACCATGACTTATTTGTGACTTTATAAGTGAGCAATGAACCAAAGAATAACACAAGAATAAAGCGGTAATTGATTATAAACTCCAACGCCATTTCAGTCCGTCAGCCACTATCCCCCCCTTCCTTCCTTCCCTCCTTCCTTTCGTCCATCGTCCCTAAGCTCATTTGTATCCGTCAAATCCACCGCGCAACTTTCTCCCCGTCGCTGTTACTCATGGGGAATGGATATAGGCTGGCCACGCCGGTTGTCTCGTATTGAGTGTTGTTGTTCGGTGGCTGTCAGGGTTGTTCTCTTTTCGATCTTTTGTACCATGCTGGCGGCTTGGCGGGTGGTTTCTCGAGACAAGGAGCTGAAGGCCTCCTTTCATCCGCTTGTTTCTACAGGGATATCCCGATCGATGATGAAGCGCGCGCTTCATCATCGCCCATTTTACACAAAAGTCTTTTAACCCCGAGCATAAGGATGGAAGCCCCTGGATCCACCCCTTCCACCACCGCGATAGTTTGCACCAGGCTTGCCAGCGTTCTTGGGACCCGTAGGGGCGTTAGGAGGAGGTGCGCTGGCCGGGTCGACCGGTCCGCCGGGTGAATGCGAGCCTTGATGGCCGCCCTGCTGATGACCACCGCCGCTGCCGTGGTGATGGCCGCGACCCTTATGGAAACCACCACGTCCTCCACCACCACCGCCACCGCCCATGCCGCCGCCCATACCCATGCCCATGCCGCCCATGCCAGGACCGAAACCGGGACCGCCCATCATTGGTTGGGGGACGTCATCGTACATTCCCTCCCAGCTGGTGGCGCCCATGTTATAGCCCGCTCCAGCACCGGGCATTCCACCGCCGTAGTTGCCACCAGCGGCATCGTTGCGAGGACCGCGATTACCGCCGCCGGGACCGCGCTGCTGGCCATCGAAACCCTGCTGTCCGTCGAAGCCGCCGAATCCCCCTTTAGGACCACCGGCACCTCCATCAGCACTACCGGCTCCGGGACCGCCAGCACCGCCCATCATTTGCTGCATCATCGCCGGGTTCATGCCCATGGCGGCGGCCATCGCCTGGGGGTTCTGCGCGTTAGGCCCCTGACCCGCGCCGACACTACCAGCGCGGCCACCGCTGCCTTGCTGTCCTGCACCCGCCTGAGCTGCGGCATGGGCTTGCTGAGCGGCCATCATCTGTTGTTGCATTTGTTGCATCTGCTGCATCTGCATCATTTGGACCATGGGGTTTTGCATGCCCCTGTTCATGGCCATCTGTTGCTGCATCATCTGGAAGGCCTGCTGCATCCGCTGGAGATACTGGGCCATGAGTTGCGGTGTCATACCGGCAGTGCCGGCGCCACCCATGCCGCCCATGACATTCATACCGCCTTGACCGGAGCCGTCATCCATACCACCGCCTTGCTGACCGCTGCGGCGCTGGCCGAACTTGCCGCCGCCGCGTCGCGCAGCTTCCTCGGCCTCCTCGCGCAGGTTGCCGCGGGGTTGGGCTTTCTTGACTTCGATGGGCTTACCATGGATCTCAAGGTTGGCAGAGAGACACGCCTCAACGCCGGCTTCGGACTCGAAGGTGACGAAGCCGAAACCACGGGGACGGCCAGTGTCCTTGTCCATCATGAGGGTGGCATCGACGACACGGCCGAATTGGGCAAAGTACTCGCGGAACTCGTGGTCCGTAGTCTCCTGAGAAACGCCACCAACAAAGATCTTGGAAGTCTTCTCTTGCTCATCGCGGGGAATGGCGCGCTTCGGGTCGATCTATAAGGGGACTGAGTTAGTGGCCACTTATTTGACGGGTTAGACGAGCTATGACGGGGAAACGTACGATCTTGCCGTCAAGGTAGTGTTCCTTGACCATAACAATGTTCACTGTTTTTGGGTCCTTGAAGGTAAGGAATCCGAAGCCACGCGAGCGACCGGTGGCGCCATCTCTCATAACGGTGCATTCTACAACCTCGCCGAACTGCGAGAAGTAATCTCTCAGTGATTCTAAAAAGTCACAAGACCGGTATCAGTACAACTGTCATGAATACCATATGGTACATATGGTGCCCCTTGAGGGCAACAATTACCATGAGGGGAGGACAGGGAAAATGGCAAGGCTTACGGTCTGTAGTCTCCCAGTTCAGGCCACCAATGAACATTTTCCTATAAGACACAAGCGCATGCGCAAGACGTTAGTCAACTTCATCTTTTGAGCAATCTATGATATCTGGATATGAACGAGTAAGCGTAACATGGGGGCAGTGAAGAATGTGTGGGCTCGAGTAGATGAAATGCGGATGTGAGAAAGACATTGCGAGTGATCAAGCAAACAGCCCCAGCCGCCTAGCCCTTTAGACACCCAAATCCTGAGCGAATCGGCATATGGCTACACGCGAACCCAAGAGCTACCAATCAGTGTGATGCGGAAGCATGTTTGTAGCCGTTGTTTGGAGATGCGTGTGCATATAGCGTGAACTGGGGAAGCAAGCCCATTTGCCCAGCCGTTGTGCCAGGATTTGAGCAGCCTCAGGTAATGTCTATCCCAGACCTCTAGTTTGACCACATGGACCGTCTACCGTCATGATCCTTGACATAGCATGGGCTCCACCATCAATATCCGAAGAACTACCCTTCATCTTGTTTATACTGGGCCTGGTGTTTTGACTGTGGGTGTGGCAATGGATGTGATTCTCCCGTTGGCTTCGCAGGTTGGCGGAGCCCACCGATCGAGGACCGTATGATGGTTGTCATTTGGCGAATGAGAAGTTGGAAGCCGCCTCCGCGATGTTCTCAAGGGTGACGAGACAGCTGCTGTCCTAATGTGCCGGATGCTGACTTGACTTGACGGAAAGGGGCCAGGGTGGGGGGATGCTACGGCAGTTCCCAGAGTGAACAGAAGATGCAGCAGCGCAGCAATGTTCCACTTTCCAAGTGGTCTCTGGGTGTGCCGGAATCTTTCTTCGAATTTTTTTGGCTGTCTCGAGCTCTTTGCTACCGTCAAGCTAGGTACTGTCTGTATCTGTTCTGGGTGCTGCCCTTCTCGCTGCTAATCTTGCTCTGGCTGCAGGCTCATCGACCCTCCTGGCAAAAGGAAGCCGGTTCCCTCACGCCCTATTAAGATTACCTCCGCAAGGCCATCCGCCATTCTTGTAGTACAGACAGGAGCGTACTCCGGGATCAATTTGACGTCGAAGCTTGATCCTTGGCGTGACCCTGGACAAGTCCACGGCTTCCAGCCTCTTTTCTCCCGATTTTCATGTTCACGTCCATAGCGGAGAGCGATCCCTTCCTGCCTCTGATCACTTGCAGTCTTGTAGCCCCTGGTGCATCCATGCGGTATGGTTCACCCATACGCGCCAGAGTAACTCGGAGTGTCTGGTACCAAGACTCTACTGTGTTCATCAGGTCCTTGCGCCGCCCAATCCTTCCGTTCCCTACCAGCCAACCGAGCAGTTCTAGGACGCCACGTCCTGAACGGGTCTCGAGTAGGTGTTCATCTCTTCATGTGGGAGAGCCTGGGCGGGGCTGCTGCAGATGCGTCGGGGCGAAATCGAGAATATAGAGAGGGGTTGTACGGGGGTTGGGGGGGTGTTACGAGCATGTACGTGTGTCACGAATAGCATCAAGGGGATGTGACTTACCCGTCTTCTTTGGCATTAGGGCCCTTGTGTTGGGCCTGGGTCGGTGGGGGAGCATGATATTGCGATTGAGACTGGCTGTTGTTGTTGTTGTTGTTGTTGTTGTTTTGGTTGTCGTCGTCATGGCGAGCGACCGTGGTGGACGGGCCGCTTCCGAGATTGAAGTCAATGTCGTCTTCGTCTTCGTCTTCTTCCTCATCGTTGCCGTATTGTCCGTTGCCTCCATTGTAGTAGCCTTGCTGACTGTAGTCGTTGGATCCTCCGTAGTTGTCAGCAGCCGACTGCTGGACGGCGGCAGCTTGTTGGTGCTGCTCTTGCTGTTGCTGCTGCTGTTGCTGCTGTTGTTGAGCAGGTTGCTCAGTAGCTGAAGTCTGAGCTGTGGTGGGGGCGGAAGCTGGTGCAGCGGCTGGCTTTGAGGCAGCGGGAGCGTCGTCGTCGTTGTACCTAGTTCGCAAGAGTGTCAGATCATGTTCAGATTGGGTGGTCACCAGGGTACTCAAAATAACATACAGATCGTCGAAGAGGTCGTCCTCGTAATTCTCTGCTTCGGCCATTTTGCCGTTTGTTGTGTGTTTCAATACCGGGTATTGAAGATGGGAAAGAGATGAGAGTTGAAGTAGATCTAGACTAGTATTTGTGTGGGACGCTGAGATGGCGTATAAGATGATGTAGTCGTCGAGAAGCAGCGAGACGCGACTAATGGATCGTAGTGGTCGAGTTATCGTAGCAAGAGATGCGGCGGCGGGTGGACCTCGGAGCAGCTCAAGTAGAGCCCGAGGTGGGTGAGTCCGTTCTACAGTTTCCTCCCTCAGATCAAAAGACGCGAATTTGGGCACGGATTGAGTGTACAACTAATGAAGTCGTCGGTTGTGGTCGGTTGTGATTGCTGCTGTCGAGGATGACTTGACTTGGGTAGAAAAGTGAAGGTGGAAAGTGTGGAAGAGTGGACGTCGTTTGCTTTTCAAGTGAAGAAACCGGAACTCCATCCAGTCTGCCTGCCTCAGTCAGTCCCCTCGCCGCTGTCTGCACTGCAGTCCCAGTTTGGCGCCGAGTGTTAAGGTTCGGTCGGGTGTGGACCCCGATTCAAGGCGCCGGCACCGCGAGTTGGGGCGCTTCCGGCAACCATGACTTGGGGTCGGGTACTAACAAAAAGACGTTACCTTACTACCTCTACGACACTTGCCCAGGTGGCAGTCGCGTGTCTAGAGGTAGAGGTACCTAGGTCTGCAAGGGCCAATTAGGCGCGTGGGCGGTGAGAAACAGCCTGTACACTACAACGAGGCCCGGCCTGTGTACCTGCCGGTCCAGCGCACCTAGGTAGGTTATCACACCCTCTGGGCCGCCCATGCGCTGTGGTGGTTGTGAGCGACATCGGCTGCCCGTCTGAGGCTGGCGAACAGCTGGCGAGCTGTGACAGGCGGACAAGTCTGGGCAATCACTGCTGGAACAGGAAGGCAAAGACACCGAGATGAGATGAATGATGGGCAAGATGGACGTGCCCGGTTTGTTAGTGGCCCCGAGCCTGGCAGCCGCTGTGTACCCAGGAAACAAGCCGATGGGCTTAACACGACCACGGCATCAATGAGTTGAAGGGAACAGGAACGGCCATCCATTGTCTGCCTGTCTAGCTCCATGGAGATTCCCTCCGTCCAGTCCCTTTCAACGAACGACATTCCAGTTGACCATGGTGTGATGCCATTGCGCTGGTAGACCAAGGCGAAACCACCATTCCTGTTTGTATACTACCCACTCACATAATGTTTTCTTCTTCGAGCTCGGGCAAGAAAGCGTCTCCCCAGGTACGTGTTAGTGCTCCATCCATTTCCTCACTCCAATGATGCTAACAGGCCATGATGTCGCTACGCCAGCAGGAGATGGTGCAAGTTGGTATGTCCTGCATGATGGCTACAGCCCTCCCCTCGTTGTTTGTTGTATAACCAGTTGCTGATCCCATGTCCCGTCATGGCTTCAGACAGGTCCGAGTATGTCTCAAGTCCTATTCCCAAACTCAAAGACGGAAACACTGACATGACTCGGACAATGCGACAGCTCTGGCTCCCCTTTTTGGAGAGCGCCCCAGAAGGATGCCCCGCTAAAGAAGACGACCACTCGCGACTCGGCCAAGGTCGTTGGCGCTGCCTATTCCCATGCCGACATGCTCAAGTTTGATTCATTGTGCGTTGGTACTGTTTGGATATCTCTTTTGGCTGTTTGCTGACTATGGCTCTCTTGAACCAGAAATCTGTCCAACGCCGGATCGCGACCACGAACCCCTCCTCCCTCGAACTCTGCCCTCGGCCGAACCACTTCCAATAGTACAGCCTCGCCCCATATCAAAGGGGTGACATCACCTCCTTTCCAGAACTACATGAACTTTATAACGAGCACCAACGAAGACTGGGCGGCCGACGACGCAGACGATGTATACGCCTACGAAGACGATGGCGACGATGACTTTGGGCTTCCCAGTCTGTCCAGCATGAAGAGGAGGTCGCGCCGCATAGCAGCGCAGACTGAACAAGGAACCAGCCGAGGAACTGCGACAAACACGCTCACAGACTCAACCGGACGTCGATACTCGGACAGCGCCGACATAGCCATCGAGCGACCAGCATCAGCCTACCCAATGCCCAAGAAGACCGAAGGCAAGATCCTCCGACCACAGTACAGAGACATACTCCGCGATCCCGCAAACGCCCTACACCTAATCAACCACCCTTCCGTACCACCTAATGCTTCCCAAAAGGAAATCGATGCTGTCAACTCGAGGATAACCAGGATCAACAAATTCAAAAAGATTCTTCAAGCATCAACCATCCCTCTAAACGACCTTCGAGCCCTAGCCTGGTCCGGCGTGCCAGAAGAAGTCCGGGCCATGACGTGGCAGCTTCTACTAAGCTACCTCCCCACCAGCAGTGAAAGGAGGGTGGCCACACTAGAGCGCAAACGAAAAGAATACCTGGACGGCGTACGACAAGCCTTTGAACGAGCAGGTGGCGCTCCACCACCGTCCACCGGAAAGGGAGGCGGGGGCAACCGCGGCCTAGACGAAGCCATCTGGCACCAGATCAGCATCGACGTCCCTCGAACGAACCCACACATCGAGCTCTACGGCTACGAAGCAACACAGCGCTCTTTGGAGCGTATCCTCTACGTATGGGCGGTCCGACACCCAGCGAGCGGCTACGTACAGGGCATCAACGATCTGGTGACGCCCTTCTGGCAAGTTTTTCTGGGCACATACATCACAGACCCAGACATAGAGAGCGGCATGGACCCGGGCCAGCTACCTAGGGCGGTGCTGGACGCCGTCGAGGCCGACACGTTCTGGTGCCTGACGAAGCTGCTGGACGGCATACAGGACCACTACATTGTTGCGCAACCGGGTATTCAGAGGCAGGTAGCGGCGCTGAGGGACTTGACGCAGAGGATCGACGCCGGACTGGCGAAGCATCTGGAGGAGGAAAATGTCGAGTTTATCCAATTCAGCTTCAGATGGATGAATTGTCTGTTGATGAGGGAGATTAGTGTCAAGAACACGATCAGGATGTGGGATACTTACATGGTTAGTTCCTTTACCCCCTTCTCTCCCTTCAGTCTTCCCCAGCTAGCTAGCTAACCCTCAAAACCCCCCAAAAACACAGGCCGAAGAACAAGGCTTCTCGGAATTCCACCTCTACGTCTGCGCTGCCTTCCTCGTCAAATGGTCCGACAAGCTCGTCAAGATGGACTTCCAAGAGATCATGATGTTTCTGCAATCCTTGCCGACGCGCGAGTGGACAGAGAAGGACATTGAGCTCTTGCTCAGCGAGGCCTACATCTGGCAGAGCTTGTTCAAGGGGTCCTCGGCGCATCTGAAAGGGCAGCCGAGCAGTAGGGCGAACTCGTTGAACTTTCAGCTTTGAGCCCGAGCCGAGCCCCTTGAGTTTGAGTTTGAGCTATCAGTGCAGGGGAAAGATACGAAAGAAAGAAAGAAAGTTCTTCGATTCGAAGTAAGTGGGTAGGTGGGTGGATCGGCGCGACACAAGGCAAAGACATGACAACAAATAGCTGTCCTGGGGACACGCTCTATCAACTTGAGTCTTGGCTAATTGAGCCGGTTCCTTTTGTGTCGTGGCGACGCTCGTTGAACAGATGTATAACCACCCACCCCATATAAACAGTTGACGAAGAAAAAATCATAATAATTTACCGAAGAGGAGGAGGATGCAAGCAGCTTATATGGCTGGATGGGATGAGATGAGATGGGATGGATGGACGAATCAAAGGTCAAAGAGGAAGCAAAACAGAGATACCAATTGGCTAAAAGAGAAAGAGAGAGAGAGAGAGAGAGAGAGGAAGAGAGAGAAACGTAAAGCAGGTACGAAAACAAGAGTACATAAGCTTCTAGAGTAAAGATCACTTGTAGTAATATACTTAATACCACGTCATTGGAAAGAAGAAAAATCGTCAGCTCATGATAGAGGGTTTTCAATATTGACAATGGTTGGGCACTCGGTCAACAACCGTCATTCACAACATTGACCCATCTTCATGTCACGGAGAGAAGTGACAAGATCAGCGGGAAACGAAGTTTATATACGCTTTCTGTATAGGTACCATTGATACGCTTTCAGATTTCCAGTGCAAGTATATGTGAATAGCTATGACCGGTCACACCTACAGTACTCCTCTTGCGTTACCCTTCAATTCTATCTGATAATTTCCCACGCTCTTTCTTTCTTTCTTTCTTTCTTTCTTTCTCTTTTATTTTTCTCCTGCCCTTCTTTTTTTTGAATTTCTTTTTCCTTTCTTGTCCATGTAGACTCCTCCCATCTCTCTTTTGTGTTTGAAAACTATCTCTACCCCGTCTCTGGACATAAATAATGAGCGACTTTAGTTAGGAAGTCCAGAGGGGCGAATATCAACTATCAAACGCAGTGCTCACTGGATTGGCCAGGCTGATCAACCGACAACTTCTCTTTTAAGGAGGGTATGGGAGTGAGCCTGGACGAGCAAGTCCCTGTGAAGCACGCTTGAAAACGAAGTGAAAAAAACTAACTCGGGCTGGTTGGTACGTGAAAGCTTAAGACTGGAGTGAGCGTATCGGTGTAAACCAACCACTCTCTGCGTTGATTGACTTGCAGGCTTTGCCGTTTCATTCGGTCATCATTCCACCACGAAAGAAGATATCCAACTCTCCACCTGCCCGGAAGCAACAGATCGAGAGGTAATTTCTTCCTGGGTAGATCGCATTTGACCAGGCGCCTTCGCAACCATGCAAATTCGACCGTCAGCTAACCCAACGTTTTGCCCCCGATATTAAGTGTGGGTCGACCTCCCCCCGGCTCCGTACACCCGAGGATGACAAAACCCTCCTTAGATACCCGTCCGTTGCCCGAGTCCGTATGCACGTCTGATTTGGTGTGCGACCTTAGACGAAGGTGTGTGAAGATGCCTTGTTCCCGTCTGCTTGGGGTTCAGCTTGCACGAGACTATTGCGCAGAAGGTATGTAGGCTGATCACCCACACCTTGGAGAAGCCTATGTGAAGGATTGGCTTTCAGAAAGCAGCAACAACTCCTTGCAGCTTCAGTTGGGCAAATCCAAGCTGGAGAAGGGTAAGTTCGTCTTCTGCCCGCCAGCCCGAAGGCTATCGGTAGCGTGTCAACAGAACAAGTCTGTCGTGCTCACCAAGTGACACATAATAGGTCCATATGCTATACCGCCGTTTAGGTTCAAGAGAACTATAAGCATTGTGTCGTGCGCTTCCACGAGAGGAAGAGGGAGACCAACAACGCCTAGGAGCTAATCGCTCAATCGAAACCTGTCCCGATCTGGCTGGCAAAAGCAGTGCTGACGCTCTTCTCGTCGTCATCGTAACGGCGATATCCGTTGCCGACTCCCATACGACCATTGCTCTCAACGTACTGCTTAAGGCGATCGCTCTGGCTGTAAGAAGTAGGGCGGGCTGATCCGATGGCCTCGCTAAGGCCAGCACCGAGACTCGCGCCGCCCTGTCCGATACCCTTGCCGCCGATGACACTGGAAGTGGCATCAGTGAACTCGCTGTTGGCGACGCTCTCGCCTGCGATACTCTCTGTCGCACGACCACGGCCCTTGGCGCCCGGGCGTCCGTTGGGACCAGCACACGGCAGACCAGCCCACGCCTCAGGGTGGAAGTTCGAGAACATGGCAGGGTAACCAGAGCTCAAAGCGGCACCTCCCAGGGCGGAGCTGTGGATCGATGAGACATCATCCGGGATGTACGAGACCATAGAACCAGTCTCATAATCCCTGACGGAGCCGGCAGTCAAGGGAGCAGCGAATCGGCCATTAGAGGGACCGCTGGCAACATGTTGAGTGTGGCTGCGCTGCGGCCGGTAGGCCTGGCGAGGTCTGCCAAACTGCAAGAGAGAAGGCTGCAGGTTTGTGAGGGGACCTTCGACGAGACACTTCTTGTCTTTGAAGTGGACGAGAAGGTGGTGCCAGAGCTCGTGCTTGCAGAGAACCTTGGGGTTGCCAATAATCACCAGACCGTACTTGGCACGAGTGAGGGCGACATTGAGACGACGGGGATCCGAAAGGAAACCAATACCTTGGTTCTCATTGGAGCGAACGCAGGACAGCACAATGAAATCCTTCTCTCGGCCCTGGAAGGCATCAACGGAAGCGACTTCAACTTCCCTGTAGGATTCCTTCTTGAACGTGCCAGTGTTCTGCATGGTATTGACAATGTAGCTGCGCTGACCCTCGTACGGCGTAATGACACCGATGTCAGCAGGCTTGACACCAGCCTTGAAGAAGCGTGTGACAATCTTCTCGACGTTGGCAGCCTCGGTCCGGTTGAGGTACGACGTGCCCGAGGCCGAAATTTCCTCGTTGCCCAAGTTGGACCAGAACATCATGGGAGTCTCAGGGACCGGCCAGGGGAAATCAACATCCTTGCGGAGTCTCTCGGCGGCAGTGACGCCGTTTTGCAACGATCCTTCGTAAAACATATTGGAGGGGAACTCAGAGAGGCAAGGATGCATACGATACTGGACCTTCAAGCGAATGGGGGTAAACTGAAGCTTGACCAACCTCTCGAAGAGCGACTGGTTAAGGCCAGCCTTGGCAGCCTTCTTGTTCATGATGACAGGGCCAAGCTGCTTGTGGTCACCAACCAAGACAACCTGCTTACATCCAAGGACCAGTGGAATCATGCACTCAGGTTCGGCAGACTGTGTAGACTCGTCGATGAGCACATTACGGAACTTCATCTTGGAAAGTCGCGGATCTCCGGCACCAACACAGGTGCAGCACACTACATCGGCGTTCTGCAGGATCTCACGTTCGGCCTGGCGCGTCAGCTGCTTGAACCTCTTTTCATCCTGAGAAGACAGCTCGCCGGTCTCGGTCTTGAGCTTGACGAGACCATCAAGCTCCTTGTTGGTAGTATTCATGCGAACTTGCTCGTGGAGAGCCAGGAAACTGACGGAGGATTCGACATCCTCACGGGACTTGGCGGTCAAGCGAACGACCTTCAGGCCGGTTCTGTGGATCCTCTCACAGAGCTGGTCCACAGCAACGTTGGATGGGGCGCAAACGAGAACTTGGCTGTTGCTCATCTTGGCAAGATGGTAGATGATGGTAGCCGAAGTGACGGTCTTGCCAGTTCCCGGAGGGCCCTGGATAAGGCTCAGAGGATTGGACAAGACCTGCTTGATGGCGGCAATTTGGCTGGCATTGAGTTCAGGGAGACCAGGAACGTGGAACTTTTTGGGCATCGTAATCTTTGTCGGGGCAACCTGAACTTCGTGTCCAAGCAGCTTGTGGAAGATGTAACCAGAAACACTCATCTCGTCGACGGCAAAGGTCTTCATGGCCAGCTGCATGCGGTCATAGGAAGTCGCTTTCCACACATAGTCGGCCGAGAAATTGTGTGTGCATTCCGTGGGGACAGACTTGTCATTGGCTGACTTGCGAAGTTCCACCTCAACCTCGTCGGATTGGTTGTTGGGAATCTTGATAACATATCCAACACCCTCCCAAGGCGGGCGCAGCTCTCCCTTGTACTTGAGACGCATCTCATCGCCAACGGCCAGCTTAACGTCACCGGACTCGATCTTGGGAAGGATGAAGCTGGCGACGTGTTTGCTGTTGAGACCCAGATGCCAGCGGACTTGAAGGCCATCCTCAGACTGGGCCTCCTTCAGCTTCTTGTCGTAGTCGGATTCCATCTTGACGAGAGGGCCGAAGATGTTTTGATAATGATAGGGGTCGTCGTACTTGAGCAAGACCGGGTGAGGATCATCATCGACTCCGGCACTCTTTTCGAGATCGGCAACAGTCGCGTTCGGTGCCTCCTTCCACATTTCCTCGAGCTTGGCAATCATGGGCGGCGTGAGATGGCGAGCACGAAGCTGCTCAGCATCCGTGGGAGGGGTGACGAGCCAGTTGAGGAAAGCCCTGTCTTCGATCAAGGGTTGCCACCTGGATATATCCCAGCTCATGTCCTTGGTCGACGTACTAGCACCACACGGCTGGCGGCAGAGGAGGACCACAACCGTGTCTGACTTGGCAGGGATGAAACCGAGGATGAAGACATTCTTGGTGCCGCAGTTGTAACATTCGAGGACGGTATCGCCGAGGGAGGACTCGGGGTGAAGTTGAACTTCCTTGTGACGGGCGCGAACAAGGTGGTTGACGATATGGGACGAGAAGGCGCTTCCTTTGGCACTGCAGAACCACTTGTTACAGGTAAGGCACTTGACGACGCTGGAGGGCGAGTGGATGCCACAGTAGGCACAGGCGTGGGGAGGCAGTTCCTTCTCCTCCACGGGGGCATCCAGCTTGAGGCTCTTCATGCCGTCGACTGGAACGCTGGCCAAACTCTCGTCATCATCGTCATCAAGAACCTCGGTCTCGTTGTCGTCGTCATCGTGGCGGCGTCTACCATTGCCGCGGGGACCACGTCCACCGTAGACACCGTAGAGGAGGTTCTCATCGGGATCGATATTGGACAGTTCGTCGGAGCCACCGGCCTTGATGGCGGCAGCAGAGTCGGAAACCAAGTGGTTTCCAAGGTGTGTGAAGGACACCTCCATGTTGGCCATGATGGCGAGTGGGTTGACGGAGGTAAACTCTGGAGCACCAGCAGCTGGTCAGTAAGTGTCTGGGAGGAAAATCCGAAGCGTAACGGAGGTTCAGGCAGGTATCGTTGGGGAACGAGATGAGTAAGGTACTGTTGGTATACGCCGCGGTCCAGCCTGTAGCTGTTGAGCGGGCTGTTGGGGAGGGATGTGTATTTCAGTGTTTACATGAACATGGCACGCAAACAAGCGGCGTACCTTGGAGAGTTCACACCCGGAAGTGTTGTCGAAAGGTAAAAGGTGTGGCTGTCGTACTGCGGGTTGTCGCAATGCGGGACTCTGGAAAGATGTAGATTATGGGCTTGGAAGTCGTCTAAAAGGTCACATCATCGCATAACGGATTGGATCGGCGAGCGGGCTGTGTTGCGCGCGGGGGCTTTCGAAACGACGACACTGCCAGAACGTCGAGGTGCTGATGCAGTGTGAGACTACTGATCGGCCCGCTTAAGGTTGTTCTTGGTGTTGTGAAGCAAATGGTTTGGTTGCCGCCGTTCAAGGTCACGGTTGTTGTTGTTTGCTTGGGGAATTTTGCCGGTGGCCGACTTCAGTTTGTGTTGGCGGACGGGTCACGGTTGCGGTTGGAGGTTCGTTGTTTGATATCCGACGGGGCGGCCTTCTATCGATCAGCAGCCTCCGGTTCTGGGCTCAGCTGTTTGAGAGGCACAGTCATAGCGCCTGAAACTGCCCTGTATTCTAGAAAGCGGGCAGCAAGCTGAGTACAGTACTGGGAAACCGGCAGAAGCCAGGGTAAGGTGGCGTTGTACCGCGGGCGACCCAGGCGCGATCTCATTCCCGGCAGGCGCAAATCGACGGGAAGCCGATAAGTATCCGCCAAGTTGAAAGGGTCCGTGCACCTCGCGCTTAGTCTCTGTAACTTTTTTGACTTTTTTCTCTGTCAACACCCCTGTCGTCACCAACCACTCCGCCCTCCACTATCGATTCGGACGTCTGAATTTCTGCCAGTCTTCGCAGCCTTAATTCTTATCGACAACCTCATTACTACCATTTTGACAACACGACTCTTCGAGCTCGGCGCAATCCCTTCCACCGAATCACTTATCACCGTCTGATAAGAGTTTCAACACAGCAAGATGATTGTAAGTGTCCCAGTCTACTCGTCATCTTCTCCAAGCTTTTCAATGTCCGTGACTAACAACTGCAACAGAGAAAGCAAGCTCGCCAAAGGCGGGACTACCTCTACCGAAGAGCCCTCCTGCTCAAAGAGGCCGAGGTTGCAGAGAAGCGCGCCAAGCTGAGGTCTGCCCTGGCCTCGGGAAAGCCGCTTGACCCCGAGATCGCAAAGGACAAGGAACTGCGAAAGGACTACGACTACGATGTTTCGAAGGATGTGAACGGCGACGCCATCGATATCGACGACGAATACTCAGAGTTGTCGGGTGTCATTGACCCCCGAATCTTGGTTACGACAAGTCGCGATCCCTCCAGCAGACTCGGCCAGTTCAGCAAGGAAATCCGTCTCCTACTACCCACCAGTGTTCGACTCAACCGTGGTAACCTCGTTTTGGAAGACCTTGTTGGTGCCGCCAAGGCGCAAAACTTGACGGATGTTGTTTTGCTACACGAGCATCGTGGTGTCCCTACCGCCATGACCATCTCCCATTTCGTACGTTGTCCCATCAGGCATGTTGCTGTACTTGCGCAAGGCGTTTTCTAACCAATTGCTACAGCCCCATGGCCCGACGCTCATGGTCTCCCTTCACAACGTCGTTCTCCGCGCCGATATTCCCAAGTCGATAAAGGGCACAGTCAGCGAAAGCTACCCCAGGCTCATCTTCGAGGGCTTTAGCACCAAGCTCGGTGAGCGGGTGGTCAAGATCCTCAAGCACCTCTTCCCTCCCCGCGAGCCGACACAGAAACCCAATGTCGGCAACAGAGTCATTACATTTGTCAACAACGACGATACGATTGAGGTTAGGCACCACGTCTATGTCCGTACCTCGTACGACTCGGTCGAGCTCAGTGAGGTTGGACCCCGGTTTACGATGAAGCCCTTCAAGATCACCATGGGCACCCTCGACAACAAGGATGCGGATACCGAATGGCACCTCAGCCAGTACACCAGGACCAGCAGGAAAAAGAACTACTTTTAAGCGGTGATTGGAACGAAAGGGCCGCTATAGTCGTGTGGTTATCGGTTGGATATTGATTGCGCCGGACAAACCCGAAAAAAGGGTAGCCAGGAGAAACGCAAAGACACTATCTGGTGGCGGAAAGCCCTTCTCACCAATTTGTCTGCTGCTCAGTGACAGGAGGCAATGGGAAGATCGCTCAGATGCCTAGGCGAATTCACGCTTATATCCTCCTCTACCGCCCGAGGTAGAACGTGGCTGGCCAAGATAGCGAGTCTTGTGTTCCAGCTTCGGCGCTCTGGTGGAACCATAAATGATAGCATCAACGTCTGACTGGTGATCGGCGTGGTTGCTGGGTCGGCTGCTTGCCGAGTGGCTGTGAGGACCGGAAGGTTCCCGCGGTGAAACGAGCATGTCATGTCTATCAACGACATGTCATCACTACTGGAGGTAACGCACGCAACGATCGGGCTGGAGGATGGGACAAGAATGGGAGCAGCAGTCTCATGAGATACCAATGTTGGGATTTGGATGTAATTTTAAGAGCATTGGGTTCACATATCAGGATACGGACCGGAGTTGAGGGTGTAAGGGTATCATTTCTCAGCTGAGCGCGGAATAAACAAAACGTGTGATCGAACGGGTGTTCCAATTCGGTACTGGGTGCTGGCATGCAAAGAAAGAAAGGCGGTTTGAGCGGCTCAGCAGCAAGCCGGGGACACGGTTGAAGTCTGCAACTCAATGAGATCAGATCAGAAACATAAAGCAATTACTCGATGAAGTCGAAATATGACCTGCCAAGCTTTCTACCAGTGGGAAGAAAAAGGACCCCTTTTCTCCTTGGGGCTCCATTCCAAACAAAAGGGGGCGCGTCGACGTGGAGACGGCAGTGTCCCGTGGGGCCGCCTGCACGCTCTGTTGGAGGTTCCACACGATTGGTTCCAACCAGCGCAAGTGCCAATTGCCGCTTCACAATTGACGATATCGTCACAGGGCGGCAACAGAAAGATTTCCAACTTTTCCATTCCTCTGCCATTGGAGAATTACGCGATCAAAGTTTGCCATCCTCCCGTCCACGTGGTGAATGCGACGATAAGTCGGGGGTTTTGACAGCGGAGATTTGATCACGTTTCACACTCCGAGTTCATGAGGCTGTTAAAGCTGTACTTTGCGGTGCCCTCTTCCTTCTCATCGTTTGACAATAACAGCCTCTCACTCAGCAGTCAGTCGTCAGCTCTTGAAGCTTGTGCCTTGATGCTGCATTGCGTGCAGGCTGCAGCTGACCTCGGGCACAGCAACAACTGGACATGTGGGTCGGGAACCCGCTGTGACCGAGACTCTTTTCCCATTGTGGTTTTGAGTCGGAGTCTGGCTCAGCATTCATCATCAACAGAGAGACAGGGGTATGGATCATCCATAGCCACGGTTCAAGACAGCTCCGTGGAATGATGTGTAGAGGCTTGAAATATAGTACAAACTCATCTGCAAACACCTTTCAGCCTCTCTCTCTCCAGCCACCGCCCTGTTCAGCCCTTTTCCCCTCTGGAGCTTCGATACATATAATTCTAGGCCTTCCATCGATCAACGTCGTTCAGGATTCGTGTCCTGCAATGTGAAGAACGTCTCTGATTTCATCGCATCGCTTGAGGTGTACAATAGATTGGACAAATGAAATATATCTTTTATCACTGGTACCATTCATATCTAGAAGCCAACTTCTCTAAACATTTTCGCTCCGACACAAAGAATCAAGAAGACGGAACCTTGCAAGAAACAAGAGCAAGAAAAACACGAGAAGAAGGATTTTGCGGGTCATTCGCTCCGTCCGGCCTCGGTACCTTGCTAACGAAAACTGCCCTGAAACTAATCCGTCTTGGGACGACTAGGTAAGCCGTACTGCGTTAACAGCTCATGGCCGCACCGCCAAAAACTTGCCCGGCGTTACTAGATGATCGCCAGCCCACAGCCCGCTTCCTTGGCCCCAAACCATTGGCCATTGGTCGCCCCTGGAACACTCCGTCGCTGCTGCACCCCCAAATTTAAACGAGAAGCGCTCCGTCACTGCCCTCTCCGTCTTTTTGCATTCGTTCGGTGACTGGTCAGAGCAGAAAGAACTAAGCAGCCTGTTCAAACGTCTTTCGCTCGAGTTAGGTCAGCGGGCGGCATCATCCATCAATCAGTTCATGTGAGGCTGGGCTCTTGTTCTTACCTTCAGTTCCTTACGAGGTTCCCTTGTTGTCGACCACTTTCAGTTGCGACAACAAAAACACTGCAGTCAATACCACCCGGCACCCCCGGTCTTCCATCCGTACCTACCTACCTATCCAGGTTATTCCTATCTTAATCCATTAATCTGTTGGCTTCTCCCCTCTTAAAGTATTGTCACCATTGGAAAAACGACAACCGCCGACCACTGCACCGGCACATTCACGTCCGTGCAATTGAATCGAGCACAAGCGACTTCATCTCGGAATTATCCAAACAGTAGCAACCATGTCTTATAATCAAAATCCCTACGGTCAGCCTAGCCCTTACAACGACGGTCCTTCGGCCGAGGGCGGTTATGGCGGCAACTATGGTGGAGGTTACGACAACAACGGCTACGGTCAAGTGAGCAAGCTCCTCCCTCCATATTGTCCTTTGACGAACCTCTTCATCGCATCTCTCGACTCATTCAATCCGATCATATCGCGAGGTCATTCATGGTCGCAATGCAATTAGCTAACCTACTCCCTTGCAGCAGCCCGAATCACACGAGATGCAGACATATGGCCAGCAACAACGTCAACCTCACGGCCCTGATACCACGGCCACCGGCGCTCCTCTATCCCAGCAAGAATTCTTGAACAGTGTCCGCGACGTCGAAGGCCACATCCAACAGTTCCGCGCAAACCTCGACCAGATCCGCACTCTTCACCAACAGTCCCTCTCCGATACCAGCGGCCGCCCGCCCCCAGGCCTCGAGCAGCTGCAGGCCGTGACCGAGCAGCTCAAGTCACAGATCAAGACCGAAGTCGACAACCTTGTCTCTGATGCCACCCGGACCGGCGACGGTACCTTCAACACCAAGAAGCGCCAGGCCGAGCGCCTCAGGGATCTGTACAAGGATGCTATTCAGGCCTACCTTGTGGAGGAGCGCCGCCACAAGGGCCAGATTGGCGAGCAGGCCGTTCGTCAGCTGTTGATTGTCAACCCCGATGCGACGCCCCAGGAACAGGATGCTGTGCGCAACGGCGACATGCAGCAGGATCAGATCTTCCAGAGTGCTGTATGTTGTTCTCCATTGAATCTCTTACTTTTACGCTTGCTAATTCCTGCCCAATAGCTCCTACAATCTAACCGCGTCGGCGCCGCCAAGGCCGTCCTCGGCAACGTACAAGCCCGCCACCAGGAACTCCTCCGCGTCGAGCAATCGATGCAAGAGCTCGCCCAACTCTTCGAGTACCTCAACACGCTCATCGTGCAGCAGGGCGAGGTCATCGCCGACGTGGTACAAAAGACGGAGCAGGTCAACGACAACATGGACAAGGGCATCCAGGAGGTTGACAAGGGCGTCAAGCACGCACGCAACCGCCGCAAGCTCAAATGGTACTGCTTGCTGGTGTGCGTGCTCATCATCATTGCCATTGCGCTCGGTGTCGGCCTGGGCGTCTACTTCTCGAACAAGAAGAATTAGAGATTCGGTGGTGGTTCGGGAGGTTCAGACGCAGATGAGGCTGGTGGCTTGAAAGGGGCCACGCCGCCGCCGTCGCAGCAGCAGCAGCAGGCGCAACAGCAGTCACAGTCGCAGGCGCAGGTGATCCCTCCGGTGCCGGTTATTCCTCCACTAGCTCCGATACCTGTGCCGCTCCCAACGGTTGTTCCAGCGCCAGTGCCTTCAGGCGGAGGTAACCACGCTTATGCTCCTCAGGCTCAAGGACTAAGTTGGAACGCGACGGTGGCTGGAGAGAAGAGATTTTACAGTGCGGGCTGGTAATGGCCCCTACCAAACTCGACACATACACAACACAACAAATACCCATGAGAGAAGAGAAAGGAGAAAGAAAGAGGGGAGTGGAAACGGATATATATGATATTCATACGGGTTGATATGTCAGCAAAGCATGTTTTACGCGAACGAACTGTATCAGGACAACACACCCCGGGACGTAATAATCACGAACGACGCATGGATGGATGGACGGATGGAACGGTGGATGACGGATGGACGGATTGAGGGTTTCTTTTTTTTTTTTTTTTTTTTTTTTCCATGTTTCTTCTTGAGGTGTGCTACGGCTCAGCTGCTTCTTCATGTTATACTCCCCCCCGTATGGTTTTTTGGTGCAAAACTTGTTTACATTAGTAATTACTTTTTTTCTTCTAACTCCGGATGGGCTGTGTTTTGATTTCGATTTGCAGTTTCGACGTTGTGTATGACTGGAGCGAAAGAAAAACAATGGAACCGATCGATATAAACGCAACAAACCACACTCGCTCCTGTTGAAACCGAAACAGGGAGTTAGTTCCATGGCTCAGCTCTACGGACTCTGTAATATAAAGAAGCAGAGGCATGTGATAGCTAAGCAACATGCTCGTTAGTCAGGGTCTTTGGTACGTAGTGAGTAAACCTATACGGTTTCAAGTAATCAAGCTTAAATGGACTACTGACTGTGGAAGTATACTAACCTGGATCTTTTATCACACGTTCCTAAAGGGCGTCCGCTACCACTGGCTTTTCACTCATAGTGCACTTCTTCACTTCAATCTCACTCTCGCCGTCTTCTTTAATGCGTTCTCACAACCACTCTTTCATTTCTCCACACCTCTCTCACTACATCTTTCTTTATTTATACTCCTCTCCAAGTTACTTGACCAATCACTTCACCCAGCCCCGAAACATCCTAAACACCAAGAAAAAGTCTTCATACAAATCTCCGAAGAACAATGAGAAGGGGTTTTTTTGTCTATCTAACGACCTACTAACCATACATAGATATATCTATCCTGTAACTACCCACCTACCTAACCATCTCGGCAATACTCTCTTTATTGAGAACTCTTTGCGCTTTCAAGGACTGAGTGCTCCACAGGCTTGCTGCTGCTCTTGAACAAGTTGCGAGGGCTTAAGTGAGATATATGGTAGGTGGGCGGTAAAAAGAAAATGATGTACGTGCGTATTGGGATAAAGTCAGCGGAATGCGTGGTGGTTTTGTGCCGGGTCTTACCTGTGTAGAGCTTGTATCGTTAGCAAAGTGGCTGGGATTTCCAAGAATAGCAGGTAGTTGGAGGGTGAAAGAGAAAAAAAAAAAAAAAAAAAAAAAAAAGCGAGAAAAAAATTTAAGAAAAGAAAAAGGACAAAAAGACATCGGGCACTAGCAATCAAGTATGTTGTGTAGTCTTTTTATAGGGATGAGTTTGGTTGTTTTTGGTATTGCTTCGGATTTGGGGCCAACTTTTTAGATGGAAGGTGAGGCACCAAGAGATCAACCCGTATGGATGTCCGCTTTGGTTCGCATATACTGTTGTGTAGTAAGTTTAATCTTATTTACTACGAATTGAATGTGTGTATATACATACTACGTACTTGATCATATTAAGAACATTGATACCGAACTCCAGACATCTGTAGAGTTGGCCCATAAAAGCAGGGGCAGATTGAGAGAAGAACATTTGACATCAACTCCATATTCAACCACAAAATCAAATGCCAATTTGACCCCCCCGAAGCGTACCATGACATAACATGATATATGATGATGATGATGATGAATTGATGATGACGAATGTGTAGTGACGAGGTTGTGTGGAATCAAGACAGAGCGAAGTGAGAGAGAAGTATTAAAGAAAAAGCATTGCATCCTATCCCATCCAGGCCAACCTATGTAAAAACACCATCCATCCATTCCCGCGTCCTCTTACCACCGACAGACATCCTCAATCTCCTTACACCGTTACAGCAGTAGCAACAACCGAAAATGAACCCTTTTTAATGTACAACACACTGCTTTTTTACTTCGTTTCAAAACTTCATCGGTTTCTTTATTTCTCTTCCTCTTTTATGCTGCTAGAGTAATCTTGACATGCTTTTACCGCATGCCGGGACCACCGCTCATGCCCTGGAGCTTGCTGGCGAGCTCGGGGTAGTTCTCCTGTACCTGGATCTGTGTCCTCGTGGCCTCGGCGTAGGAAAGGGCGTTGACGAGTTCGCCTTCGGTGCGGGCGAGCTCAGCGGCACGCTCAAAGAACTTGAGGGCCTCGACGACCTTGCCCTGCTGAAGAAGGAGCTGGGCCATGGTGGCGACGGCGATGTCGCACTCAGGGTCGACTGGAAGCGTTGATGTTAGCACCCAACATATGATGACTTGGTTCAAAAATAGGGCTATCTTACTGATGAGGGCCTTCTCGCAGAGCTGCTCAGCTTCGGCATAATCCTGCTTCCACTGGAAGAGGGCGAGAGCCTTGTTGATGAGGGGGAGAACGTTCATGCACATGGGCTTAGTCTCCTTCTCGAGGGCGATCGCGGTATCGAACTTCTCAATGGCTTCCTGGAACTTGTTCTGGTCGAGAAGAAGCTCGCCATAGTAGTTGTAGACATCGGGAGTCTGGTCAAAGTTCTTCATGCAGCGGCGGAAGGTGGCCATAGAAGAGGCAATGGAGCCCATCTTGTACTGGGTGACACCAAGCTGGATGTGGGAGAAGATGAAGTCGGAGTCGAGATCGATGGACTTCTGGTAATCCTTGGCAGCCTCGGCGAACTCCCCCTTGATAAAGTGGAGCTGGGCGCGGTGGTAGTAGATATCAGGGTCCTCGGCGTTCTGCTCAATGGCCTTGTTGAAGTCCTCCTCGGCCTTGTCGGGGTGACCTATAGAAGGGGTTAACACAGATTTAACTTAACAGTTGAAGACAAAGGCTTACCGAGCTCAAGGTTCATGCTAGCACGCTTGATGTAGCTCTGGGTCATGGCAGGGTCGAGCTCGATGGACTTGCTGAGATCGGCGAGAGCCTCCTCGTGCTTGCCCATGAGGCAGTGGAAGGTACCACGGAGGTTGTAGGCAAGAGCCTCGTGAGGGCCGAGCTCACCGAGGTCGAGGGCCTTCTTGAAGGCGGCAGAGCCCTCCTCATAACCAGTACCAGTCTTGCTCTCCAAGTGCTTCAAGCCAAGCTGCAGCTGACCAAGACCGGTCTCCTCGGAGAGCTCAACAGAGTCCTCGAGACCCTCGGGGCGGGGCTTGGAGCGGAAGCTCTGCAGGTAGTTGCCGACAAAGGTGGAGCTGGGGAGCTTGGGAGGCTTTGTCTCGAGGATTTCCTTGGCCTTGTTCTCGGCGAACTTCTTGAGGAGGCGCTCGACGGCCTGGGCGCTCTGCTCGTTGCGGAAGCCGTCGATGATGCAGCTGGCAGTGAAGTCGAGGAGAGCGTCGCTGTAGCGGCTTAGCTGGTCGTAGGCATTGGCACGGCGGTTCAGGGCCTTGACGTAGTGGGGGTCGAGCTTGAGGGCGGCGGTGGTATCGGCGACAACCTGCTCCCACTGGGCGAGGGCATTGTGGCAAGCGGCGCGGTTGGAGTAGTAGACGGGGTCGGGCTTGCAGATGATGGCCTTGGAGTAAAGGTCGATGGCCTTGTTGAAGTCCTTGGAACCGTAGGCCTTGTTTCCGAGCTCCTTCAGCTTGGCGGCGTACGCCTTGCGCTCGTCCTCGGATAGCCTGACGACGGATTCCTCATCGATCTCGGGCAGCTCGTCGGCGCTCTCGACGGCGGCGGCCTTGGGTTGTGTGGGAGCGGCCTCTTCTGTCTTGGAAGTAGAAGCCTTCTCGGCCTCCTCCTTCTCGGCCTGCTTCCGTTTCCTCCTTTCCTTCTTGCTGAGCTTGGGGCCGGACTCCTTCTGCTCCTGGGAGAGCGGGCGCAAACGTTAGTGAACGAGACTTCATGCAGCTGGGCAGGGCGCAGGGCAGCAGCGAGACGCGGGACGCGGGAAGATGCGCGGGAGAAGGATGCAACGTACTGATCCCTTGCGGAGATAGTAGACAACACCGGCGGTGGTGATGACGACGGAAACACCAGCAATGGTGTAGACAACAGCCTTGTGCTCCGAGACCCAGTTGGAGACGCGGTCCCAGATGGACGAGTCGGCCGGGACAGTGACGGGCGTGGCCGCCGGGATGGGGACGGAGGGCGGCGGGATGGTGGGAGCCATGGTTATTATGTGGTGATGGGTGTAGGAGAACCTCTAGTAGACAAGGTAAACAATCAGGGTATATACTAGATCGGAGTCGGCAGAGAGACGACCGAATGGCAAGGCTAGGTAATCGAGGAGACGAAGGGACGGCGGCGGCGGCAAGTTCAGAGACAGATTCCGGCAACTGCTTCAATTGCAGTAACAAGTGAAGTTCCTCTGTTTTTTTGAGTGGATAGTGATGCGGGTTCGTTCGCATGGGTCGGACCCGGACTTGGATAGCGCGGCGGCGGCCACAGCCCACGGCAACTTAACTGGACTTCAAGGTTGGGCCCGGGGTACTCCTTCACTCTACAGGTTTTCCCTCTTGGCACACGGCAGCGCAGTCCACAATAAGTCCACAGGTACGCGCACAGTCACTGAAAAAGGTAGCAAATGGAAACCTCAAGCTTGGTAATTGCTCGATGGCGTCGGTGGATGGGTACTGTAGACGTATGGATGTCTGTCTGCTGGGGCTCAAGCTCCGAGATCTTCGTCGTGCGAGAAAAAAAAAAAAAAAAAAAAAAAGTTGTTTTTACGCGGGCGGCAGTGCGGCTGGCGGCTGGGCAACCGGCAAACAAACTACCATACATACGGTATTACATATCATCAACTAAGGCCTGATGGGATGTAAAGAGACAGTGTTGACCTCCAAAGCTGAGGTGGTCTGAGCTCCCTCAAGCTGCTGTTGCCAAGTCTCATCATGGCGGCCGGTACCTGAATGCCCTCTGCTTACAGCTCAGCACTGTTGGTTTACACATGGACTACTCGGAGCTGAACATCCTTCTCCCTTCCCCTTGGATTTTTTGAACAACAACGGTCAAAGTTTATAACAAGGATAAAGACTTTTACATTGTCCATTGTCAGAAGGTAGATAAGCCTGGAGAATACTCTATTCCAGATAACTCAACTCCAACCACCATTAACCCAAGTTCATCAACGATTGTAGCTGAGATATCTCTCAGCCGAGGGGAAATGGAATAAACGCCAAGAATGACCGCACACGGTGGGGTAAGCTTCGCTTATGTACGTCAAGTAAAAGCGGATCAGGGCAGCTTGGGTGGTTCCACTTTAAAGTTGAACCCCACGCCCCGCCATTCGACCATCAGGGCAGTGTCATCCCGTCCAGACCTTGCCGCTGCCGTCTTTGATGCAACTGTGACAGAACTTGACTCACGGACTGATCTTATACATCCGTCGGTAACTACCTACCTATCTTTTTGTTACATGCTTCATTCCTGCCATCACCGGCGGCTTCTTGTACCAATCATCGGAAGGATCATTGATTTATCGGATTCATCAGGTACGAGGAAAGCTGATAGATCTTGAATATTTCCCATGAAACGACCACAGAGAGTAGTGAGTCACCAAGCTGGATTGCATGTCATATAAAACGGATAATACATCACGGATATCGTATCTTTCACCATTCAACTTCACTTTCCGGAGTCTCTGATCCATCGAGTCTCTGCTGTTCCTCCATCTAGGTAACCTTCAAAGACAGGCACCCTCACAATGGCGACCACGACAGAAGCTCCCCTCCTCCTCTTCACCACCCTGCGTTACGACCCTCTCCTGCTTCCTGGCTTCGTCTCTCCCACTGAATCCTCCTCGTTCGCTCCATTGTACATGCTTCCTTACCATCGCGACCGCATCCTGCGCGCCGCCACTCACTTCAAATGGCCCGCCGTGATCTCTCTCCTCTCCGGTGACAGCGGTCTCGAAACCCTCTCCTCCTTCATTTTCTCCTCCCTCTCCGACGAGCAGCGATCTCACCCAAACCGCATCCGTGTTACCGTCTCTGAGAAGGGAGAGCTAGGCATCGCCATCTCACCAGCACCACAAGTCCCTTCAACAATCAACTTCTTCCCAAATTCCCTTCCCGAGCCGGGTACCAATATCCCTAGTCTATGCCTGATGGGAACCTCGACGCCGTTCGAGGTCCTAGTCGACACCGAAAGGTCCAAAAAGTCAGCATACACGCACTTTAAGACTACGAAGCGCCAAATCTACGACGCAGCGAGGAAGAGGCATGGGATCGCGTTGACGGATCGGAAGGAGGTGTTGATTGTTAGCGAGGATGGGGAGGTGATGGAAGGGAGTATTGCCACGCCGTACTTTTGGAGAGACGGGAGATGGGTGACACCGCCGGTTGGGGAAGGTGAGGGAGAGACAGAAGGGGATTGGGGAAGTGGTGGAAATGCGGGAACTACGAGGAGGTGGGCTTTGGAGAGGTGCGTTTCTCCTGCTGTGAGATGATTATTATTGGGCAGCTCTGCTAACGGCGCGCTTGAGTAGGGGAATTGCGGTTGAGCAGATTGTACGGGCAAACTCGCTGGTTGATGGAGAAGAGTGCTGGTTGAGTAATGGGGGCAGGGGATTCTACTTTGGAAAGGTCAAGTTGGGCTAGGTCATGAGATGGCAAGCGGATGAGCGTTAAGGGCATGAATCCGTGATGCTTTCGTTGCGCCAGGATATCGTTTCTTAAAATCGCTGCTGTTACCCTAAGATATGGCTTGCAATCGTCGTTCGGTGCTACCGAGGCAGAACAGGGGCAATGTTTGTTTGCTCCCGTCCCGGGCATCACTAGGGCAACACACCAGGCTGGGCTGTCTCCCATCGTGAGACCTTCGGGGGATTTTGCGGAGCAATGTATCACGGTGCGCAAGCCGAGCCAAGCTAACAACTCACAATTACCTGTCTAGAGGGTCCAATACAGTCAAACTGACGAGCCGAGGTTCAACATCATTAAATTCGTCCTTTTTGAGGATGAATGACCTGCTGAAGTCTCGGAAAAGGAACTTGTAAGCGGGAGCACCCCGATGAAGCACAAGTGGAAAGTCAACCTACGGACTAAAGAGAGATAAGATACACCATATCTCAATGCCATAGACATGAGCGTTACACTACAACTATCGTAATACTTTGTGTAAAGTGAAGCTGCCCCGCGATATCGCTGAAGTGATCTGCAAGTTGGGCAAGACAAGGGGGAGGGGGAGCTTCAGATCCACTGCTAAGGATGGCTCGTGCACTCACACCCTCACCGGCGCTGATTGGCTGGATCTAATCAAGCTCTCTGACCGACAGCCCAATTCGAACCGGCACGTCCCTGCAGCAGAAACGCCCTTTTCGAACGAATCGAGGCCAGTCCGTCTGGATGTCGCGTCGTGTGCTACCAGAAAACATCCATCTCTGCGACCGGACGACTGACTGACTTTCTGCGGCTATCCGATCTTGAAGTCTTTCCCAGAGACTCTCAACCTGTTAACCGTCAACCGAACCCTGGACCCTTCCCACGTCCCCACCAAACAATACAGCTGCTGGCAGACAACCTCACACCCACTCGATTTCCGCCTGGCAAATGCCTTCATGACATTCTGATTGTTGACGATATACGATTGCAAACGACCACTACATACAACCCTTTCTGTTTACTTTGGGTCTTTGACCGCACAACGGCCTACCACCGAAGCCCACTCCCGCAGAGACACGAACACCCTTGTCGAAGCCGCGATTCTACGATAGCATCACCACCCACCGCTGGGACGGTTAGGTGGCAGCGACGGACAGCGGATAGCCTTCAACAACCTTACATGTCCACAATACGACCTACCCTTCACATACAGCAACAACAATGACAGACTCTTTGCACAACGCGCCCATTGTGCTCGACAATGGCTCGGGCACCATTCGCGCCGGCTTCGCGGGAGACGACGTACCAAAATGCCACTTCCCCTCCTTCGTAGGGAGGCCAAAGCACCTACGAGTGCTGGCCGGCGCATTAGAGGGCGAGGTGTTTATCGGCCAAAAGGCGGCCTCAGAGTTGCGCGGACTGCTCAAGATCCGATATCCGCTGGAGCACGGCATCGTGACGGATTGGGACGATATGGAGAAGATTTGGGCATATGTGTACGATGAGGGGTTGAAGACGCTCAGTGAAGAGGTTCGTTATTTTGTATTCTCTGGTCAGAACAAGACAACAAGCAGTAGCTAACAACGGGTCCAACTGCTAGCATCCAGTCCTCCTAACCGAACCACCCCTCAACCCGCGCGCAAACCGCGACACAGCCGCCCAGATCCTCTTCGAGACCTTCAACGTGCCCGCACTCTACACCTCCATCCAAGCCGTCCTGTCGCTCTACGCCTCGGGGCGAACGACAGGCGTGGTTCTCGACTCGGGCGACGGCGTGTCGCATGCCGTGCCCGTCTACCAGGGCTTCACTGTGCCCAACAGCATCCGGCGCATCGACGTCGCAGGGCGAGACGTGACCGAGTACCTGCAGACGCTGCTGCGCAAGAGCGGCTACGTGTTCCACACGAGCGCTGAGAAGGAGGTGGTCCGGCTGATCAAAGAGAGCGTCACGTACGTGGCGCACGATCCGCGCAAGGAGGAGAAGGAGTGGGCGGCGGCCAAGATGGATCCGGCCAAGATTGCCGAGTATGTCTTGCCGGATGGTAATAAGTTGAAGGTATGTTTTAGTTTTATTCCTCCCCCTGCCTCTACCAATGGCTTTAGGTTGGGAAGAAAAAGAGACATCGATGCAGAAACTGACACCCACCAAAGATAGGAGCAGAGCGTTTCCGCGCCCCGGAAATCCTCTTCGACCCCGAGATTATCGGTCTCGAGTATCCCGGCGTGCACCAGATAGTGGTCGACTCGATCAACCGGACAGACTTGGACCTGCGCAGGGACTTGTACTCCAACATTGTGTTGTCTGGAGGCAGCACGCTCACAAAGGGTTTCGGTGACCGCTTGCTCACGGAAGTGCAGAAGCTCGCAGTTAAGGACATGCGGATAAAGATCTTTGCGCCGCCGGAGAGGAAGTACTCGACCTGGATCGGTGGTAGTATTTTGGCGGGTTTGAGCACGTTTAGAAAGGTATGTCTTCGCTTGTGTCTGTGTTCGCGCGTGGACAAGAAGGGAAACTCAAAAAGTGGGGCCATGTGTGCTAACCAATGTGTGACAATGAACAGATGTGGGTTAGCATTGACGACTGGCACGAGAATCCGGATATCATTCATACGAAGTTTACATGATGATGATAACGACAAGACTTGGGAAAGGAGAACGAGCGAGCGAGCCGGAGAGCAAGGACACCGGTTGTCTAATAAACAAAAATCCAATTTTCATCGTACATCATCATCTATCCAGACTTACCAACTACCACCTTCTTATGTGCTACCCGTCTGGGCTAGAATCTAGCGCCTCAGAATCTTGGCTTTTGGCAAGTGGAAGAAGGGTGGTATTAGCCTTGACAAGTATACACTTTACGGAAATCATATGTTGCGATCGATTCTGGGAGGACGAAGTATCATATGCCATTTCAGTCTGAGGCTACGGCAAAAAAAGGGGGGGAGGCTCCTAGTACATAAAGAGGCTGGAAAGTAAACATGGGGTGGGTAAGTAGAGAGACATTGTGAGCAGTCAGTGAGCACCTTGACGGTCACCTTGGTAACCACAAGACATATCACACACAAGCAGCGAGCACAACAGCTGCTGGGCAGCTGGCAGATAACGAGAGTCAAGCGTCCTAAATACCTCCCTTTGGTACTCAGTGGATGGATGCGCTCCATCTTTTACTGTGACTGTCTGCTCTATACTAGTACTGTAGTGTATTGTGCACCTCTGTGGACAACCTTTACGACCAACCTCTACGGACAAGCTGTGGGGAGCCAACCTCCTGGTCGATCATACGCGGTCGGTCACAGTGCGTCAGAAACTGAACATGTTACCACCGGTGGAAGACAGTACGCGTATTGCGTACGCTATAGACTAGTGTAGACACAAGGTCCATCCAAAGAAAACAACCAAGCCGAAGGAAGCGAAGCTCCGCCATCCAGTGCGATGATCGATGATGGAGCAACAACGGTTCATGGAGCAGAGGAGACCAGAGCGACATAACACACAGGAAGCGGTGACTGGTGACTGGTGACGAGGGATTTGCAAGCAAGCACAGAACGGGAAATGGCAGGGCGTTATGTAGGCGTTGGATCACAAAAGTGCCTAGCAGTTACCCAGATGGGTTGGGGATACCTCTATGGAGCACGGGTAGATCGGGAGGGAACGAGTGAGTTGATGATGATCATGGAAGGAGGAGCGTTGGGCGGTTAGGGTTCGGGTTGCGTAGTGTAAGTCTGTCGTGTCGATTAATGATGAGCGGTAGGTAGCCCAGTACGGTATGTATGTAAAGGAATATCTAACGACGGTGCTGCTGCTGCTGCTGCTGCTGCTGTCTATCAACTATTTCGAGACTCGAGAGCGGGAGAGGGTCTCGATGATGCGTGATGGGTGGTGATTCATGGATTCATGGATGGATGAATGAATGAAACACCAAGAGAGACAGAAGAAGGAAAGAAAGGTTCATCTCCAAAAAGTCTCACATGTCGGTGGGTACTGGATGTCTAAGATCTATCTAGACGACTCAAAAAGTAAAGAAAGAGAAAAAGGAAGGATGTGAAAGAATAGGAATACCTTCAACTCATTCCCCTCGAATTGATAACAATTGACTGCACTACATCATCGAGAAGGTTAGTTTAATAACCACTCCAACAACACCCTCCTCTTAGCTCTACAACGAGGAGGTATCACACCATCCTCATGCATCGCGCAATAACCCCCTCTGAGCCCCCCAACCATCAAAGACACAGCAGCGACGTATGGATTCTCGTAGGTTACTTACTTACTTGCTTACTTTTTCATGTGTCGTTGCGTTGCATGCGCATCGTCATTGATTGCGACGATGGCGAAAGACCACCACCACACCGCAGCGGCCACATCAGTCAGTCTGTCTGTCTGTCTGTCAGTCATGGATGGCGACAGGCAGGCAGGTAGACTAGACTAGGTCATTGTGTGATCTGCTATGAGAAGAAGCAAGGCATTTTGCCCCCGGGAGATGAAAAGAGTCGTATGTAACACAACAGCAGCGAGCTCGAGGAGTCGAGGTACCTCGTGTATACCTGTGTTGTCTGGTACTACATAGTTATTTGGTTTTGATGAACGCCAGACAGTTGAATCTCCTCGGAGAATTCCCAAGCCTCCTCAAGCATTGAAGGGAGGTACGTAGATTGCTGTGTAGTTACTCGTCACCATTTCATGTCCTAGAACTGGGACGAGATCGTACGTCTAGTCACCGGGACCGAGACGCTCTTCTTTTTGTGGCCTTGCTCGTTTCGTTTCGTTTCGTGTCTTTCCACTCAACTCGTCGTGGCCCTTGCTTGAACCTGAAGCCATGGCTATGTACAGGCCTGACTGAGCCTGAGCAACCGGAACCTCGGATGAGCTCGCCAACTTCCCTCCCTTCTTCTAGGATCTGTTTCACGATCACACAACACTACACTACACTATACACTACACAGCTCGTCGTTATTCCCGACGAAGGTCCAGCCAGCAACAATGGATTGATCGCCTGGTCGTTTCTGACAAGGGGTCCTGCTGGCGGCATTCTGGAAGGAAGCCCCCTTCCTTCCATTCAGTTCAGATTCCCCCGTCAGGCTCCTCCTCGCAGGGCTCGCTCGCGGGGCGGTGCAACAAAATAAAACCATTAATCCACCAATCTAGTGTGGAATGTAGAGCATGCCTCCTCCGGCGGTGAATACTGCTGGTATGTATGGACCTACCTACCTACTTATTGTCCGTGCTCGAGATGGGAGGACACCGAACTGTCTTGTAAACTACTCGCCGTCTCGGTATTGTTGTTCATGAAAACCTACCGTTTGGCTTTATGCTTCCCAGCTAGACCGTTAGGGCATCAAGACCAGTTATCCACCCATCTTTTTCTGTATTTTTTTTTTTTTTTTTCTTCAATGAGATCTCGCTATGTTCGATTTTGTGACCTGGGAGAGCCTGGCTCGCCTGTGCTTGCTTGTTCCACCATGTCCGTTATTCCACTGCCAAATCCGAACGCAGGTTCAGCACCCGTGGGTGTGAGGTTGGCCTTGCTTGGTGCGACCGTGCGGTCGGCCTGAGTTTACCTAGTGTAGGTATATGTACCCACCACCCTCTTGCATCGTGATCTGGGTTCAAAAAGAAAACCCGGTTGTTGCGACTTGTGGACCATGCATGCCCCCGTCTTCGGCGTGCCGAATGCCGCTGGAGAACCGGGGCGGAGGGGGGTACGGGGCTTCCTTGGGCGATGCCATCCTTGAACTTTGAATTTTTTTTGTTGGCGAATCGAGGAATGGCGGCAATTCGGATGTGCCGTGGAACTGTGCCCTGGAAAGGGCGCCAACGAGGGTTTCGGCGCCCTGGATGAAAGCTCCAGGAATTTATCATGAGGAAGGGCCATTTGTGAAAGCTGAGCCCGTACCCCGGGGCGGCGGCGGACGGCGCACGGCCACTTTTTTCCGGTCTTTTGAATCCGTGCATGCCGTTTGAAACACCATTGCTCCCGTGAAGCTGTTTCGGCGGTTTGCCATGCGGTCATCTGCCGGATTTTGGTAAGTTCGTAATGTTTCACTTCGGTTTGTTCATTCAGATCAAAGTCACAATTGCAAGCATTCGAAGCGGTAGAAAGTAGATGGCAGTCAGAAAATGTTCGATTTGTACTTGTTCGTCCATCACATTCCTGCCAAAAAAAAAAAAAAAAAAAAAAAAAAAAAAAAAATGGTGCTCGCAGTAAATGACAAATCTCCATCCAATACATAAACGCTCTCTCTCCATGGGGTATCTTGATATTCGCTTTCAAATCAATGTCCAAAAGCAGAACAGTCGCATCGAAAAACTGCTGTTTCATGCGCCAGCAAACCAATAACAAACGCCGATTTTGTGCCCTTTCCCTTGTGTCGTTGGGATGATGTGTGAGGAGCTGAAGAGGCTCTTTTCGGTTTTTTTGCGGGGAGCGTCAGCGCTGCAGAAGAACCAAGAGATGAACCCTTAATTTTCCTTGGCAGCCACCAACAAAAACCACCTCTTGCTCCAACCAATCAGAAACGAGTGAATTGGCCATGATCCGACGACATCGCCGTGGTTTGTGTTGTGAAAGGAAAACGACTCTTCTGTGAGGAGGTCGTTGGTCTGAGATATCTCTCTTTCTCGCCGTTTGTTTTGCTGAGATTCCCCCCATTACATGATTGCTAATAAAATAAGAAAACTTTTTTGCCTAGTTCTTTTGTGAACTCTCCCTGCTGAAACATTTTGTCCCAAAATTCCCGATTCATCCTAGGATTCCCATCGTTGTTGTAAACCCCATAGCCAAATGTGGCATACACAACCACAGAAGCCGCCCGAAACGCCGTGCTGATGTTGAAGAAATAAAACATGTGTAAGAAAAAAAAAACGACGTCCATAGGTTGAATAATGGAGTGGTGAGTGTGTGTATGAAGTGAAAAAAAAAGTACGAAGAAGTAGGAGGAGGATGAAGAGGGAGAGGAGGACGGCTGCATTAGGACGATGGTGCAAGAGAGTTGCGTCGGATGCTTGCCATGGCTGACAAGTATTTCGGTCGAAGAGCGGGTTCGGAGTGATATCTGCGAAGGCCAGCACGTTGAATCGCAGGTCGGTGGGTTTCCCTCTCATGACTGGCATCATCATCCTTAACCCCATGGTCTTCTTGGACTGCTTCTTCCTCCCTGTTGCTGCAAATGCTCGAGCCTATGCTGCTCTCTCCATACTCTGCCAGTGACAGGCGCCACTCGTAAAGGGTCCTCCTGCTTCTTTTGTCGGAGCGGGGCTCCTAACCCTTGTGGGCAAGGTTGCTCAACGTCCTCCAAAAACCAGAGCGGTGGCTTTCGGTGGTGCTGACGGAGTCGCGGCGATGCCTGCTCCTGGAGCTGCTCTCGGAGCGGATGCTGAGCTTGTCACTGACGGTGCTGAAGATGTTGCCGGCACCGCCTCGCCCGACGTAGCCCATGGTGGCAGCCTTCTCGCGGACCTCGGCCCTCTGGTACTCCTCGTCGAAAGAAAGGGTAGGGCGCTGGGTGTAGGTGTGGGCGTTGCCAGCGCCACCGCGACCCGAGTAGAAACGGGCGGGAGCGCTGGGTTGTGCTGATGGTGTGACCTTGGTGGGAACGCCGGTCGAAGGGGTGGTCTTGGGAGCACGGAAGAAGTTACCGGCACCGCCGCGGCCAGCCTTGGTGTAGGTGTTTTGCACCACCGTGGGGTGGGGCTCGGTGATGGTGTATGATGGTGTCCTCTCCATTGTGACGGTTTGTTTGATTTTGAGTTGGTTGAGGTGGTGGACACAGCTGTCGTATGTTGACTGATGGGGATGTTATGTGTCTGAGTAAAAGTGTTTGCGTGGTATGAGACTTGTCTTTGTTGTTGGAGACGAACAGTTGAGACTGAAGAAGGTACTTATGGATCCGTGTGTAGGGAAGACGGGAGACGAGGGGTGCGGATCCTGAGAGATTCGGTCTTTTAATAGATGAGGGTGTGTTATAGAGGGGTCACTCGAGGGGTCGTTGCTTCGTGGGTTTTGAAAGGGATGGGATGGCCAAGGAAGGCTGGCCAAGAAAAAGGTCTTATTAGTTAATTCATGGATGCAGCCGGCGGGAAACTGAACCCAATTGGTAGGTGTCATGGATGGTGCTCGGACGGTACCGTAACTCTGGGGACAGTGACAGTCCTGGGACGATGCTGGGTCGCCATGGAACCACCTAGCGAGCTGCCCGCCCAGTGTTTGGACCTGCAAAGCAAGTGAAAAGTGGGCAGCCACATGACTCCTCTTTGTCCAGACTTGTACACGACGCACCTTCTCTTGCTTGTCAGCTACCTAGCCGCTACTTGCAAGTACTTTGTACCTCTGCATTTTCTTATTTTCTCTTTTTTCTTTCGAGGCACAAATACAGGGACACACTGGGCTCGGCCGGATTGCGAAATTTTCAAGACCCAAGGCGAATGGAGACAACGGACCGCAACTGGAGCAGCAGAGGAGCCAACGTGGACTTGCCCTACATAGCAACTGGCCTCTCTCTGCCTCTCGAATCGCATCGTGACTTCCACTTTGTAACTTTTTGCAACCGGGATGGAGAAAGCGGAGATGCCAAAATCTGCGGTTGCTGCTGTGCCATGATCCATTGTGCGACTGTCTCTGCAGCACGTTACAGGACAGGAGGTGGTGAAAGTGCTTCACTGATCCTGGTGTGTGTGTGTGTGTGGTGGTGGTGGTGCAGTCCGTCGTTGTCAGAAGGCCGGGAGGAGCCATGGAGGTTGACGACAATGAGTGACAGAAACGACCTCGAAGCCAACCAAACAACGGAATGGCGTCAGGTGCGTCAGGTGCTCCTCGACCTCTGAACGGACGGCTTGGGCTGAAAAAGTGTATTTTGCAGCAGCGGACAAGGCCATGGCAGTCACGACAGTCAATGGCAGTCCACGCCGGGCCATGAACGGTTGCCAACGGTCCATTCAAGCTTTCTTCTTAGCACATAGAAACTGCCAGAGCGGGCCCTGCCTGGCAGTCACGAGCCGCACCAGCACTTTCTGTTACGAGAGCATTACCCCATAATTTGGGAATTGCAGCTGTGTATCCTTTCTACGGCAAGCCCGCAAAGTTATACCTCTACAGTACTTAAATCTGGTCCATGCGTCATGCAAGGGACGGTGACGAAGCGCTGCGACCAGAATTGTGTTGTCTGGGCCAAATCTCTTTTTTTTTGTCCCTTTTTCGTTCTTTGTGCGACACACACAAGACCGCAGCATTCCGCCTGGCAGCTGCTTGATCGGCTTGGCAAAAAGGCGGACGTCGATCCAGTCTTCCCGCCGTGATCTTCAAGGTCTGAAGCATGGCCGATGCGACCATGATGATTTGTCCTTCACCCTTGGCGTCGTCGTCGTCGTCGTCGCTCTGCCGTCAACTGCTGCTGCTGCTCTTTAGGTGTGAAGTGAAGTGTTCACTTGTTCATTCCCCACGCAAGTTTGCACCACCAGTCCGCCATCTCGCGTCAGCCTGTGTCTTCATTGCCCCCCTCCATGTCACCATGTCGCAATGTCAGATTGCCTCGGCGGCTTCTGGGGGCTGTTGAGACCGTCCTCTGTCCGTCCACCGACGGCATTGAGCGTTGAGAGGCGGCGGTCAGTTGGATATATGCCGGCCGGAGTCGGTACTCCGTGGGTGGTTGTGTACATTATGTATTTACATCACGTAGAGATGGTGGAACAAGCGAGAGAAACTGTATGTGGTCTTGCTTGTTCTCTCTCCATTGAGCATCTACCCCTGGTGAAGCGATGAGTGTCGGAGAGTCGTTCCTGATATTTGCTCGGTTTCTCCTTGAAATATTACGGATATGACTCTTATTTTGTTCAATGCTTGGCGGTGTAGCGACGCGCCATGTGGAGTGTACGAAACCTCTTTGGGTTGATTTTGTTTCTATTTTTCTTTTTGGCGCTGGTGTTGCCGACTTGCCGTTTTGCTGTGCTACACGAGAGACGACTGACTGACGCTAGAGACCAAAGACCCCTCACAGTTTGAATTGTTCTCGAAAGTTTCAGCAAGTCCCTGATGACCGTTCTTTCGGTTCTTTCTCGCACCACGCCATGGCCTATGCAGACCCTGTCGGCTGTTTTCCCGGTCCAGAATCTTTTTTTCCCACTCGGCATCGACCACCTGGTGAAAAATAAAAATCCCCTCCCCCGGGATCCATCCGTGACCCATCACCGGCTCCATCGCAAAAAGGAGCTTTTCCCTAGGCGAAGCGAGTCTCCAGTTTTCTCAGGCACACGTCTTCCAAAAGTTGGCCCGAGTGCCGGCAACCCCGGATTCTGGGCTCGTGCGGTCAATGCTCCCGGCTTCTTTGTTCATTGTTCGACCGCTTCAAGTCCGAGTCCCGAACGAGAATGGTGAGGCAAAGAGCGCAGAAGAAGAACTTATCTTGTTGCTGTCATCTCCCGCTAGTAGAGACGGTTCAAACAGCTAGAACAAGTGTTAGCCCTGGATCCTTGTGGTGAAGAAGCAAGAGAGCCTCAAATGGGAACCGAAAGTCAGCTCAGGCCAAGGTGTGAAAGACCAATCATCTAGACGTAGTAGAGGAAATTTACGATGAGGTCAAAAAGGGAGGAAAACCAAATCCTGGTGCCTCAACCAAGATCGTCGGTAAGATGGATCACGACACCAACGTTACCCCTCGTTTTCAACAAAGCCAAGGGGGACCGGGCGGTCCAAGTCACGGTGAAAGCAAGTCATGCGGATGAATTGAGGAACAAGGTGACGGGAAATTGGAAACAAGCCCCCGATCCCCTCACAACAAAGCCCGATCGCAAAGCAGGACCACGTGGGGTCAGTGTCAATGAATTATGGGAGTCATGCTTTCACTTTGTTCATGCGAAGTGTCTTGAGTCCGTCTGGAATCTGGAGGTCGTCAGAAAGTTGGTAAGGTAGCCGAGGGTCGAACGTTCAACACACAGACCAACCGACTGAAACCGAGTGAGGAAAAGGGGGGGACGGGAGGCTTGCAATGAAAATCCGGGGTAAAGCTGTCGCCCTATCTCCCGCCTCTCAGGGCGTTCTCGCTCGCTCCCGTCCTGCGCTGATAAGGTGCCGTCGGATGCCCTGTGTCAACGCCAACCGGTGGTCTGGGTCAACGAACCAACGGGTTTGTTTCCGAGATAAGGATTTTCCAAGTTGAAAAACCGTGTTTCTTGGATCTTGAATTGTCGATCAGACTCTGGCTTTGTCATCCCTCGTGTTTTTAAGAATGCCATATTTCCAACGGCACCGCATTCAATTTTTTTTTCCTGGTGTGCCTTCATTGTGTGGTGTGACTGGAGAGGTCAAGAAATTCCTGCGTCTTCGGTTACACATCAACAGGACCCTTTCCTCAGCGTTGGCCAACCACACCTCCCAGCGGTACACCACTGTACAATACCTTCGGTCGGCTTAGATCTCTTTGCATTCTGCTTCGGTTGCAACTTGCAGAGCCTCTCTTTTTTCCTCCCTCACGTGTCCCTCTTCCATTTTCCTCAAGTCTTTCCTACCAAGGACACTTCCAAGGCCGAGCCACCTTCTTCCACGACCGCGGACCCCCCTGCTCCCCTCTTTTTTCACGGTGACGGCGGTAGCATCTTCCAATGAACTGGGCAACTCAACCCAAACTGGGAATTCTTTCAAGTGATTGGTGCAGCCAATGAAGCCAGCGAAGTGACTACGGTTGTCAGCGGCTGAAGAAGCATTGAGAGGGGCAAAAAAAAGAAGTTTTTGAAGAGCACGCAACGACGCCGCCAAAAACGCCTGCCCTGGTTTTAGACCTTGGAAGCGCCGAACGACGACGACAAAACAACCAACAAAGCAAAGCCCAACGACGCCAGTCCGCCACACACACAAAGTCTGAGCGCTACACTAGCTTACATTTCTTTCTTAGCTCACTCACTGGTAACTGTTAGCAGGGCACGAAAAAAAAAAAAAAAAAAAAAATCTTTTTTTACTCGCTAAAACTTACCAATCGTCGCTGTCAGTGTCTCTCTCCCATGACCAACCATGGATGACCGTTAACTTCTCGCCACCTCCCTCCCGTTCATGTCATTCATTCATGCACGTTCTTCGAAGAACATGGAAGAAAGTTTTGAAATTTTCATCAAAGACAAGATTTTATGCGACCGAAAGGAAGGTATCGATTTCGTGGCTGACCAACTGACCAGCAGATTTTTTTTTTTCCTTGCACGAACCTATTTCCATACAAGGACAAGGAAGCGCGCAGTGAACGAACGGCGCAGTGAATGAGTGGTGAATGTGACTCAAAGAGACGTCTTGCCCTCGTGGTCACCTTTCCCACTCAGCTTTTTCCATGTACCAAGTTGACCGGGCTTGGCCATCGTGAAGTTTGACTAGATTTCATGCCGCAAACGAGTTTGGGCAATGGACTCTTGACGGGACAAATCCGCCCGCTATGAACATAACCGAAAGACTTTGACAAGCTATGAACTTTTGCCAGCGAGGAATCTACCTTTGGATAAATCTCGGCTTTACTATGTACTGCAGTTAGTGAGAACCAACAGCAGTTGCGAAAGTGCCGAGTTGTTGTCATTCATTTGAGTGCGAGTTCGAGTTCGAGTTCGAGTTCGGGTTTGCATCCGCAGGCAAACCACAGCAAGCAAACACGCAAGCTCAAGCAAACAAGGAGATACCACCCGCCAGTACCGCCGACGATGAGGCTCGCAACGATGAGAGACGGAGACCGATCGCTCCTGACTCCTACACCGAGAGTGATTGTCGGTATATACATACGTCTTGGTACCTGCCTCGCTCCCATTGCATGTCGTGCGTGGTGTGGCACGTCCCTATGTTTCTTATATACGGTAGTGTAGGCTTCGATAAAAGAGGGGCCGTCATTGACTAGGTACCAACTTCACTCGTAGAAAAGAAAACATTTTGA